GATCTTGAGAAGTACTCTCGTAAGTTATGCCTGACTTTCTCCAACATTGATATCACAGCAGACACAATAAGCGATATCCTGCAAATTATGAGTAACATCATGTCGATTAATATTCCCAGACATAATATTGCCGTCTGTCATCCTTTGAAACCTGGAACAAATGCGCCTGTAATTGTGAAATTCATATATCATGCGGATCGTGACGTTGTTTGGAGGAGCAGATCATGGTTGAAAAATTTCCGGAACAATAAAGGACAACCAGTGTTTATCGAAGAATGCTTATCCCCTCGCGACAGAGCAATTCGATCAGAAGCGATAGCCAATCGTATCCCATATTATACTCACAAACAAGATGTGTATGCCAATAACCCTAACAATCCATATCCTAACCCCGTAAAAGTGAAAACCAAAGCCGAATTGCATGCAGTAAGTGGAACATTAACTGAAACCAGAAAGCCGAAAGAGTCCAATCAATTAAATTGGGCTGATGATGTTATAGAAACGCCAAAACTGTCAACTTCCAATGACGAAGCAAAAGCGAACAATCCTATGCGACGATCCGTAAAAAAGCGAACGATAAATCTTTCTCCCCTTGAGGAGAAGGAAGAAACTCAATCGATTGCAAGTGAAATTGTAAATGCAATTGTTCCTCATATATTTGCAGCTTTAAAGCCAACTACCCCAGCCCTTAATTACAATGTTTTGCCAACACCAGGCACAATGTCAGAAGGTGCTTTTCGCGTCGAACAGTCAACTGGCACCTAAGCATAATTCTGTGTCATCTAATTTATCTGATGCTAATAATGATTTCTCAGTTCTGCATTTGAATACCATGTCACTAAAACCGCACTTTGAAAAATTGGAAGCACTTATACTAAGTCTTGAGTCACCACCAGATATAATTTGCTTAAGTGAAACTTGGCTTAATCATAATGATAACTCTAGAGGATATCTTGTTAATGGATATTATGATTTTTTAGTAAAAAACCGCACTAATGTAAGGGGATGAGGGGTTATGATCCAAGTTAAGGAAAACGTGAAGATACTCAGGCAACTGGAAACACTATTTGAAGAATCGATCTTTGCTGAGGTCGAGAAAATCTTTTTTCGGTTGAAAATAGGTGTTCTTTACAACCCACCTAGAACAAACAAATTGCAGTTCGTTAATCAGCTTGAAGATTTCTTGGAAATGAATAATTCAACATCGTAAAAGGTCCTCATATGTGGAGATTTTAACATCAATACGCTACTGGACAATCAGCTTTCAACTAGCTACATAAATAGCATAATTTCTAATTGGTTTGAAATTTTTGGTATAGAACCGACTCGCGTATCAGCAACATCATCTACATGTATCGACCACTTTATCTATAAGAATTTATCGGATGCTAGAACGAAAGTCATCCAGTATGAAGAAATTGCTGATCATTATCCGATCCTAATCATCTGGCCAGTAAAACAAATTTCTTCAGATTCTATATACACTTTTGGAGATACCAATTTTCTAAAATACAAATCAAAGCTGAGTTTTTTTTCTCAAAGATTTAAAACTATCATTCGAAGCGAATGAAAATGGGATTCTACTAATGGAAGATCCCGAGCAAGCCTTTGGCAGCTTTCAATCTATCTTTGAAAAAGTGTTAAACCGATATGCGCCAATCAAGAAAATTAACCCTAGCAAGAAACCACATCCAACATGGTTCAACAACGCGTTAAAAAATCTTAGAACAAAAAGGAACAAAGCCCACAGAAACTGGAGAAAAAAACACTGAAAATAGTACTTTATTGAATATTTTTACTAATCTAAGAAAAAAATTCGAACAAGCGGTCAAAGTCAATAAACGAAAATTTTATTGGAATAAATTTAAGAATTGTATTGGTGGCTCAAGACAAACAAATAAATTACTTAATGAGCTAAATGGAAAATCTATATCTCGTTTTAAAGTGCCCATTCTTGAATCATGCCAAAAACTAAATGATAATCCAACTGAAAAAGATGTAGCAAATAGATTCAATGATTTTTTCATCAACATTGGTGAAAATTTGAAAACAGATATTCCAAATGTATCTCCACCTCCAGTACCTAAATTAAATTGGTCAATGTTTCTATACAGAACAACGCCATCAGAAATCAACGATATTATTTGTCAATTAGACAACAAATCAACATCCGGGGATGACTATATTAGCAATCAAATAGTGAAAGCATCTAAAAACGTTACTTCCCCATTTCTATCGTTTCTAGTCAACCTTTCTTTTGAAAAAGGCATATTTCCTTCTGCTTTCCGTAAAGCAAAAGTAATTCCTGTTCATAAAGACAATTCCCGATTAGATGAAAATAATTACCGGCCAATCTCTTTACTTATTGTATGGAGCAAGGTATACGAAAGAACAATGTATAATCGAATCTACGCATACATGGAAAAATTCGCTTTGTTGTATAGCAAGCAATTTGGGTTCAGATCAAAACATAGTACAATAGAAACAGTTGTTGAGCTAACTGAAAAAATAAGACTTATAAAAACTCGTTTAAGGAGGCTTATAGTTTTTTCCTTGATTCAAGAAAAGCTTTTGATGCTCTTGATCATGAAATACTTCTGACGAAACTTGATGCATATGGTATTAGAGGCAATTGCTTAAAATGTTTTAGGTCCTACCTCAACGATCGTCAACAACGAGTTGAAGTAAAGGGTGTTTCTTCAGATTGGAAAAAAAATCAAATGCGGCGTCCCACAAGGATCGATTTTAGGACCGTTGCTTTTCCTTATATACCTTAATATTTTGCCCGTGACATGTAAAACAGCAGAAGTAATCTTTTTTGCAAATGACACCAACATAACTGCTATAGGCTGCGAGATTATAGATATTAAAGATGATCTTCGTTATCTTGACCATTGGTTACATGGAAATAAGCTAATTATAAATAATGATAAGACAATACAAATGAACATAAAAAGTGCTTCAATTCAAAATTCACACTTAATTGCTCAGAGGTGATTAATAAACCTGTTTGTAAATATCTAGGTTTATATATTGACTATAAATTATCATTTTGAAGTCGTATCGATTCGGTGAAAATGAGACTCGGAAAACAATGCGGGATTTTATCGAAACCAAGACATTATGCGCCACGAAACCAATTGCTTGAATACTATAGAAGTAATGTGGTTCCTATCATTCAATACGGAATTTTGATATACGGTTGTTGTAGCTACAGTTCGCTTGAATGTTTTTTTCTACTGCAAAAGAAACTTCTTAAATTCATCTATTTTCGAAAGCGTAGCGATAGTTCTCGTGATATTTTTCTAGAGAATAAATTCTTATCGGTGTTTGAAATTCATGTTTACGAACTACTCAAGTTCGTGCTTCGTGCTGTCATAAAGTCTCTCTCTCAAAGTTTTTTAAGCAATCTGTTCTCCTTTGAAAAGAAAACAAGGGCCACGAGACTGTCGAAAACAAAACTATTAGCTGAACCCATATGTAAGAAAAAAATCGATCGGTTTTCCGTTCGATATCGTGCTACCAAGCTTTTCAACCTTCTCTCAGCGCAAAAATTAATCCCCGAGGATATTGAAAAATATTCGAAAACAGAGTTAGTAACTTTTTATCATACATTTAAAACTGTATTTTTAGTGCAAAATGAAGAGTTAATCGATTACGTATTCAAATTATAAAAAGAAAAAATTTATTGAACCCGTGGTTACATGCTTACGGGTGTATTTTAGGGTTGAGGTTGTAACGCTATAATTTGACCTTCCAGAAGCTCTTAGCTTAGGAGATATGGACGATTTTACGATTTTTAAAAAAAAATACTCAAAAACTTAGAAAAAAAATCTAATTCGATTAAATTTTCAAATTATAAATAGAAAATTTTTTGAACCCGTTGTTGCATGCTAATCTTGTGTATCTTAAGGTTGAGGTTCTAACGCTAAAAGTTGACCTAACAGAAACTCCTAGCTTAGGAGATCTGGACGATTTTACAATTTTAAAAAAATTCAAAAAAAATCTAAATTTATGTTTTCTTTTCTTTTTACCGGCGGTTGCCTGCTAACGAAGGTATAATATAGGCTTTGGATTAAAATGACAATACTTGGCCGTCCAAATGCTCGTAGCTTAGGAGATATGGATGAAATTACAAATTTTCAACAAATTCAAAAAAAAAACATTTAAAAAAAAAATCTTTTCCTGATAGTGAAAGAAGCATGCATAGCTAGGGTAGGCGTTTGTGTGCCATATGGCCCCGTTGTCTATCCTCTCCGAGTCTCATTTTAATAATTACTTATAACGATGAATTGCTAAATTTATGTAATGAATGACCGGAGAAATTTATTCTTTCTTTCTTTTCTTTGTGCTTTGACATTCGGATAGTTATAAGTTAACACAGCTGATACGTTTTAAATTAAGCAAAAAAAAGCTATTTGTTTCAAACCACATAATGAAAAAAATTCGATGTTCAGAAATTTTCTTACTCATTTTATCTGGCAATTTATTGAAATGCATAATTTATACATAATGTGGTTTTATGATTTCCAATTTATTACATGCAAAATAAGTGTGGATGCCTTCAGTTTGTTATTTCCCAAACTATTATTTGCAAAATTGTGTCTATTTGTATTTGGTGCATCGCATTGGCAATTTGTTAGCATATGTAGCTGCTTTATTTGTGACTAGTATTTGCTGGATGTTAAGCGTTCGTGGACGAGAGGGCAGAATGTGAGACTCCAGTTCTTGAAGTCTTAGGTTCGAAGCGCATACGTAGCAAAGTTTTACTAAATCGATACTTATTTCTATCTTTTCTTATTTCATTTGCTGCTTTTTTGTCGTGTTATTGCCAGTGTTTGCGAAACTTCGCCTCTGTGTGAGAAATTTGATTTTGTTTGGGTAAGGGTAATCTGAAAGACCTTTATTTGTAGCCCACGTGTTGGCTACAGGGTAACGAACGCTTCAATTTTTAATCCGCTTGGCTTTTTTGGCTGCATTTCTTTTTTCTATGTTTACAGATGAAGGCTTCTACTATCTGGTTTCGAATGGTCGACTGTGTCAGCTGGAGACACTGACGGTGGAATCATGCAACAACTTCTGTGGATCTTGTCTGGCAAAACTGGACACACAAGGACACATCGTGTCAATATGCCTCAGGTTTCTCAGGCTCAATTGGAAAGGTAGATAAGATATAATGAGTAACAAAAAGTGGATAAGTAGGTGTATAATCATTAGTTATCTGAAATAAGTAATTCATAACAATGGTATAACTAATCTCTGCTGGTTATTTCGTTTTTTTTCTGCCCCGACTTTGCCATTTGCTTAACGGCACTATAGGGTTTAATATATATCTGTGAGGTTATTATATATCTCACAATTTAAAAAGATACTGAAAAATTAAGCCTTTTAAGCATTTAGAGGAGCTCGAAAAGTAACTTGGCTCTATCTTGAAAAAGAACGGCCCAAATGGTTGCGTCTAATTGGTTACACATTTTTTATTCACAGAAAAACTAACTTTTTGGAATTATTGGAACTAAAATCTGCTGAGTGTTTATCAAAATTGCCGAAAAAATGTGCCATATTCGGTAGAATAAAAGGCTTCTCCAAGCTTCCCAAAATTGAAGTAACTGCTTTTGCAAGTATTGAGAACAAAAATACTTTCGTTTTTCCAAGTTTCATTTTTCCAAGTTTTGACAGATTTTCCAAATTTCATTGATATTACCACATGTTATCAATCTCAGTGGCATCCGAATAGGCTTCTAATTTCTTCTAATCTTATAAAATCAAACTTCTTATAACTGGTTAAATCTGATTGATTCAGCTTTTGGTTCGTTTCTGAACCTCAACTCCGGTTTGCAGTCAGTGGATTTGAGGAGTTCCTGGTTCATGGGCCATGTTGAGGATGTCGCCCTGATACCCGCCATATTAGGCCAAAACCTTGTAAGATCTGGCGATCAGCATGCATTTCACTTTTTTGTCCGTCTCTGGTAGAAAACTCACTTATTTTAAAACCTATTTTAAAACTCACTTGTTTTTTATCTGAAGTGCTGAAACTTATATAATTAACCAAGCAGTTATTCGTGAAAAAACTGAAGTATTGTCGTTTTTCAAATGTTTTAATGTTTATTTGAATTTTAAAGCCTTTTTTGCCGTTTTCAATGTTAACGGCAAAAAAGGCTTTAAAATTCAAATAAACATTAAAACAGTTTAATGTTTATTTGAATTTATTCGAATCATCTTGAAGGTTAAAAAACCAAGTGTTATAATTAATAGAGTTTCTTTAACGATATCGCTATTTTTATAACATTTTGAGGCTAATTCTCAAAGTAAATGAAAGGTATCGTCATCTGTGGTATTTAGGTGTGCCTTGTAATGCCAAAAACTAGCAATCATCGTCTGGAGCTGTTCATGGAATCTCTGTATCGAAATTGCGAAAACCTCAGAAAGTGAGTATTTTTCAGTTGTTTTTTCGATATAAGCAACATGTTTTAATCTTACTTGTTTGTTTCAGACTCGATTTGACTTCGTGTAATGTCGAAGATATCAGCGAAGTATACGCCCTTTTTGCTCGAATAGAGGGTTATAATAGGAAATTTTCAAATATATTTTTCAATTTCAGCTGCAAGACTGCTGTCCTGTGCTAGAAGACTTAGACCTCACCTTCTGTATCAAACTCCAGAGCGACTACTTCAAATCCACTCGTCTGCCAATTCCACCGTCGGTCAAGCGACTGGGTCTGGGTAGTCTGAATATAGACACAGAGTGTCTGGAGAAGCTACTTGCAAAGGGAGCGTGTGAAGATGGGTCTTCAGTGCTGACCAATCTCACTCATGTCAATCTGAATGGGATTGAAGCCACTGCGTACGACACCACTTTCCTCAAACAGGTCGCACAAACAATTCAAAACATAGACAAAGACAATCATAAGGAGTAGTTGGTTTAACACAGACTTCTGAAATCATGTTAGCTCAAACCGCTCGTCGCTAAATGGCTAATTTGGATGCCTGTAAATAATTCATCATGCGGTAAATTGTTCGGTCGTTTTGATTGACTTTGGGAATGGGGTGTTTACGAGGTTCTTGATGATCAAAAACGAATGGAGACAACCGACCGTTCTATGGCAGAATTGCAAATTTGGCTATTTCAAGGAAGAGCTATTACGAAGCCGCTCAGTGAAATCGGGCAAATTAAGTCTTGCGGCTGTTAATTTCTTACTGGCGATGCCAGAACCCTGCTCAACATAAAGTATGAGTGTAAAAATGTCCCCACCTAACAGTATGAATTAGGAATTGAGATAATTGGGCTGCGAGATAATGTGTCTGTTTGGTGTTAAATCGGTACATTTAGCTATTTTGTATATGCTCATAATTTCTTCTGCTAGTGTTTACATCAAGATAGGTGCTTTACACTACAGTAGCGTACTAGCTTTCTTTTGAGATACTTCGAGGGTCAATTTATGTTGCAGATGTGTCGCTCTCTGGGCCACCAGCTGGTCTCAATTAGCCTCAACCACATGGAGTTGCCAGATGTGGCCTTGAAGCCCATAGCTGGCCACTGCAGGGCACTGCAGACACTACACATATCATCCAGGGAAATGACGGGGGAGACTCTGAAACCGTTCTTTGCCAAAGAGCACAATGCACACTTACTCAAGAACCTGTCTCTCATGTGCTGTTATAAAGTGAGTTTTCACGAATTTTGGCTAAAATCGCTTAAAGATTACAGCGCAATTTATGAAAATAATCTAAAAGAAAAGAAAGCGCTGTTTTTATAAGGTGAACCAAATAAAGCAATTTCCTCTTTTTGTTCATTTTTGTAACTTTTCCGCTTTCTTTCTTGCGCCTTGATTGGGGTTGAAATGCAGGTCCAGGAGTTAGATAATAGATACTGGAATACTTTTGAGCGAAAAGTACGATGAAGTAAGGATGATCAAATCGCCAGAATACTAAGATTTCGCTGCTGTGAATTCATCGGAAGCCAAAAATTCTCATCAGTTTCTTTCGACATTGAGAGAACCTTTTTACGAGTTGTTTATGGAATTTAGACTTGTTTCGGGTTAAACTTGCTTGTTTTAATTTGCTTAACAAAATCAATTGAGTCATTGAACTACACTAGCTTACTTTTAATGTTCTCCATTGACATGCTCAAGTTCTTGAAAATCTAAAGTATACTACTCGTCTACAGCTATTACAGTACACCTAAGAATTAACATTAGTACTCTTGATATTTTAGTTTTTGTGGTCTATGTTGTGTCTGCTTAGTTTGCAGAGCTTGAACTTAATTCAGATTCAGGTTTTTTTTACAGTAAAATTGAAAATCATTTTGATTTATTCCTGTAATTAATAAATTAAATAGGTCCATTTTTGTCTCATTTTCTGTTGAAACCTTGTTTATTTGTGTTAATTAGTTTCAGCTGATTTTCTTTTCATCATCATCATCATCATTGCTGGATTATACACCCTTTTTGGTACTCAAAGGTGTTTATTTTGTCTGTCTCCTTAGTACGTGGCCGATGTGTAATAATGAGATCTGAATAAATGTGTCTTCAGTGATTTTCTGAATAACTGAAAGTCCGTTTCTTCTCGCATTTTCTGGGGCAGTGAATTCCAAAGTTTTGCTCCACAATAGCTGAAAGATCTTCTACCTAAACTTGAATTAACTCTGGGTACTATCAATTTTGGACCATCACGCAAGCTATAGCTATTTTGTTTTAATTTGAGTATGTCTCTTAAAAATGCTGGACATAAATAGTTTCGGTTTAGTACTTTGAAAACAATGCACAGTAATTTGAACTCAATTCGCTTCGAGACTGGTAACCAATGTAGATCATGTAGATAAGGGCTGGTTGGTGTTCCTTTCTTGAGTTGGAATACAAATCGTCCAGCTGAATTTTGTATTTTCTGCAGTTTCATCAAAAGGTAATTGGGTAAACCAAAATATAGGCTATTGCAATAGTCAAGGCGGCTAAGTATAAGGGATTGACAGAGTAAATGTCGGGTCTCAAAAGAAAGGAAAGCTTTTATGCTAAAAAGTTTCCGCAGAATGTAATAGGCCGAGCTACAAACAGAATTGATTTGTCGTTGTAAGTTAAATTTGGAATCAAAAATAAAACCAAGCACTGTAAGTGTGTCTTCTGATTTGACAATTTCATTATTAACACGTATGTTTATTTCTCTTGCAACCTTCCTGTCAACAAACAGAACTTCTGTTTTATCAGAATTTATTTTCAAATTATTCATTTCAAACCATTTGGTAATTTTGACTAGACTTGCATTCAGATGATCAACTGAACTATTTAAATCTGCGGCTGATAAGTAAATTAAACCATCATCCGCATAAATTTGATAATTCAAATCAAGAGATAAAAAGAGAGACCGTAGAGGTAAAAGGTAAATGCTAAAAAATAGAGGACCTAATATGGATCCTTGGGGAACTCCATTTTTCACAGATTCAGTCGAAGATAACCAGCTACTAATTTTAACTGCCTGGTAGCGACCACATAAATAAGACTTACAAAGTTCAAGAGCTGCTCCTTCAAGTCCAGTGTAATTTTCCAGACGGCGTAATAAAATATCATAAGAGACCGTGTCAAAGGCAGCACTTAAGTCAAGAGCCACTAAGATTACGGGGCATTTGCTTGAAAGCTTGTTAAGAATGTCATTACTGGTGTTCAAAAGTGCTAATTCAGTGCTATATCCTTTACGATACGCTGATTGATAAGGATCGAGAATATCAAGCTTGTTTAAAAGATGCAGCAATTGAATCGAGATTACTCTCTCAAAAATTTTGGATGAAAAAGATAATTGGGTAACAGGTCTATAAGAAGACAACAGATTTCTATCAAGTGTTGCTTTCTTCAGAAAAGGACTTATAATGCCTAACTTGAAAACATTTGGGAAATGTCCTTTCTGTAAACAATTGTTCAGTATGCCAGTAAAAGTTGGCACCCAGCTTTTTTGAATTTTCCTCATAATCTCAGTTGGCATAGAATCGCAGGGGCTGGTAGCATTGGACATGGATGCAATTGCTTTATAAATATCATCACAAGTAACTTTATTGAACGAACTAAATTTCACTTTGTCTCTGGCTAATGTTTCATTTGAGTCACGGTAATAAAAGTTATGAGGTTTCAATGAAGCAATGACGCTCTCAATTTTCTCAATAAAGAAAGTATTAAATTTATCTGCCAGATCTGATAAAGAACAATTATTGGGTAGCACTGATCTCGTATCAATTCCTAAAACTTCATTGAAAGAACTGTATGAGCTCCTTGGTTGTGATTTGATACGATTTACTTCCCTATTGTAGTAATCAAACTGTTTCTCTTTAAATAACTTGCGACAATCCAGATTGGCATTCTTCAGAGTCAATCTATTTTCCAGTGAAGGAACTTTATTGAAGATTCGTTCAAACTTACGGCGCTTTGCTTCATCGTTTGCAAGTCATGGTCAAAAAATTTGCAGTTACGTTTTCTAAAAAGCCGAAATTTAGTTGGGTTAATATCAATTGCAACTTCAGCTACTATGTCAGAGAAATCCTTCATGGCTGTGTTGTTTTCTTCGAAACTGATTTGATTGATCAGTAAGTTACTTTCTATTTCTCCAGCTAATTCTATAAGATCAATATTGTCCCATTTTCTGTAAGGTTTTAAAATTCGTTCTGCCATTGAAACACTTATTGGTAGTAGAAAAGATATAACATGATGGTCAGAAACTTCGAAAGGGATCACGTTTAATTGCGATATTTTTATTTCATCTGTAATAGCTACTAAGTCTAAAATATTTCCAGAGCAATGTGTTGGTTCGTTTATAATTTGTTTCAGACCAAACTCTTGAAAGACATCTTGGAGGAGTAAATAACGATTGTCTTTATTATTAAAGAAGTGTACGTTGAAATCACCCAATATCACACATAAATCATAATCAGTGGAAAATTCGTAAATCATGTTGTATAATTGTTCTTTAAAAATCAAAAAATCTCCACATGGAGGCCTATAGCAGATGATGAATAATATACGACAGGTCGGAAAGGATATTTCGAGAACTTTTAGCTCTATCTCTGCTTGATTCAGCGATGATAACTGGTTGACTTTGAAGTCGCATCTACAAATCAATGCTATTCCACCTCCATTAGAGTAATTTCTTGGCTGGCTAAAAGTGTCATAAATTTCCAAATTAGAACAACACTGACGTAGTAAATAATTTTCATTGCTATCATGTTTCAGCCACGTTTCCGTAAGAAAAAATAAATCAAAATCATTTGATAGAAGTATTGAAGCAATATCTGATGTTTTATTTCTGACCGAGCGCGCATTCAATAAGCTAATGGAAATTGAAGTCTTCAAAGCTTTTGATAGTCAAGGCTTGTTTGATAGAGACTTCAACCATGTCTTAGCATTATCGTTTAAGAAAAATCTTTTGACCACAACATTTTTCGGCCAGAAAGCAGAATTTTCGATTTTTTCACAACAATCTCCGGAGAAAACGCAGTGAAAACTTCTGAAAGAGCCGTTTTCTATTGAAACTTCCCTGATATGTTGCAGTGGCGCATCTTTTTCATTACATCATTTAATAACATCATCTGCGGTATAATCTTTGCTAATACGACCAACATAAATGTGTCTTCTAGGTGGTGGTTTTGATACCCCTAAAAATGTTTGTGAGTCAGACGTTCCAATAATTGCCGCTGGCTTTTTTTCGGGCGTTTCCACTCGGGTTCGCTTTTTTCGACTAGAACTGTTCGACGATACACTGTCATTTCTGAGATGCATGCCTTTGATAAACGAAAAATCAGGCTTCTGAATTGTGATCTGGTCATCATAATTTACATGGGTTTGTGCATTACCAGCAGCAACTTGGCTGTAATTACGGGATTCTCTTCCCGCGTTAGTTTTCATATAATGGATTTCTTTATCCATCCTATTAACTTTGTCGCTGAGTTTCATCACATTAGCTAGTTTCTTTTCCATTTCATTAAAGCAAGATAAAAGGGTACTTAGCTTCGTGAGAGGCCCACAACTTGTACAAGACCATGCTATGTTCCCTGTGATTATTCCACTGCCTGGTCCAAGACCAAGACATTCCATATGTGCCCGTCTATTGCAAAGAACACAAGATAACCACGGTGATGCGTCGCCTGAGTCATCACACACGCTGCACTGACCATTACTGGGGATTGGGTTTTGGCAGTTTCTCCAATCTTCCATCATTTGAATTTTTGAATTTCACGAGATTTCTGATGTAAATATTGCTTACAACACCATGCCTCGCTGGCTCATCCCTATTTAATAAGTTTATCACAACAATTAGGCTAATCGCGACATTTAGAGAGTGCGTACACTAGCGAACTTTTGTGAGCGCAGTGTAATAGCACGACTATTGTTTTTTTCCGAACCTAAGTCGCAAATATTGGTGCCACTTTTGAGGCACCTTTACTGCTTTTTAATAGCATGTGCTTTGACATTCGATTAGAAATAAGTTAGCACATTTGATGCATTTCTCATTGTTCAATTGAACCGAAAAAGGTTATTTGCTTCAAATATCTGTACAATAATAAAAGCTGGATTTCAGAAATTTTCCAAATCAATATTTCTCGCATTATTTTTGTATGTTTAAGTTAGCTATAATTTGGCTTTATGTTTTCGATTTTTTTACTTGCAAAGTTAGCGTGGATGCCTTCAGTTTCTTATATTCTAAACTATTACCTGCCAAATTGTGTCTATTTGCATTTGTTGCTACTTTTGCTGCATCGCATTGGCAGTTTATTAGCATATGTAGCTACTTTATTGTTGATTAGTGTTTGTCGGTTGTTAAGCGTTAGTGGACGAGAAGGCAGGGAGTGAGACTCCAATTTTCGAGGTATTAGGTTCGAAGCCCATACGTAGCAAAGTTCTACTACATCGAGGCTTATTTCTGTTTATCTTACTTCACTTCATACAGCTGCTTTTTGTCGTGTTCTCGCTCGTCAATTCGCTGTATCATTTAAGCCATCCATTAACAATGGTAAATTTGTGTCCGAATTTTTATGGTACTGTGGCATCTCAAAGACAAAACTGATCTTTCTAAAAAGTGATCTTATTAACAAAGACTTCTGTAGCTAAAAGAGGATTGTTGCATCCTTAAAATAATTGTCTTTTTTGTCAATTGTTCGTTTTTAAGCGTGTCTTTGGGGAATGGGTCAAAGAAATTTGGTTATTTGGGTTTTCATCTACCAAACAAATGTATGTGAATTGTGGTCGTTTGTGGCCATGTTTAGCTGGAACGTGGACTGCTGGAATTGGTAGGGGACAGGTGTGACAGTCTGGAGAAGGTGAATCTCAGTAGGATCCAGACAGTGGACGATGAGATACTGCAACTGCTGGCAGCTAAATGTGCAACAACTCTTAAGAAGATATCACTGGGTGCTTGTAGACAGGTACAATTATCACAACGAGAAATGCCACCTTTTTTATTGCACCAAATGTTTTTAGATATCTTTTTCAAACGCAAAGCATTTGGCCCATGGTTGGCGATATCTTTGTATATAAAGCAAACGTGCTGTCGAAAAGGGCAGCATTTGTTTTGGGCTCTCCCTTTATTACTGTTGCGTATTTTTTTTATTTATTTGATTGCGACTAGATGCTAAGACAAAAACGATGATTTTGTTTCATGATAAAGCTTACCTATTTTTTGTTCAATTCACATACATTATCTGGTATAATTCCGATCAATTATATTTGTGGTCAACTCAAATACACTATCTGGTATAACTTCGATATAATTTAGTGTGCAACTGAATGCAATTGAATGTCTTTCTCCTTAGGAAATGGTTCGCTTAGAAATTGGTATTTGTAAAAATTTACTGTAAGAACGCCTGGTATCATGCATGGACTTTTCAAAAACAAACATATCATTGAGAGAAACATCATTGAGAATGTAACTTCGCAAAACTCATAAGCAGTCAAGAAGCCGTTATTCAAAATTATATCGAAGGAAGAACACTTAATTTTCTGTCTTAATGAACTTGCAAATTTTTTGTAAAATAATTATAGGTTCAAGGTCGGAACAATGGTTTTTGTCTTGTGTTAGCACTATGTCTAACGGAATGACACAAGCGGAGCATATTGAATTATAAGGAAGATTTTTTTTCTAATTTAAGTTGCCAATAACAGTCTTCATTTGGAATATTTCAATTTAATCATATCTAAGCCTATTTAAGCATAAGCTATTTAATAGCATAAGTTATTGCTTTATTTTAGCTAGTGTTAGGTACTGTTTAGAAAAACAAGTATTATGAAAATGTATGGCATTTGTTGTTTTTTGTTTGTTTTTTAGCGACGCTTTGGAAAATTTTTGACCTTTTTGCTGAATTTCAATATTTCTCAAAAATTACTGCACTTTTTTCAATAAATGGTAACAATGGAAAAACAGGCTGCTCTTTTATGGGCCTGCGTATTTTGCTTGTCTTTTTTCATTTTAACCCACGTTCTACGGCCTGCGAAAGTTTCAGTAGGGGGATTTATGACCTATTTGTTTTGACTTTTTTTTATTTTCTCTAATTTTATATGCAGAAAACTGAGATTAAGGTTTCAATCAAAAGAACAAAACTTGAGGATCACCCCTTCTCAAGCGGTTATTCCCTAAATCCGGTAGAAAAAAAATTATGGCCTCGAACAAGACCATTTTTTGACAATTTGGTTATTTTTTAAATCTTTCTCAAAAACTACTCTGCCAAATCGGAGAAAGCCGAAAAGCAAAAAAACCAGTTATGCGCGAAAGCAAAAATCACTGATTTGAATCTTCCCTGCGCAAGCGGCTATGCTCTGCGTTTTGAAAAAAGACTTTAAAGAATTTCCATTTTCTGAAGCCCGTTTTTTTTGGAAGCTAATATGTTGCTTAGGTTTTCCCTGCGTAATCTGTTTCACACTTTTCTTTTTTGTAGAAAAGCCGATGTGGACTTCGGGAAAATTTTTGAAATTTTATCCAGTTTTTGAAGAAATTTAGTCATTTTTCTCGAAAACTGCTAGCTAAATCTGATATCAAGTGTTGTATCTAAAATAAGGATATGTAATTTTTCCCTGCGTAAGAGGCTATTCCCATGCTTTAGTAGAGAAAAATTTAATGATTTAGAAAAGGTCAAATTTTTGATTAGTGATCGTTTTTTGAAATCTTTTTCACTTTTTCCATAAAAATACCCAGCCAAATCTGAGATGAAGAATTCAATTAAAAGAGCGAGTAGTAGTTTTCTCTTTTATGTAAGCAGCTAATTTCCTACATAAGCAGAGCAGCTAACCATGTTTTGCGTAAAGTGTATTTTTGAAATTTTGAAAATTACGCATTCCCGTATCAGTACAATATGTGGTTAAAAATATTGAACAGGTATATCCAGCATTAGCTGGGCCACCACTAGTTTACTTACACGTTACAGTGGTGCAGATCCGAGGACGTAAGTGACACTCTTAATCATCAGGTCGGAGATTCAAATCCGGAACATTGAGATAGTTTTTTTGCTCGTATTTTTGCTGCTTTATTGGTGGCTAGTGTTAGTAAAATTACAAGCGGTCGTGGAGCAGAGATGAGGACGTGATACTCCTAATCTTAAAATTGATATTCAATTTTTCTTTCTCAAGAAGCATTTTTAATTTTTTCTGTTTCCGTCCCTTTTTTTTCTACAGGACCAGAAGTAACAGCCGAGCTTCAAACTGCAAAATTCCGATTTACGTCAGGAGAGGAAGTTATGGCATTTTTTTGCGGACTAGCCGCCACAGCTCAGTTTTCCTGTGATTCAGGCAATTTTTTCGTTATTTGAAAGTCATTGTGACATTTTCCTTTAATGGTGCTGTTAATTGTGCTTCAAGAACTAATGCAAGCTTTTGCTGATTTCAAGTCTATTTTGTTTTATGGTTAACGTTTTAGTTACAAAAAATAACTAAATGGTTTATATGTTTCAGTATATCTTAATTATGTTTTAATCGGATTACTTTTTTCAGAAAATTTGGTTTTTACCCTGTTTAAGAAATGATTTTGTCACCCGCGGTTTGGCTTCGTCAAATGAGTTCTATGAATTTTATGTTTTTTAGAGATTGTTTGGACTATAATTATTCGTTAAAAACATGTCTTTGATAAACATGAAATATATAGTGGTTGTAAGGCATAATCATGTTTTTACGTTAACACAGTTCTTTGTTTTTATATCACAATTGGTGCGAAGCTCTGCTTCACCTCTGTGTTTAATCGTTAATTGTTGCCTCGAAAAATAAAAAAAAAATGCCGTCGAAATTGTGGTCAGAAATGTCTGAATTACTATTTCAGCAGCAGGCTACCTTTTTTTGTTCCGATTACTTCAAAAATGTGGAGGAAATTTGTAACCGGGCGTGTTTACACTTGCGAAGCGAGTGTATTAGTACGAACTTTCTGTTTTTTTTCTAACCTAAGTCGCAATTAAAAGTCTTACTTTTGGTGGCACTTTGAACGGTAGACTGCTGTATGATGTCATTTGTGCTTTAACATTTGATTAGTAAAAAATTAACACAGTCGATGCATTTTTAATTCATCAAATGAACCGAAAAAAGTCATTTGTTTCAAACAGCAGTAGCAGTACAAAGAGAAAAAGCTCGACTTCAGAAATTTTCCGACTCAATCTATCTCGTAATTTTTTTGAAATGCATAATATATACATAATTTGGCTGTATGCTTTCCAATTTAATACAAGCAAAATTGTGCCTTTTTGCTTGTATTCGGTGCTGCTTTTGCGGCATCGAATTGGCAATTTAATAGGACATGTTGTTTCGTTAATAGGACATTATTGGCTAGTTTTTCGTGAATTTTAGCATCTGTGGTTAGTGCATGAGACTCTAAAATGCAAGATCGCAGATTCGAGATTCATACAAGTAGCCGAGTTTTTGCTAAATCGAGGCATATTTCTACTTTATCTTATTTCACTTGATAGAGCTGCTTTTTGGTCGTGTTCTTGCAAGTGTTTGCGAAGCACAGCTTCGCCTCTGTGTTTAGTTTTTTCTTATTCTGATCATTGACAATGGGGAGGAACTTTTTATTCGGCTGTTTTAGTTTTTTCTTTGTTTTACACGCAAAATCAGCTATCACAAATAATTATCGGAGAGAGTTGAGTGGTATATCATATTAAAGCCCTTTCAGTTCTGATTCGAACGATATTAAAAATTTCTAGAATATTCTTCCTGTCACGAGAAAAACTGCTTTAAATTTTTTGATTTTTAGTTCAATTTCGAGTGAAAAATGCGATCGAGTAACGTTCGTTATATGACAATTAACTATTTTTTTTACACTAGCGATCAGCTTAGTGTATTTTTACGAACCTTTTTTTTCTAACCTGACTTTTCACAATTTCACTGTAGCATTGTCGCTTGTCTTTGGCGCCTATTAAGCGTCCGTGGCTGAGTGGTTACTGTATGAGACTCTTAATCTCTTGGTCTCAGGTTGGAATTTCAGACGTAGCCGATTTTTTTAAAACTAATTTGAGGCTTATTTCTAATTTTTATTATTGAGCGTTATATAGCTGCTTTTTGTCGTATTCTTGCTAGTGTTCTCGAAGCGCCGCTTCGCCTCTGTGTTATAACTTTAAAATAACAAAAATTTGATTTTACTATCAAGAAAACTAGTTTTGAATGTTTCTTGCCACTCTTATTTGACAATAAGATTTTCAACAAAAATTAAAACTGTTGTACAAATTTTGTCGGCCATTCCTAATTATCTAATTCTCTACGCGATTGTTTAGTTCTCGAATCACACCACTCACTTAAAGGACACTAATTTGAAGAAGTTTTAAAAAAAACTTTGTAATTTTTTTCATGAATATGGTCGGAACATTCTGTGCTACTTGCACAACAACCGGCTATCTTTGTTTTTTTTTCTCTTTTCCGCGCAAAATCGGGTACCACAAATAATCATCATTATGGGTCGAGTGGTATTTCATATTGAAGCCCTTTCAGTCGTGATTCGAACGACATTGAAAAGTTTTGTAAAAACTTCCTTAGTCTCGAGAAAAACAAGTTTAAAATTTATGCTTTTTATCTTATTTTGAGCTAAGAAGTGAGCGTGCAGGCCTACATAAGCTCAATTAAGCTTAATTTAAGCTGTGAACTCTTGTTTTACGCGAGTAAAGTTGTTTTTGGGAATTTTTTAAGCGCTTTTTTGGAATCAGAAACTCAAATTTCAAAAAAAAAATTTAAAAATTAGAAAAAAAAAGTTGGTTTTTTTTGTATTCTAGTCATTTTTCTACAAAAAATGTTTTCCAATTGGCCTAATTTACTATGACTGTTGAAAATGCCGATGTTATTTTTCTCGTTAAGATATTTTTATCACACCACACAGAAAACAAAAGACACTATTTTGAATAAATTTTTTTAGTATTTTTTAAGACTATGGTCGGATCTTTCTGTGCTATTTGCACAGTAACCGGCTATCCTTGTTTGTATTTGGCCATGTAATATTTACTCTGACGCTTTTTACTCTGAAATTAAGTCTAAAATATAAGGTTTCTTGCTATCGTTTTTTCCTCTGCAAAAACTCTTTAACTATTTATTTTATCGGAAGTTTGCGTTCTGAGCTTTTATTGTGGTAAATTTTACACACAAAATTTACGGTCGGATGCAAAATCAACAAAAAAACTAGGTTCTGATTACGGAATAATGAAGCAGGTTTGAGTAGTAAATATAGCTTTTTACTGCAGGTGACTGACTACGGGGTGGCTTGTTTAGCAGTGAACTGCGACTTGAGTGAGATCAACATTGCAGGCAACAACAACATCACCAACTCCTCTATCAAGACACTCGCCAGGTGCTGTCCCACCCTCACAGAACTCTACATCTCTGGCTGCTCCAAAATCACTCCAGAAACGGTCACATACATAAGGGTTGGTACAAACGCATAGTGCTAAAGGAATTTGATCAAGAATTTTGATTTTAAAAAGAACCAACGAACTTGAGTGAAGATTAAGCGTGTGGTCCAATGTTTTAAGCTTAAAGGGATTGTAATCGGGGGCTAGATTTTTCCCCCTGTAAACAACTTTTTTACCAATCTTACTTGCTTTTCTACTTGCTTTGTTATTGAACCTTAATATCGACCAGGTTCGTTCGCACCTGGCCTAGAGGTCACGTGGTTGCCTTTGCACCAATTTTGTTTTAAGGTTCAAGTCCTAGCCAGATCATATTTTTTTTTCGGTCTGTAGGTAATTGAAATTGTTCTCCGGTAAAAAAGAACTGTCGGACTTTCGCGTGTCAGCTCAAGTTTAGTCGGCTTTTTTTACCACATCACGGGCTTTTCTTGCGCAGTTAGCAATTTTCATTATAGTTGCTAGTGTTGTTCATTGTACTTTCAGGGTGACTTTTTTAAAAGTCGATGAAGGTAGTTAAGGCTTTTGTATACAGTCACGGGACATAGAATTAGCAGTTTTTTTATTTGAACGAGAAAATGAAAGAACTTTTTCTTCATGTTTTGTCCGTTTTCTCTGCCACTAAATAAGATACAGGGTTCAAATTTTGACAAAAGGTAGATGAAATTATTTGAAAGGGCTTAACCAGGCCAAAATTTGGGAAATTTTGTTTTGAAGGCATAAATTAGCCAGCATATCATAACTAGTTTTAGAGGTCTTTTTGCTGTGGAAACAAGCTCAAATTAGTTCTTTAGAAGCTGATGAGCTTGACTTACTCGTTATGCTGCCTAAAAATGACAAATAACAGAATTAACAGAGTAACTTTCTAAGTTCACGAAAGTTGTAATCGACTTCTTATTTCGAATAGAAAATAGAATTTAATTATCATATTTCCTAGCGAATTACAAAAAAATTCTTTTTTTAACTTCCGTTCATTGACTCTTTTCCATCTGTCTGTAAGCTATGTTTTAGAAAATATATTTTTTTTCCGACTCAATTGGTGTCTGCTTAAAAATGGCCGGCTTTGTTTCCACTTTGTAAGTGTTTTTCCGTTGATAATTTAATATTCAAATGTTTTTTTTGGCATGTTTGCCTAGAATGAATTTTTATCCAGACATGCGAAAGTTTTGGTAGACCTAGTTTTTTTCAACATTTTCATTTTTTCGACTTTTTGTGTTGTATCGCAAGTAAGACATGTATTTTAAATGGCAGCTTATTGTAATGATTAATTTGCAGCTTTCCGCATCAACAGCGAAAGAAATAATTTCTGCAGCATTAATTTTTGCCATGAAAGGAGTGGTTTTTATCTTTACCAAGTCTCGTTTCAATTTTTTTAGATTAACTCTAAGTTGTTTCAATTTAGGACCAGTGTATCTCTCGTGTCTACATCTCACACAGGAACCCATCCAACGGAATAGAACCGGACAGCTTCTCCGCTTTCAACATAGACTCGGGCGAGTTCGTTGCCGTATCCGCGGAAACAGGAATATTCTAGAAGCTGACAGACTGGCACATACATGGACTCTAAGCTGTTTATGGTGCTCACACATTTCATTATCACACTTACCTTTAGATTATGCAAATTCCGATTCAATTTTGATTTCAGAACTACGTTTTTTTCAATAACTGAGTTGAATGTGAAAATAAGGTCAAAAATTATTTATTTATTTATATTTCAGTAGGCTTTACAAAACTCTACCACATTGTACATATTCAGAGAACTAGATCAATGAAGTTCAATTATTACAGCCTACCTAGGAGCATCAACAGGCCAAGGGACCTGATCTTATGCCCCTAAACATCCTTGTATACATCAAATTAAGGTAATATAATCAAAGCAATAAATTACTTTTTTAATATAAAATGGCAATATAATTTTTCCAAAATTTCGTCAATGCTTATCAGGGACGGCCCGGTCTGTGATGGTGTTTCCCAGTACTCATTATACTCAAGAGTCTAAGTACAGTCCAAATTGATCCGAATGACTTTTGAGTAATCAATTAAGGCCCCATTGTGCATTAGTGGTAGCTTCCAGACCTTTGAGCACTGAAAGACACCCTTCACAAACCAAAGACCGTCCTTAAACTTTTCTTAGTAATCACCCGAAGACAATATTAACCAGCCCATCATTAGCAATGATGTAACTATTTAGCACATCATGAACAATCATAAATAAACATTTCACCCCTGGTTCCATTGGTGTACTTCGGTAAAACTCTCAATGACGAATTCGACGTTCCCTCGTTTTTTTTGAAAATCATTTAGGTTTAGATTGCTGGTGCCAAGCAACTGTTTGACAACCTTCCTAAAAAGTTCATATATGTGGAGTTCAAATAATGCTGCGATACGGTTTTGTACCATCTCAACCTTAACATTTTTGCGATATCGTTTATTGATAGCGTTTTTTTTTTCATAGCCGAGTTAAATGTGAAAACGAGGTCAAGAATTTTGATTGATTTTTGTGAAACACACACACATATATATTTATATTTATATTCTGGCAAAAACAAAACAAAAACAATCATTTTTAGCTCATCATGGAACAATAAAGATTTCCCACGTGGCTTCGAGGGTTTGTTTCAGGGACAAATTTGTGCACATATCCAAATGACCATGAATTAAAGAACAATTGCAATAGTAGCAAGAGTTCGCCTATTATTTTTGCAAGAAGGGCCTAGCTTTTTCTCAGAATATTGAATTGTTTTCTGAAGTTCCGGGACAATAACAAGCTCGTAAGTTTAAAACAAGAAATAACCATAATATCATACTGTGAAATAAAGACAAAGCGCCACATTGTCCGATATACCGCCGTGATCTTTCGAGCCTGAAATCTCAAGCCAGTTGTTGGACAGAACTTTTTAAGTTTTTAAAAAATGCGAAGAAAACTACACTTCCAGGCTTGTGGTTTTGTCACAGTGTTTCTAGAAATTTTGTAACAAAAACTGCTCTAAAAATATCAGGAATGAGAAGCTTTCAAAAAGTTTGTCCGATCTACACAGTTACTTCTTAAAATATGTTTCCCTAGAAACTATGCAAATGAAAACCATGGAACAACCAAGAGACAATTGTTTTGGATGCAGTCGATTTTCAAATTTTTTTATATAAAAGGTTATTGAGCGAACTGAGTTTTCACTTATTTGGTCTTTACGTATCATCTAGTTTTCATTTAGAAATTTTGTTAGAAATGATCAACGATTATTTGTTTTGCCGGTTTGATCCTGCGAAGCTGCTCTTCAAATTATTCAAACGCGCTCAAATTGCAATGTACAAGAACGAAAGTTATCTTAACTTCAAAAAGAAAATGGATTTAAGTATTCGAAATATCTGGAATAATGTTATTTGTGGTTTCAATTTTCTCAATTTGGGCTTATTTTTATCTAAAAACTAAACTCAGTTCAAACCTGCTAACGAGCATAAGAATACAGAATTGGTTCCATTTTTCCAACACGTTTCAGTCAAAACGATTTTGTGCAAAAGTTATGCTTCAATTAAACAGCACATCTAGATTTATCCGCTTAAGGCGCACTTTTTAGAAGGCCTCGTTCAAAAAATTGCTACTGAAATTTTAAAATTTCAGTAGCACTTTATTGGCCGTTTTTTCTGTTTTATCAATAAAAAGAAAATGTTTTGGAACTAAAAGCCTCAAAATCTGAAAACAATGAAAATAAATGCATTTCTAGACCATTTGAAGAAAAAAACTTGCTCTAACATCTCAATTAATATAAAAAAAGAAACAGTCATGATATTTGTAAATGTTTTTTTTCTTGCAGCCTCCTTTTCACTTGGATTACAGGTAACCTCGTTGCTTCTGAACCCTTAAGTTGGAGTGTTTGAGTCTTGATAAGACATGGCTAGTTAGGTTGTGTATGAATTTTCAATTTTTCATTAAAAAATTGAGCTGTCCAAAATTCATTAGTTTGTTTCTTTCTTGCTGGCCCAATTCCATGGATTTTTTTCTGTTTCAAATATTTCCTACTAAACTTGGGAATTATCTTGTGTTTTCATCGACTTTCTAACTCAGATTACTTGAACAAGTTTCTTTTAATTTTTTTTTCAATTATTTTGTTTCAGCATAATTTTTATTGGCTCTTTCAATTTATTTTTGACATTCAAAGTGCAGAAATTGGTTGTTATAATTATTATTTTAGAAAAATTCAAGATGCTTGTGGTGTAAACATCTCAAATTTTGTAGCTTGTGCTCGCAAAAGTTTTTTGTGATAACATTTGTTTGGAAAACTTTGTTGTGTTATTGTCTCATTGGGCATCTACCGGATTCTTGTCGGCTTAGTAATTGCTCAATAAATGATGCCAAAAAGTAATATAAACGATACTAAATGATACTAATGTAAGGCTCATGAATGCGTTTCTCGACAGCTTTTCTGAACTTGAAATTTTCAATACATTGTTTGACTGTATATTCCGTCTCATTTTCTATTTGCTAGCTGGAAATGCTATGCTTGCGTTATACTGTGCTGATTTAAATTTATACGGAGAAAATGAACGAACGTTGTAACTTTAAACACGTTTTTCTTAAGTTGAGTTAGGATTGGACAAAAAGTGAACAGAACAAAAACTGCTTAGAATTTCACTAGAACTTGTATGGGGCTATTTGTTTGGCAAATTTTGAGACCAGCATTTTAAGTCAAAAATGAGTCATTTTCGTTCACTTTAGTCAATGAAAAAATATGCTGAATCTAATGTGTCAATTCATATCAAAATTAGCCTCTTAGGCAGCCCAAAAAAATTTTAGAAGGGTATAGCCTCCAAAAAATTGCACAGACTGTTTAAATTTTGTGTTCAAGCAATGAATTGGATATTTATATAGTAGACATGTCATTTTTGGCTATAAAACAAAAACATTCGTTTTTTAAAGTATTTGGAGGTTAGACTTTTCTAAAATTATGTTGAGTTGTATAAGACTAATTTTGATATAACATGTTTATCAATTGACTCATTAGATTAAGCGTAATTTTTGATTGACTAAAAGACGCCAAAATGACCCATTTTACGGGTAAAGATTTGTCCCCGAAATTTTCAAAACAAAAAGTACCCTAAAGATCTGAAATTTTCAGCAATTTTTGCTCTCTTCACTTTTTATCTAATCCTAATCCAATAAAAAACGCGTTCTAGCTTCTGTTCGTTTTGTCCGGATAAATTAAATCAGCGCAACATCACAATTGTTGTGATTATTTGCTTCAATTTTGCTGCAATTTTTTGAGCTTGTTGTCGCTGGACAGTTTTGGCTATGATTAATTATTCATGGGAAGCTTGTAAACTTTTTTGAGCATACAAAATTTTTTTTTTGTGGTTCCCATTCTACTAACTTTCCTCTTTGATATACGGCTTTCAGAATAGAAATATAACTTGGCTCTTTTAAGGTTACCCCCATTACCCCCATTATCGCCGACAAAAAGTAGATTTTGTGCATGAATCGCTGAAGATGGCGGCGAAATGTATTGTTTTTTCGAATTAAAGTGCGTGCCAAATTTCAAAACGATAGAGCAAGGTTAATCTTGGTTTCATAAAGAAAAAATTACACGTGAAGAAAAATGGTAAAAAATCCAAAATTGATTTTTTTAAAAATGGTCTAAGTTTGCTACCACGTTATCCAAAAAACTATTAATTATCAGTTAGTACAAAAGAAAAGTTCGAGAATTGATTTTGAAACTCCTTGGGGTGCTTACGTTTATAAAGAGTATTCATTGAAAAAATCGGGAACTTGAAAAAGTGTATTTTCCTTTTGCGAGTGAAACTAAGAAAATATTGCTGTTAAAACAAAAATTAACAGCATTATCAGCATTCATGCGACAAATGCTCGTCTTGCTTGAATAATTTGTCCAATCAAAAATGATTAGCAAGTTTAAAGAGGATATCGTATTTCATTAACGTGAAAGTTATGAGCACTTTTCTATGACCCCGAACACATTGGTCATGCGTTCAGTGCTTAGCACGCAAATGTATCGGGATGTCCACCGCCAATAACAAATAAAATCTTTTCCATCTTCAAAATTAATCATCATTCATAATCAATTCAAAAACCATTGCTAATGTAGCTAGAAATTTTTGCTTCAAAATAGACTACGTTTCAATAGCACGTGCGTTTTTGGTTACATAAAAACATTCATACTATATATCGTATCCAGAAACGCATCTGTACCACACGTTAAACCAATTGCTTATCAATCATAGTGCATACGTTGTTTTCTGGTGTATTCTTGTATACCAAGTTGTTTATCTATCTGAATTTCCAACCCCCGTTCTGAAATTTTACCACAATGTCTGAGGAAGGCGAAGTGGCGAACAAGGGACCGACCAAGGTGGTGAAGAGAATCTTCATCAACAATTTGGACTCATTTCACGGCAAAAATATCTCCAAGGTAAGTGGCTGAAACAGAATAGAAACATGACCTTTAAATTCAAAAAAGCAGCTTCATCAAAATGAACCTTCAAGGAAAATTTTCATTGGAAGCAAACTTTTATTAATTATCAGTCGCGTTTGTCAAATATATAAATTCTGCTCTGCAAGTATTTCCAACAACGCACTCCTAAAATTTTCCATTCTTTTGACGGGTTCGTTTTTGCACATGTGTTTTTTAAGCAGTTTTGAGCATTTCCGAAGCCATAAAATGACCCATTTTGCAGCAATTTTCTAAGTGAGAAGCATTTTTTGAGGAAATAGGCGCTCTTGAGCTTTTTCGAAAAGCTTAGACCAAAACATCGCGCTTAAACTTGATGTGCGCTCTTCTTCACTACTCCCACCTTCTAAATTTTCAATTCTTATAGTGGTACAAAGTGTAATTATGGCTAAAACCCATAAAGTTATTTAAGATATAAAGAACAAATCCGTTCAAAGTTGTTAGTTTGTTCACCATGCCGATTTGTATTACATCATGACAAGTTCTTCAATATTGAACTTCAGAAGCGGGGTGGTTGAGTGGAAAAGAACCTATATTGGCCCCTAATGCTGATTATATAATTTTTAGTCGGAAGTTACTATCGTTGAATAGTACCAAAAGGAGCATCCATTTGCCAACCCAAATTGAACCAAAACTTTGCCAAATTTTGCCAAACATAAAATCGAGGATTAGATTAAATTTTGCTATGATTGTGAAACTTATTTAAAAATCGTTTTTGTTACATCAGCCAATGTTGTTGTGTAACTTAACTTTATTTTAATAAATGGGCCCAGCAAAAGTGATATCCAATTTTAGTATTTGTGTACGACTTGTATCTCGTATGTTTTTTGCCCTTGTGTGTTATCCGGTTTTCTGATGACCGCTGGCGGAAAACAGCAAAAGCATAAAGCGCAATTGTCAAGACTTTAGATTGGAAGCCTGCAGTTTCGGATCGTGTAGCTTGCAATTTGAAAATTTTTTGAAAGCTTATTTGCATATTTTTGTTTCTATTTTTGTAACAAAAGTAACGGAAAATTTGTGCTCGGGGTGGTTTTTTCCTTCATACAAAGTTCGACTTTTTGACTAGCCATTTTTGACAGACTTTTTTTATATCATTCAAAAGGTATTGTTGTGCTGAGCTCATATTTGAAAAGATATTTTACCTGCGATCAATTTTCGTAAAATTCTTGGGGTTTAAAGATTGGCATTTTGGCCAATTTGAGACAGTTAACGCGCGATAATTTTTGCGCTATAAACGCGTGAGTGGAGATTTAATCCGTCTGAGAACTTGCTCCAAATTGTTTCAAGCAGGCTATTTGCCGTTATTGATTTGTTACTAGGAGCAAAATCTATTACTTTTTTCTTTATATAGCGTGTGGGGGAATGAGTTTCTCAAAAAAATCTCAAATTAGAAAAAAATTCCTTTTTTTACAATTAATTTTCTATTTCATTACTGTTCCATAGACTTCAAACGTCAGTTGGAACATTCAGGGCTTCGCCCTGATATGAGCAGTCTTGTTACGTTGCAATTTAAATGCTCTTCAAGCCATTTTTTTAAATTATGTTTGCACAAAGTCAAAATCTTTCAGACCATATTAATCACTTATACTTGATGCGCCACTGATAATTAAGTAAAAACGAAAAACAGTTTCGTAACTCAATTTTGAAACAAAATTTTTGAATGTTCTTTTTGAAATTATTTTTTTTAGGTTAACAGTTTGTCCAAAAAAGTCAAAAAATTAATTTCCAGCTTCCTGACCTCCCGTCATTTGCAGATAAAATTTGAGCATGTTTGCTTAAAAAGTATCCGTTCTAATCAATTTATGTGTTTTATGTTGATTTTAAGTTTATTATTAACGTTTTGCAATTAATGCTTTTTCACTTTTTTTGGCTTGAAAATTTTCAATTTATTCTTCATCGGTTTATTTACCTCATATTTCCACTTCCTCATCTGCATATCTCCAATATCTGCATCAGTATTTCCACTTCCTCTTAAAATGTTTTTCCTTGTTTGAGGATATGAAAATGTCGATTTCAATATTTTGAAAAATATATTTTCGGCTAAATTGGTGTATTGCTCATGCAGTGTCAGTTTAGTTATTGCTTCATAAACTTCATTTGGATGCTGGTCTAATACCGATAACTGACTTACTTGGCATCTTTTCCTCAAAAGGAATTATCTTTAAGAAGAGTTGAGACAAATGTAGGAAAAAGCTGGTAGATCTGATTTTTTCCGACTCTTTTTCTCAAAGCTTTTTAACTTGAACGGCCATCTTCTCATTTTTTTCTCGGCTAACTTGGTAATTTGGCTCTTTTCCAGTCCCCCCTTTCAAATTCAATTTTGAAAAACTTACATAACGTTGTCATAATGCAATGAAATTTGGCGTGGTGAACAAATCGACAACTGTGAACAGATTTGTTCTTCATACTTTACAGCGTAACATCACGCATTTAGCCGTAGTAACTCGTATAACAAACATAAAACTCGGTATTTTGAAAGAGGGGAACTGGAAAAGAGCCGGTAATTTTTTTGTCCTCTATTTTTGTTTTATTGCAATTGATGCAAAGCTGCGATTTGCCTTGTGTAAAGTTTTACGGTACGGCATCGTAAAATGAGTATCTGAGTTCCAATGAGTATCTGAATACGGCATCTTAAATTGTGGTACCTGAGATCCAGTAGAAAAAAGGATAGAATCTGAAGTTTTTCTCATTTAAAATTTGTTTGGTGACACTCTTCTTATTTTTTTAAGTATTTTCTTTATTGACTAAAATTTTCCAAATTTTTAAATTGCCCATTTGACTTCTGATTATGATTAGATTAGGAAGAAGCTTGGCTTTTAATACGAGGCTAAATTAACGTATATATAAATTTGACTCGTAATTCCTGAAACTTGATTTGAGATTTTTATATTTTGGACATATCCGAATTTTAGAAAACACAAGGATAGTCGGTTGCTGTGCAAGTAGTACAGAATGATCCGGCCACGTTCATTGTTTATTTCTTGTTTATTAAAATTAGTATCGTTTTTTAAAAGTGTCGTGATGAGGAAACTATACCAACGCGTATAAAATTAGTGAATTTGGCATAACCGACATCATTCGTTTTTAAACAATGATTAACAAAAAATGAATAAAAAATTTCGATTTGTTTTGCATTTTTTTCGCACAATTTTTTTTGCACATTATTTAATAAAACTTTTATTGCCAAAGAAGCGCTAACTGAAGCTTAGAAAACTAGTTTTCCTTTCAGTAATATCATGTTTTCTAAATTATCATTTTATAAATTTTTTGACCGCTCTACCCGCTAAAACTAAAAAAATGTCTCATTGATTTTTCTCGACGGGACAGCTTTTTGAATATTTTTAAATTTCGTTCAAATAACGAATGAAAATCTTTAGAGCTATAGTCCTCAGTATTCTCATAGTCATAAATGACCATCACTGAGAGTTAGTTTCACCAAGATGCACTATTCTTAGAGGGTAACAAGTTGCCTAGCTACCCACCTTACGAATCCGAGCTTTTTAAAATCACCGGGTATGAACCCTTCCTAAGATTACATCATAGGATCCACAGTGCTAAAAGCATTGTGGCGGTTACCATTCATGGCAACTTCGGGAAAGCCCATTTTCCACAAATAGCTTTCTCAACATCAGGGGATCTGTAGAACACAGTCCCCCATTTCTGGTCTCCACTAACACAGAAAGTTGTACCAAAAGTCGACTCTATCCGAAGACATGCGAGACAACAAATGGTACTTGGTCTGGTGGCTTTCAAGGCCGGATCCAGACAGGGGCAAGCGCAGTACAAAAATGTCGAGTGACCCCCAAGGCTTGCGTTTGCCGAAGCAAGGCTCCCCAAGGTTCGCACTTACGTCTTTGAGCACTGGGCAATGCGGCGTGTGACGTTTGCAGAAATGGCCTCGTTTGATGAACTGTCGGTGATATATTGGAAGCACGTGATCCAATACATCGCGCAGGCAATAATAGGAAGTACAAATACCTGCCCGACAGCCCAAAAGCTCAGACCAAATCCCCAGGATACACCGGGGTAGATCCGATTACTGCGGACCCCACCGCAAAGGACTACACCACTCGAGGAGGTGTCACACTAACGTATCCACCGGGTATGAACCATCACTGAGAGTTAGTTTCACCAAGATGCACTATTCTTAGAGGGTAACAAGTTGCCTAGCTACCCACCTTACGAATCCGAGCTTTTTAAAATCACCGGGTATGAACCCTTCCTAAAATCACCGCCACGAATAAACACCCATTCCGATGATTATTCGTGGCACCTGACTTTGTGTGATTTTCAATGTGCGGAACATAACAACTTTCTTTCATATCAATCCGAGCAGCAGTTAATAACAAACTAAAACATATTCACATGCTCATTTTTCTTTTTTGTGCTAAGACTCACTAATTAAAAATGTCGGAAGCGGAAATGCTCGTTATTTTATTGTTGGCACTTACGGGCGTCAAAACTTACGGATGTATGCATGTCAATGTAATGGTCCTCCAAAGTTTTTAAAGTCCTTAACTTTTTGGGTTTAATTTGTTGAAAACAGTTAAATTGTGTTGCTATCGTTTATTTTAGTTCCTCTCCAACTGTGTGGTGGGAGCATCTCAGGAGGAAGGAGGGGAGGAGGAGGATGCGGAGAGTGTGGACTCGGACACCCCCGTGGTGACCAAGGAGGGCACTTATCAAGTCATAGGCACCATGATGAACCCACAGGCACCCAAGCCAGATTGGGTCAAATATGTGCTAGATGTAAGCTCCTCAAGTTTTTTCAATTCAATTTTTATGCTTTTAAATGAAGCTTACCGATGCTTATAATTTTGGTGATCCATTTATTGCACTAAAATTCTTGTGCGTTATGGTAATTTATGAGACTTCAACCGTTTTAGGGACAATTTTGCAATTTTGCCACTGAAATTTATTCTAAAACGAGATTTATTATAAGTCAACGTAACTCACAAAACTCACAAAACTTATTGGCTTTTTTTTTCATTTTCCCACACACCTGCAAAATTTTACAAAAAAGAGCTTTTGTTCAACTTGTCCTATTATCATGAAAGTTGACATGCAGACTAATTAGGCTACGACAAACGTATTTGTTCTTCATAATCAACCTTCTAAAACCACTCGTTAGACCATAAAATTGATGCTCGTGTGAGGTGGGGGAGGAAAAAGAGCCAACTTATTGTACAAACACCGCCTAAAAATCTCACAGCATAAACTGAAAAAAAACATCACGTGAAACTATATGTTCTCTCTAAGAATTTAGTTTGAATGCTTAAATTTATTTCGCACGTGGTGATGCAATTAGTGTCTCGACAGATGTGATTTGAAAAACTATTCGGCTTTGGTCCATCCAGCTCGGTCGAGATGCTTCAGCGACATGGGCTGAATGAAGTCAATCGAAAGGCTTATATGAGTGTTATGTGTGTTGTTTGTCAGAGTGGAGATAGGGCACAGCTGTTGGAACACCTGGTGGAGTGTGACATGGTCATCTACGACATCACTGAGGACCCCAACTCAGTAGACGAGGCCGCATGGGCCATAGAGTGTACGTACACTTATGCCACTAATTACACACACTAGCTCTGACTAGAAATCTTTTACATGTTTAACATGTTTTTTCAACAGTAAAAGGTAAAAATAAGATCTTTCCTGGTGCATTTGCAGAAATTGAACTTTTTTAAATTGTTTTTCTTTTAAATTTAAAATGTTCGCAAATTCAAAAAAAAACAATCGTCTCTTTAAATTACGCGTCACACTTTTCATTAAGATTCTAAATGGATGCATTGTGTGTGTGTGTTGTAGCGATGGAAGCTGAGCTGGAGCACTGGATTGGACAGAAGCTGTTCATCCTCGTGTCCTCCGTCCTCACCTGGGCAAAATCCAAACCCCTAGACCCAGTAAGAGAACCCTGTCATTTGGAACAAGTCGGGGAAACAAATTGAAATTTAATTGATGATTTTGACCTCATTGGAAACATATAACTTTGTTATGTTGTGGAAAAATGCTCTATTTAGTTAGTTCTCATTAACTTTGTTTCTCAGGCAATGCGACGCTCGGAGGTACAGTTCATACGATTGGCCGAACAGATTGTCATATCAAATGTCAAATTTAGAATAGATAGAAGATCAAATTGTCAGTTTAACTCATTGTACATGTCAGACTCATCTCATTTTTAGTAAACTGTGTCTATCTGTTCAAAAATGGCATCTGTAGAGACTTATATTTGCATTTCTCCAGCTGCTAAAACATCATTTTAGCTAATGTGTGTTTCCATGCACTGTTTCTGCATTATTTAACATTTTGTGTCGTGTGCTATAGGAGGATCCTGAGATTCCCTTCACGGAGGATGACTACAGAAGGAGGAAACCCCACCCCAACTTCAAAAACCACATCAGCTGTGAAAAGACCGTGATCAAGTGCGGAAAGACTGTGAGTACGCCAAGTAGTTTGACGCCCCTTCAATACTTTTTGTTTGGTTAATTAAAATGAATGCATAGTTCGAACTTGTTTCTGCGGTGGTTTTCTTTTTTGACATTTGAGTTTAGTGCGGTTATTATGTGCAGAGGCGTTGCCCTCACTTATCCTATTTTGTTTTTCAGAATAAACAGCAACTGATCTCGTACGTGGTGGCCGCCGGCATGACTTATGGCATGGAGGAGAGTGTATTCCACTTCTTATTCAAGGTAAGACAACAAAAACAGTAAAAATGTATTTTATTCCGGGAACCTACATTTCACAGAAAATTTATGAAGTGTCTGATTGTTTTTAAAGAAAATTATCTATTCGAATAAAATTTTGGTCAAAACTTTTCGAAGAGAGTCCAAAAAATTGCAGTCAACTTGCCTGAGCCTTTTATGTCTGTGCCTCTTATTGAAAACTGATGCAAACTGTGCGTAAATGACTAAGTGATTAAGAAATTGCTCGAATGTGTGATTTACTCAATTTATTTATGATTGATAGTTTTTGACATGGTTTTAGTCTGCGTGGCATGGTCAGGTGGATGCACTGCAGTGCTATGGCACGGGAGAAAACATCCTCCCCACCATCCACGTCAAGGACCTCGCTGCGTGAGTACCAGACACTGTAATTTGGCGCTGTAGGTCTTTGGTCATGACTTAGATGATTACAGATTTGCTTTTTCAAATGAACGAACTGCTGAAGTACTGACAGTAGTGACGACCATCTTTCAGTTGTGTTTTTTAGAATAACATGCAATTTAGTACATTTCATTAACATTCAACTAAATGAGGCAGCATGACATAATCTATTTTGGCGCTGTAGGGTTCTGCAGAACATTCTGGACAGTCGGCCGAAGACGAGGTACTTGGTGGCAGTGGACGACAGCCAGCTGAGTCTGATGGAGATCGTGAAGGCTGTCAGTGTGGCACTGCACAATGGAAAGGTCAGGTGTGTGTCCCGGGAAGACGCACTCCTCCTCAAGGACCTCGAGGTCAGTCTCATACACAAAAGGAAGGGGCCAATCTGGAGGGTTGATAGATAGTGAGATTAGGGTTGGAAAGTTGTGAAGGAATATGTCGTATGGTTGAATTGATTTTGACGCAATAGACTTTCAATCAACTTGACATCAACATGTTCCGCCATTTCACTCCAAACTTAACGAGAAAAAAGTACAAGAAAAGCCGGTTCCTGTGCAAGTAGCATAAAATATTCCGATCATAATAATAAAAAACTAAAAAAAAAACTGTTTTTCTTTTTTTTGAATGGTGTCATATTTTAAATTTAAGACTTTTTTTGAAGATTGCACTAAAAAACTTCGACAACGATTTTTTTGGCGCAGAACTAAACTTTTACGGCTGAAATTGAATTCTAAGAACTAGACCCATTTCGGCCCATTAGTTGCAAGATGTACTCGTTCGTTTTACTCACTCAAAATTAGAAAAACTCAACATTTTCAAATCGTTTTTTTTTCATATCAATTGCGCGGACTAAACTAAACAACGAAGACACAATTTCACACCGATTCCAATGGTCGGAACTCGGAACTAAAAGTTGCTTTGTGAGCACCTAGCAAAATCAACAAACTATTTAGCTTTACTCGCCGTGCATTTGTAAACGGAATGATTTTGTGAAAAATTTAAAATTTGGTTCTCTTAAGTTGCTTAAGAACCAGTAGAGCTATTTTGAAAAAAAAATTGTTTCCGTTTAAATAAAACTACACGCTCATAAAGCTTTCTTGTTAGTTTGACATTTAACTTGAAAAAAAACTAACTTTCGTTGGATATTTTTCAACGGTCGGTCATATTTGCACTAAAACGCAAAATTAATTCCGAGTTACAAAAAAAAGTAACCGAGTATTACTTCTCTCTTGTTATGCCTTCTTCCAAACAATTCACTTTTTGAATAAAACAGTTTGACAAATTTCTGATACCATCTAGAAAACTTTGATTCTCTGAGATCAAAATTAAAAGATGTTTCACTTGCGAAAATTTTTTGTAAAATTATAGGGTTCGGAAAATTACAAAATGTGAATAACAAGGACAGCCGGTTACTGTGCAAGAAGCACAGGATGTTCCAACCACAGTCTTATATAATACAAAAAAAAATTTCAAATTGGACTAGTTTTTTTTCTGCACGTTGCGATAAAAAGATCTGAACAAAAAAAAGAATTTAGGCATATTTGAGGGTTAAAAAATGGTCAATTTGAAAACAGTAATTGAAGAAAAATGACTACAAAAACGAAAAAAAATTTTTTTTGCAGAAACATTTTAAATTTTCAAATTTTTGATTCCCAAAATTGCGCTAAAAAACTCCCCAAAAACTACTTTTACTTGAGTGAAAATAAATTTTCACGGCTTAAATTAAGCTTAAACCAGCCATTGTAAGCATTCAGGGTCACCTTATTTGCTCGAAAGTAGACGAAAAATCAAAAATTCCAAACCGGTTTTTTCCAACTATGAGAAAAAAATCAAAGTTCTTAAAAGTCGTTCTAATCACGACTGATAAGGCTTTTATATCAAAAACCACTCGACATTCTGATGATTATTTTTATTTGTGTTACCTGATTTTGCATGGAAGCAAAAAAAAACTAAAACACACCCGAATGCAAAGTTCCTCCCCATTTTCAATGTTCGGAACAATAATGCTTGCAAAATGCCGTGTGCAACTGAGTTGATTATACCCTTATAAATTTTTTAAATTTGTGATTGAACCGCTAAGAACAGTGTCCTAAACAAAAGTTTCCAGTGTTGAGAAAAACAGATTGAGTTGTAAGCATTTTAGCCTGTAACGAAAACTTTGGTTGTTGGTTGTTGGTTTTAAGCAAACAAAGAGACTCAAATGTTTTTATTCTGCATTAAAGTTAGAAATAAAAAATTAACAAGGAAAGCCGGTTGCTTCACAAGTAGCACAAAAAGTTCCGACCATATTCTTAAAAAACTACAAAAAAATATGATTAGCCTTCACATTTTTTTTCGACTGTTTTTTAAAACTTATAGTCACCGTTCGAATAGCGACTAAAAGAGCTTCAATATGACAAATATATCATTCACTCCAAACTAGAAACACTAATTTTTAGACAAATTAGGCTTAATGGAAATCAGTTTACTTCGGAAAATGATTTTAAAAAAAACAAAGAAAAATAATTGCAGAAAATTTTTTGAGAATTTTATTTTACTAATTTTTTCAAAGTCTGAATAAAATGTTCATGCACTGCGAAAAGTCGAAACTTTTAAACCCAGCCGTTTTTCTCGGCACTGAGAATTTTTTTAATGTAGGTGTGAAAAGGATTTAACATGATGCCTTAACAACTCTCTACTGACATGTTCAGTTTCAGAGAGACTTGAAACTTTTTAACGTTTTTTGCATAATAATTTTTTTTCAGCTCAACTGGTGTCTGCTCAAAGATTGTTGGCCTTGTTTCCTCTTCAAAAGTTTTGTTCAGTTAATAGATTGTATACCTAGAATATTTGCCAAGAGTTCCTGTTGGATAAAAGTAGGTTTTATGAAAGTGTATGGTTTTTTTTTAAATTTTTTTAGAAGCTTCGAAAAATTTATTACTTTTTGCAAAAGTTTTAGTTTTTTCTCAAAACCTTTAAACTGATTTTGAAAGAAGGGTGCATTCAAAGAAAGACCGCCTACATTCTTGTGTGCCTGCATACTCCCCTAGTCTCTTTGCTTTCCTTTTTGTCTACAGCCGTCGAAAAGGTCTGAGGGTGTAATATTTCACCGATATGTTTGGTTTGTTTTGTTTTTGCAAAAACTAGTCTAGCAAATCTCAGTTTTTTGTTTCTATTGATAAATCAGATTTGAGAAACCTTCTTCCTCTTCCCTAGGCAATTATGTTTTTTTTCACCTTTTTTTACCGTTTTTTAACCGTTTTTGGTTTTTTTATTTTTTCTTAAAAACTAACCTCCCAAACCTGAAATTTTGGGTTCAATGGAAAAAACAAGTAGTGGTAAGCTACCCGCATTAGCGAACATTCACAATTTTTTTTTACACAAAAATTATGGATTCGGAAAAGTCAAAATTTTGTTTTTTAGACTATTTTTTGAAACTTTTTGGCTTCTTTCGAGAACTACCCTGCCAAACCTAATGTTCTGTGTTCAATCGAATAAAAGATTGGGTGAATCTCTTCTGCATAAGCGACTACGCCCAATTTTGTTAACTTTAGAATTTTTTGTGTTATGTATGTAATCACCAGGAATTTGTTTTTGACCTAAAAGCTTCAAATTGCCTGCATGTAGTGAAAAATACGTTTTTGATGCGACCGTTGAAAATGAATAACTTTATTTTTGGCTGTCTTTTTATTTGTATAGTTTTTGTTACTTGTCGATTGATATACCATTTTACTACTTTCTCAGTCGTGATATGATTGGCTTTGAAATGTTTCTCTCAGTCAACCGGTCTAAATTTCTAGTTTTTGCTCTAATTTTATAATAAAAAGAATAGAGCAAAGTTTCAGAGTAAAAAGATTTTTTTTAGTTTTTGTCTAATTTTGAGCGAGTAAAGAAATAATTGTTCACAGAAAATTGGTTATTTAAGCTATGAAAGATTATTTGGCAAACAAAAAGTAGAGGTTGAAGACTCAAATAAAGCTTCACCAGCACTAAAAATTTCGAAAAACGATTGTTTAAAAACATATAAATTGAAGCGGAAAACTAGTTTGATTTTTTTCTGTTAAGTTAATCATTTTTGAAAGAAAGCTGTAGTCAATACAAGCTAATACGAAAGTTCTACTTGTTCCGTAAGGGTTTTTTTTCTCACCACTCACAAAAATGGCCTAGTTTTTTTAAATGTAACTGTGGTCAAAACACTGTGCTACTTGCTCAACAGCCGTCTATTATTGTTATTTTTTGCCTTCGAAAAACCTTTACTGAGGTAATGGACGACGTGCTTGTTTTAATTGGCGCCTCATAAAAGTTGATGGGCAATAAAAGAATTTTTCATTCACTTTTCTTATCATGAGCGTCATTAGGAGTTTTTTCATTGCAGCTCGAATGAATTTTGAAATGGCTTTAATTTGTTGTGAACAAGCGAAATAAAGACTCATATTTAGGTTGTGTTTTTAAAATAATTTATATCGCTTTTAAAAACCGTGACGTGCAATAAAACTATTTTTTCGTTTGGTTATTGATTAGTTTTTAGGATCACTTAAACTTTGTTTTTTTTTCAGCAGAAAAATTTTTTCTCCAATTAAAAGAAGGGCGCAAATGGCGCGAAAAATGATTTTATTTTCAAAGGTCAATTTGTTTTAAATTTTGGTGGAAAAATTCAGTATTTCTCTGAGGTTTTCGATTTCTTTGAAACTTTTCTAGCTGTCTGTTGGTAGAGTTTTGACGCATCAACCAACCCGATTTGATTTTATCGGTGCTATCGGGTTTTCCCAAAAAACTATTGGATCAAAAATTAAACGATTACGTGAAGGTTGAAATGGTAAAGTCATCATTTATTTTTGATTCAATAATTAAAAAAAAAACCGTTACCACAGATAAAGTCAAATCGGGTTGATTAATGTGTCAGGACCCACCCAACAGACAGCTGAAAAATTTTCAAAAAAACAAAAACTCAAAAAAACTCAGAATCTTTTCACCGAAATATAAAAAAATTGATTTTTGAAATTAAAAACCATTTACATTTTTTGCGCTATTTGTTTTTTTATATTGGATAAGAATAAGTTCTGCTAAGCAAACAAAATTGAAGTGATCCTAAAAATTAATCGAAAATCCAACGACGAAAAATCTACACATAGTCAACGAAATATACCTAGTTAATTCTGCTTCTCTGATTTTTTTTTTAATTTGATGCTGTATCAAATCATTGTAAGCCAAAAAAAAACTAGAGGGCGCGGTTTGCGTAGCGGTTTTATGCGGGCTTCAGAAAAATGACCCTTTTACTACCCAAAACTTCCCAAGATACTTCTGTTTTGAAGCAGCGATTATCATTCTTTTAAAAGTTCACCGACGACGCAGAAAATTTGGTCAAAATAGTGATTTGGGAGAGCTCAGAAAATCATATTGGTCAATCTAAAAAAAGCTGACAAACTCATTTGACGAAATTCATTTGACAATCTGCCTCTCTCCTCGAGAAAATCCTAAATCTGCACTGGTTTGAAATCAAAGCTGATAATTTTTGGGGCCTTAATTTTTCGCAAAATAGCGTATTAGCCAGTCTTCGACAGTTTAAAGAGCGTCGATTGGCTTAGAGTTTTTCCGCATTAGGTCCATATGTCATAAGAATAATCCTCATTTGAAAAGAAACAGTAAAAAAAGTCCAATAATGATATTAACAAATATCGATGTTGATTACTATTTGATACTTCAGGACAATAAAAGACCCAGCCCAGTGAGTACTAATACAGGCGTTAAATTTGTCCCTCTAAAAATTAAATAGTTCTGTTGTCATGTTTTGATGAATGTGTTTCTTCTAATTATGCAATTTTAGCTGATGTTGCCTACGAATCTAGTGCCAACGCAAAATTTTGCCAACGCAAATCTAGTCTGTAATTCAGTAATAGTATTTTCTTTGAATGCGCCAAAAAACAGACTTAGGCTTTAGATACTAATTAGCTTATTCTAGTTTTATTTGAGAAATTTTACAAAATCGGTTAATTTTAATGTGAGCTGTCCAGTGATATAAATTCTACCCGTACCCTTTTAACTGTGAAAACTTCCCCATTATTATGCTTTGCTGATTGTTTCGCATGGCCGTTTGTTTTCGTTTCTCAGTCAGTTATCTCTGAATCATTTTTCAAACATTTTTGAAAATTTTTCAGCAAGCTGACTTCGACCATCTGCTGGTGAACTTGAGAATGGACGCCGTGTATATCAAAGAGAGCATGAACATCAATTGGGTGTCGGAGGCGGGAATTGCCGAGAGCATTGGTGCTCTAGTGAAGGAGTTCAAAGAAACGCGAAAACTTCAGGTTGACCCCAAGCTTGATTATTTAAATTTCAAAATTCGATACAAATACGAGTACAATTGAATAATGAAAACTTGAATTATTGAATCGAAATGAGCATTGAAATAATTGACTTGTCTTTAAATTGCACTATTCGGACCAGAAATCTTATCGTCTTTTTTGGGTAGGGGGTTTTTAATCAAAGAAAGATTCTTCGAGTTTAGTTAGAGTTTCTGCTAAGTAAATTTATACCAAAGTTTGAGTATCCAATGTTATAACAAGTTTAAAAACCTGAATTATAAATAGGAGGTTTTCTGCCTGATTGATGGTCGATGCGCAATTTTAAGCAATTTTCAAGGAAGTTTTGCTACCAAACTATATGGTTTAAAGATGTGATTTTGTGCAAACTGCTAATAAATGAATGATTTTGATTGGACCTTGTTTTAGCCAATCAGAGTTTGTCTTCTGGGCCCTCCTGCAGTGGGAAAATCTTTTATTGCTGAAAAGCTATGCAAGTTCTACAAAATCCACCACATCAAAATCAAGGACGTAATCGAAGACGCAATTAAAAATCTGGTTAGACACAGACTTTTTGTTGAATTAAATTTTTTTTATTAATAGGTTCTGTTCGGTTTCTAGTACATGCGTTGAAAGCGTCCTCTCCCAAAGTTGTAATATACAAAATCAACTTGAAGGAAAACAGTCATATAGGTTTCAATGTCAACCATATTATGCTCGAACGATCTTATTTTGTAATGGAGCTCATGAAATAGCAGATTTAACGCAAAATTCTGATAATTGCATCAAATAAATCCAACTTTGGCTCAAATCAAATTTTCTGGGAGTGAGATTTCATTTTCTGCCTTCAAAGTCATCAGCAAGTCCTCGCTTCCATGCGATGTCATGACTTCTTTTGCCATCGAACTCATCGGCGAGTCCCCGTTTCCAAGAAATATCATTCCTTCTTTTGCCATCGAACTCATCGGCGAGTCCTCGTTTCCATGAAATATTGTTTCTTTTGCCATCGAACTCATCGGCAAGTCCCCGTTTCCAAGTGATATCATGACTTCTTTTGCCATCAAATTCATCGGCAAGTCCTCGTTTCCATGAAATATTGTTTCTCTTGCCATCGAACTCATCGGCAAGTCCCCGTTTCCAAGTGATATCATGACTTCTTTTGCCATCAAATTCATCGGCAAGTCCTCGTTTCCATGAAACATCATGACTTCTTTTGCCATCGAACTCATCGGCGAGTCCTCGTTTCCATGAAATATCGCTTCTTTTGCCATTAAACTCATCGGCAAGACCTCGTTTCCAGGCGTTGTCGTGATTTCTTTTGCCATCGAACTCATCGGCGAGTCCTCGTTTCCATGAATTATAGCTCCTTTTGCCATCGAACTCATCAGCGAGTCCTCGTTTCCATGAAGCATCCTTGCTCCTTTTGCCATCGAATTCATCGGCAAGTCCTCGTTTCCAGGCGTAGTCGTGACTTCTTTTTCCATCGAAATCATCAGCGAGTCCTCGTTTCCACGAAATATCGCTTCTTTTTCCATTAAAATCATCGGCAAGTCCTCGTTTCCAAGCTATGCTTTCACTTCTTTTGCCATCGAACTCATCGGCGAGTCCTCGTTTCCATGGATTGTCAACGCTCCTTTTACCATCAAACTCATCGGCGAGTCCTCGTTTCCATGGATTATCACCGCTCCTTTTGCCATCAAATTCATCGGCAAGTCCTCGTTTCCATGATCCGCTATCACTTCTTTTGCCATCAAACTCATCGGCAAGCCCACGTTTCATCAAACCGTCATCACTTCTTTTGCCATCGAATTCATCGGCAAGTCCTCGTTTCCATGATCCGCCATCACTTCTTTTGCCATCAAATTCATCAGCAAGTCCTCGTTTCCATGGATTATCACCGCTCCTTTTGCCATCAAATTCATCGGCAAGTCCTCGTTTCCATGATCCGCTATCACTTCTTTTGCCATCAAACTCATCGGCAAGCCCACGTTTCATCAAACCGCCATCACTTCTTTTGCCATCGAACTCATCGGCTAGTCCTCTTTTCCATGAAATAGCATTGCTCCTTTTGCCATCAAATTCATCAGCAAGTCCTCGTTTCCATGAAACATCATTGCTCCTTTTGCCATCAAATTCATCGGCAAGTCCTCGTTTCCATGATCCGCTATCACTTCTTTTGCCATCAAACTCATCGGCAAGCCCACGTTTCATCAAACCGCCATCGCTTCTTTTGCCATCGAATTCATCGGCAAGTCCTCGTTTCCATGATCCGCCATCACTTCTTTTGCCATCAAATTCATCAGCAAGTCCTCGTTTCCATGAAACATCATTGCTCCTTTTGCCATCAAATTCATCGGCAAGTCCTCGTTTCCATGAAGTATCATGGCTCCTTTTGCCATTGAATTCATCGGCAAGTCCTCGTTTCCATGATCCGCCATCACTTCTTTTACCATCAAACTCATCGGCAAGCCCACGTTTCATCAAACCGCCATCACTTCTTTTGCCATCGAATTCATCGGCGAGTCCTCGTTTCCATGATCCACCATCACTTCTTTTGCCATCAAACTCATCGGCAAGCCCACGTTTCATTAAACCGCCATCACTTCTTTTGCCATCGAATTCATCGGCGAGTCCTCGTTTCCATGATCCGCCATCACTTCTTTTGCCATCAAACTCATCGGCAAGCCCACGTTTCATCAAACCGCCATCACTTCTTTTGCCATCGAATTCATCGGCGAGTCCTCGTTTCTCTGATGACATGTGGTCGTGGTCTCTTTTGTAACTTGGCTTTCCTTTGTAGAATGTGCGAAATAGTGTTGATCTTTTAGAAACACCGTAGCTTTTTTTGGGTTCTTCGCATGATATAGTTTTCATGTATTTGGGCTCTTCGTCCAGACCGAAGTCTATCGGATGATGTTCTTGGGACCGTTTGAATCCAGAAAAAATGTTTTGTCGGTGACGGTTTCTGTTGACCGGGTCAATGCGCATCAGAGCGCGTCGCTCTTTGTCTGTTATTCTTAGCAGACTTGCAGCAGAACGCAAAAAATGTAACTTATCATTCAAATCATCAGTCTCGAGTGGATCGTGTTTTAAATGGTCAAAAGGTGACTCCTCGTCGATTGATCTGCGGCCCCTCATTGTTGCTCCTAAATTATCGTCGTTGTTTTCATTTTCGTGGGAGTTTTCATCAATCGAATTGCTTGCCATTTTTGTCGGCCGTTTTTTGTCATCATTAGGACGATCAACTATGTCAGTCTCTTTTTTACCTTTTCCATTATTCATAGTAAAATCACCCACCATGTTTCTCCTGTTGTCTGAAAATTGATCCCCAAACGGTTCCGAGCTTTTTTTTCCGTACAAAAATCTGCTAGCCATTCTCCTCTTTTCATTCTCACCAGAAGTTTCGAACAAATGTGAAACCTCCTTTGGGCTATTCTTTTCAGATGTTCTTTTTCCTTTTATAAAATAGTTACCCGCCATGCCTCTTTTGTCCTCGTCGTTTGGACTGTTGTTTAGTTCTAGCTCTCGTTTTTCTACTCCATTATTTACTATGAAATCGCTAGCCAGGTTTCGCTTCTCGTCGGAACTTTCTGAGCTTCTTTTTCCCTTTATAAAATAGTTTCCAGCCATGCCTCTTTTTTCAAGATCATTTGAATTCTTATTCATTTGCAGCTCTAGCTTTTTTCCATTATTTGTCAGAAAATCGCCAGCCAGGTTTCGCTTGTCATCGGAACTTTCTGAGCTTCTTTTTCCTTTTAAAAAATATTTCCCAGCCAAGCCTCTTTTTTCAAGATCTTTTGGAATGTCATATATTTCTAGCTCTCGTTTTTCTATTCCATTGTTAAATATGAAATCGCCAGGCAAGGTTCGCTTGTCGTCGGAACTTTCGGAATTCTTTTTTCCTTTTAAAAAATATTTCCCAGCCATACCTCTCTTTTCAACATCGTTTGGAGTGTCATTTATTTCTAACTCCCGCTTGCCTTTTGCTTTTCCGCTCATCATAAAATCGCTTGCCATATTTTTCTTGTTGTCCAGGTCTTCTCCATCTGCAGTTATTTCTTCGGCTCTTTTTGCGAACATAAAATCGCCAGCCAGGCCGCCCCGTTTCTCTTCTCCATCCGCGTTTTCAGTTATACCGAAGCCTCTTTTTCCTTTGTTTTTCATCATGAAATCCCCTGCCATAGTTCTTTTATCTTCCGCAGAGTCATCGTTCGATTCGTTTTCCAGGGAGGACGAGTTGTCTGTTCAGAACGAAACCCGATATAAATCGTGTCCCTTTTTTGAACATGAAGATCGATGAAGGCCATATGAACCATGATAATGGATGATGATTTAACAAAACATATGCACTCCCATGATTTGTGATTATGAAGGAATCCCCGAATTCTCAGAGATGCTGACAAAAAGGTCGAATGATCTGCTGTATCCGTATATCTTCAACCAAAATATATTTAAAGAAAAACGCTTTCGAATTTCTAACTTGAGATAATTGATTCTGACTTAATTCTCGTTTCTATCTTTTTTATATAAAATTTTGACTTCACTTCACCGCCTTTTAAAAAAAGATGATTAACGGGAATGTTTGCACATTTAAATCTCCAGAAGGCAGTCAAAAGTGATGTTATACCGCGCGCAATCGAGGTAAAAGAGTAAGACACATCGCAGTAGTCTAGCAAGAGGACGGGGGGAGGGGGGGGGGGGGGCGCTCACACCGAAAAAAAAACACGTAACATTTCTGTTTAAAATAAAACTAATTTTATCCGAGGTTGTGTGCGTTATCGAGTTTTGTGTGAAAGTTTTGAGTTTTGTGCGTATTTGGACATTTTCATTATCCCCAGGCTTACATAAAACCTGTGGTTTAAATGTATTTTGTACAATGTTTTATAGATCAAAAGATTTGAAGTGGCTTCGAAATTTTTCTGCTACAGTTTAGGTTCTTCAATTGCGGAAAAGCGTCAGAGTTGAAATGAGTTGCTAGTTGTAAAGCTATAAAGAAACGCAAGATAACTTTTTTGTTTTCAAGTGAAAATACCAGATGAATGATTTGATTTTTGCGGTAAACTTAGAATGAAAACATGAAATTGAAACTCTTTCGTGATAATGATATGATGACAAGGATGACTATGGTTTGATCATTACATGACATTTTCAAATCAGAGGCTGAGGAAAGTTATTTTTCTTAAATATTTTCATGTTACGGTATAATAACCGGATAAATTTATCGATCAGATAAAACTTTCGCATCTTTAGATTCATGCTTTCGTATACTCAAACCTCTGACTTGTTTTGATTGACAAAACGGTACAAGAGCAAAACATTTTTTACAATGCATTTAAAATAATAGTTTTGCTCGAAAAATTGTTAATGCTATCCTTCAAAAGTCAAATTTGGTATGCAAGCAAAACATTCATTCTTGTAACGCAGCCATGAATCGCGCGATGAACTAGTTTCCATGCATCCCCCCAGAGAAAAATTCGCAGATAAGGGAAGGGGGCTAAATCAAAATCAGCTTGAAACTTTTTCGATAATTCATTTTTTGAATTGCTTGCTTCCAGTATAAAATTTTGCGACACGCTTTCTTGAGATACACCGAATACCCAAAGGGTCCCCATTTCAGTAATATTTTAGGTCATCCATTTTTTGCTGGCAGGCAGACCCTAAAGTTTTCAGAAGGTCCACCTTTGGTATTTTTTAGGACATCCATTTTTTGCTGATTGATCTTCAATTTTTTTTGTCAATTTATACTAATTTTGAGACTGTAGAGCGCGCCGAAAAAAAAGCGCAGTTATTTTTTGCCTGTTTTTTCAAATATTTGCCTGCGGCGCAGAAACTTTGGCCAAAATAGAGTCTTTATCAAGATAGGAAAATCAGTTTTGTCCGACATAAAATTATATGCGATTGTTAATATATACGATGGTTAATTATGATTTTGTAATACATTTTTTGTATTTTTCGTAATACATTTTTTTACTTATCAAAGGTTTAGTTCCTTCCTTGATTCCTTTCTAATTTTTGCTTGACCCTATCTTTTATAATTTTAATACGTTATATAAACCGAAATAGTAAAGACTTTTTAATGATTAAAAGTTTCATTTATCGATAAATTTGAAGACATCTAGCAGGGGCGGATATAAGATTTTCTCGAAGTGAATTTTCAAAAAAAAATTTGAAAGTTTTGTCGACTTTTTTTAGGTCGACCAAATTGACTTTCCGAGCTCCCTCAGATAATCATAAACTCACTATTTTGAAAAAATTTGAAAAAACTTAAAGCAAAATTTTGCCGCAAAATAATGCTGTCCTTGGGTACTTTTCGAAAATTTTAACTTAAAAATTTTAGGGATGGTTGGCCTAAAATGGATGTCATAAAATAATACCCTTTGGTTGGCGAGGGGGTCGAACTCCTCGAACCCCTAAAGAAGCCCCCCTCCCCCCAAAAAAAAATCCGCCTCTGACATCTAGAAACTTTTTTATAATGGTTTTTTGTCTGTATCGCCTCCATTGCGAAGCTCAGCTTCACCTCTTTTTAGAGCCATATTCATCGTCGAGAAAACTAAGAATTTTGAGAAAATAGATGCTGACCTTGGCAAAAGTTTACAGCAAGCGTCAAAACGATTTTGGTGTATCTACGCAAACTGAACTAAAATGGCTGAATAAATCTGAAAAAATTAACCTGGAGGGAAAAAAAAGAGTTCAACACGCTGCCGGCTAAGCTCGAATGATAAGATAGAAAAACTGAATAATCAAGAAAACTTGCTAGTCGCAGGTGTAAAAATGGACCTATAGACTCACATTAATAGATCTATAAGAAGACAAAAGGAGACGTTGCTCTGCCCGTAAAAATTTTCAAATTAAGTTTTTGAGCAAAAAATTATGAACAGCAATTCAGAAAATGAGTTTTTAAATTTAATTTTGTTGACTACTTGTATGGTTATATTATAGTTATTTTAACTAACGTTTCGTTTTATTTTACAAAAAATAGCTGATTGTTTTCAATGGCTTTCACTTTATGCACTAAATGCTTGATATTTTTTTGTTATTTTTAGTTTTACGTAAGTTTTAGTTTTACTAGCCAACAACGAAATCCTGCAAAACTGATTCCTTATGAATTGAGAAACAAAATTCAAATTTAGTTTAATATTTTTATTGATTTCAACGACTTGAAATATTTTCTTTTTCGAAGGCCTAATTCAAAATTAAAAATAAACAAATTCGTTAATGAAGGCTATTTTGCTGTCTAATGGAAGCTTATGGAAAAAGAGCCGTTTAAATTAATGGTTTATATTGCTTTTTTCATATCATTTATCGAAATGATTAATTAACCAAATTGTGAGTTTTACAGACCAGTGATAAAAATTTCACACATTTGTGTACAAAGCGTTAAAAAGGTTTTTTGTTGTTGTTAATGTTGTTGTTGTTGTTGTTGTTGTTGTTGTTGTTGTTGTTGTTATTTTTGCTGTTGTTGTTGTTGTTGTTGTTGTTATTGTTGTTAGTGTTATTGTTGTTGTTGTTGTTGTTGTTGTTGTTGTTGTTGTTGTTGTTGTTGTTGTTGTTGTTGTTGCTGTTGTGTTTGTTTAATTTTGGTACATGAGACTTGTTAAACCCGATTATTAACAGCTCTTAAAGTTTTTAGCTGAATAATGAAACACGTCAAAAATAAACACTACCGATTCCAATTTTAACAATCGTATTGATTTGAGAGCTTCAAAAATGTTGATTTTAACGAGCTGCAACTAAAGAAACAAAACTGCTCGTATCAGAGCAAACATCTGAATGTTCCGATTGCCTCTTACGGTATATGGAGTAGTTTTAGCTATAAAAAAGATAAAATAAAAAAATAAAAAATGAAGCGCGCTTAATTCAAAATGAAAATTAAATCAAAATCGTCAGTAAAAAAAGTCATTGGCATGAAAAAAAACTCTTAACATTTAAGGGAAAAAAAGCGTTGCAGCAAAGGAACAGCAAAGGAAATAAAGAGCAGTGATTTTAAGTTTTTTGCTTTTTGGCACTTTCTTCTTGAAAGAGGACCGACTGAAATGTGCAATATGTGCAATATAGACCAACTGCAATGTGAAATGAGCAGTGATTTTAAGTTTTTTGCTTTTTGGCACTTTCTTCTTGATAAGTGGACAAACTGAAAATGTGCAATAGAAAAATTAGAAATGAGTCTCGTATTAGCAAAAACTCGGTTTGGCCTAGGGTTCGATTCCATCTGCGACCTACTGCAATCGCGAGTTTTGAATCTTACTCACTATCCACTCAGCCATCCAAGCCTAACAACCTACAAGCACTAGTCATGAATAAAGCAGCTACATATGCGAATAAATTGCCATTGCCATTCAGCAAAGGTGGTGCCAAGTACAATTAGACTCATTTTTGCGAGTGATAATTTGGAGGCAACTATTTTGGAGGTAACTATTTTGAGATATCCATTTTTGACGACGGACCCTAAAAATTTTCCAAAAAGTGCCTAAAAACGCCTTTTTGCCTTGTTTTTATAAATTTTTGCAGAAAATTTGGCCAAAAAAGGGACAAAACAGTGGACAAAACAGAGCTCGGAAAATCAATTTGTTCGAACTAAAAAAATTTAAAAAAAAGGTCGACAACATTTTTTGAAAATTTTTGAAAAATCGGCCCCCCGCCCCTCGAAAAACTCCTAGATCTACCCCTGCTTTGTTTTATAACCAACTGAAGGCATCCACATTAACTTTGCATCTAAGAAATTGCAAAGCGTGAAGCCACATTATGTATAAAATATGCATTTTAAAATTGCAAGATACATTGAGTTAGAGAATTTTTAAAATTGAGTTTTCATTATTCTTATGTTATTTGAAACAAATATTTTTTTTCGGTTCATTTGATGAAGTAAAATGCATCAACTGTGTTATCTTATTTGCCTTCGAATATCTAAGCACATTCCATCAAAAAGCTGTAAAGGTGCCGCAAAATCGTAAAAGTTTGCGACATAGGTTAGAAAAAAAGAAGATTCTTTATAATACCTTAAGCTGACGCAAGTGTAATATTAGAATAGAGTATAGATATTACTGCCAGATACCATATATAAATTGAGTTTATCAGAGTTGTAGGTTATTTTGAAACTTATAGCATATGGAGAAAACTCACGTGAGCCATCACCGAACCTTCGTAAGTAGTTTTTAAAATTAGTATGCATCCTTAAAGTTGAATAAGATTTTTTTTTGTTCAAATTAATTACACTCCTAGCGCTTTAAGTAATAAATTCATTACGAGTATGATTTCATCATCTAAATTCAAAAGAATTACGTAAGAAAAAATGGTGCAGTGCGTGTGTTTCTCCTATTTTGAAGTTAATGAGTGTGCAATAATAAAAGGTTTCAGTTTCTATTTTTTTATTGGAAGATTATTACAACTTAATTTTTTTTATTTATATCAACTTTCAAATTAGTTTGAAGCACATCATAATAATTTCAAGTAATAAAACTTTTTTCAATTGTTTAAGTATAGGTCTCGTTTTTTTTCTGTTTGCATGTATGTTTGCACTTGTACTGTTCTTTAAAGCCATCTCTGCATGGGCGGATCTAGGATTTTCTCGAGGGCGCGGGCGGTTTTTCACAAAAATTTCAAAAGTTTTGTCGACCCTTGTTTTTAGGTCGATCAAATTGAGTTTCTGAGCTCTCCTCAATCACTGTAAAGACCCGCAGACAATTTTGAAAGAAAAAACGGGTCAAAAATGCCGTTTTTGGGCTCTTTTTGGAAATGTTTGACCAAAAAATCGGGTTTTTTCGGCACGCGTTCTTCCCTCAAATTTAATATATGATGGTGCCAAAAATGGATATGTCAATATAGTTAGTACAAACGGGGGCACCTTTTGGGTTGGCAGGGGGTCGAAATCCCCCACCCTAAATCCGCCGCTGCATCTGTTTTTGGTTTGTTGTTTTTAATTTCAGTCAAAGAAAAATAAAATGATTCACCCATGACTTAAGGTGACTGGCTCTGTTTCAAGCCAAACGATAAATACTGACCTAGATTCTGCCAGAAGCTGCCTTGATTTTGATATCTTGGGTTGCTTGTTTCAGCTGCAAGCATATGAAACCCTTGAAATAAAAGATTCACAATCAATTAAATTGCATCTCAAGTTCGTTTTCAGCTGATCTTATTTGTATAGAGCTGTTTAATTTTATCATTAAATTATGAAAATACCGTGACACTGAGTCCATGCTTCTCTGCAATTACTTACGTTTACCGTCGAACATGTTGTTATTGAAGTCCATTCGCTTGCCCTCAAAAAGTTTGCTGTTCATATCCATTCGTTTTCCGTCATACATTTTATCATTGAGATCCATTCGTTTTCCTTCGAACAGATGGTTATTGAGGTCCATTCGTTTGTTATTAAACATTTTGCCGTTTAAGTCCATTCGTTTTCCTTCATACAATTTGTCATTTAGGTCCATTCGTTTTCCGTCAAACATTTTATCATTGAGATCCATTCGTTTTCCTTCGAAAAGATGGTTATTGAGGTCCATTCGTTTGTTATTAAACATTTTGTCGTTTAAGTCCATTCGTTTTCCTTCATACAACTTGTCATTTAGGTCCATTCGTTTTCCGTCAAACATTTTATCATTGAGATCCATTCGTTTTCCTTGGAAAAGATGGTTATTGAGGTCCATTCGTTTGTTATTAAACATTTTGTCATTTAAGTCCATTCGTTTTCCTTCATACAACTTGTCATTTAGGTCCATTCGTTTTCCGTCAAACATTTTATCATTGAGATCCATTCGTTTTCCTTCGAAAAGATGGTTATTGAGGTCCATTCGTTTGTTATTAAACATTTTGTCGTTTAAGTCCATTCGTTTTCCTTCATACAACTTGTCATTGAGGTCCATCCGTTTGCCCTCAAAAAGTTTTTCATTCATGTCTATTCGTTTTCCGTCAAACATTTTATCATTGAGATCCATTCGTTTTCCTTCGAACAGATGGTTATTGAGGTCCATTCGTTTGTTATTAAACATTTTGTCGTTTAAGTCCATTCGTTTTCCTTCATACAACTTGTCATTGAGGTCCATCCGTTTGCCCTCAAAAAGTTTTTCATTCATGTCCATTCGTTTTCCGTCAAACATTTTATCATTGAGATCCATTCGTTTTCCTTCGAGCAGATGGTTATTGAGGTCCATTCGTTTGTTATTAAACATTTTGTCGTTTAAGTCCATTCGTTTTCCTTCATACAACTTGTCATTGAGGTCCATCCGTTTGCCCTCAAAGAGTTTATCATTCATGTCCATTCGTTTTCCGTCAAACATTTTATCATTGAGATCCATTCGTTTTCCTTCGAACAGATGGTTATTGAGGTCCATTCGTTTGTTATTAAACATTTTGTCGTTTAAGTCCATTCGTTTTCCTTCATACAACTTGTCATTGAGGTCCATCCGTTTGTCCTCAAATAATTTGCTGTTCATATCCATTCCCATTGCAATGCCGCTTGTGAGCTAAAATTACGTTTTTCTTTGAAAAGTGGTTTGAAATTTGCGAGTTTTTGTGTTCGAAGACTAATCAATTCACCTGTACTTTACCGTGTTAATGGATGAAAATGTTACAATGCTACAATTTTAATTTGGGACTAGATTGCGGCAGTAAAAAAAAATTAAGTAAATTTCATAGTTGCTGATACTGTAAGTGATTCTCTTATACAGTAATCAATTTTGTCAAGTTTTGCTGATCAAAGTACTGCTCAGTAGAGGCGGATCTAGGATTTTCTCGAGGGGGCGGGTTTTCAAAAAAAATTCGAAAGTTTTGTCGACCTTTGACCTGTTTTTTAGGTCGGTCAATTTGATTTTTCGAGCTCTCCCAAAGCACTAAAGAGACCCTGTTCTGGCCAAATTTTTGGGCAAAAAAATCCTATTCAATAAAACAAGACTGCTCAAGTATCAGAGCAAAGCCCTGAACCTTCCGACTCCCATTTAACTGGTGTCGAATAATTTTCAATAAACAAATTTTTGATCAGTTAAAAATGTTGGGTATGGAATAACAAACACAAACTGCTGAAAAAAAATTGAAGCAAATTAAAAATTCAAATTATTTTGCCTCAATTTAACTAACAAATATTGTGAGCGCGGGCGAATTCACCTGAAAAAATCGTGCCTTGAAGCTTTGAAGTTTTATTTGCGGACGATTATCAATACGATTATCAAGCTTACTTCAGTATTCAGAGCAATTCAAAAAATAAAATTGGTCTAAATTACAGAAAAACCACTCCAAGCATATATATTCCTAACTGTCTTCGAATAGTGAAAATGGGTAAAACCGAGGTTTTACAAGGTTTTGTAGCAAATTCTTTTTTATGGAGGGATGTAGTTTGGATCTTTATTGGATCCGTACTTGGAAGAATTTTTTTTTAAATGGTCGTGAACGCTGTAATTACAGTAATATATAACGCTTTTCTGTTACACTTGCAGTGGTAAAGAAAACCCTGTAATACTGTTTTGCAGATTTTCGTTTAATTCGATAGACCATGTCTACTACTGCTACAATCAACATGAAGCATCTGCAGATATCCTATGTATTTAAAAAAGCCGAGATCAATGCACTAAAAAGTTTTAACACTAATTTTATTGTGTTAAAAGCTGAAAGCTGCAAAGCTCGGGGTTCAGTTTTTTGTTTTATCTATTTTTTTGTGTAATCCATATCGAGGATGTCGAATAAATCCCCCATCGGATCAAAGTTTTTATGAAATCAAAGTTAACCTTCCCTCAAAAGAAGGAGTACGAAACATAAGAAATGAATGTTCTGAGAAACAATATATTTTTTTGCGCATACTCTGCTACGTATTTTTCAAAAACAAAATTGGGCGATGAAATTGCGACACTAAAAGATAAAGTTGTGAACACGGAAACTTAAGAAGACTGATCGTATCAGGTCAAAGATCTGAATGCGAGCCCTGGTGAACTCAACTACGAAACCCCATGAGAACATGAAACAAGGATTATTCAAAAGCTACGCGCCCAGCGGTAACTGGGACACCTGGCACTTCCGCACCAGGCGACCAAGCGAAGACGGCAAAACCAATCCAACCACCCCCAACCCCCATCACCCCTGCGAAACACCCCCTACGTTTCGCCACCTGGAAGATCAGGACACTACCTCAACCTGAAGCGGAAGTTGTCCTATCCGAAGAGTTCAAGTTCGACAGCGACCACAGACCAGTAGTCTCCACCATACAGCTGAAACTGAAGTCCTACACAAAACAGCTACGCGTCGTCAAGTATGACCTCGCCAGCCTCCGCAAGGACAAAGTCTCCACCGCATAACAAAATGAAGCTCCATGAGCTGTTTGACAAGGCGGAAGGTAAGGGGAACGTGGACGCGGTGTGGACGCAAATGAAGGCCATCATACACTCAGCGGCAGCAAAAACCATAGGATCCACGAAACGCAAGAAAAACCCGTGGATCAGTACCGAGACCCTCCAACTGATCGAAAAAAGAGCCCGTGCCCGCAAGGGCTCTACAAAAACCTTCCTACGACGAGAAGTCAAGAAATCTGTCCGAAAGGTGCACTCCATTGTTAAGCAACTTTCCAGTAAACCCAGTGGGCTCAGCGAGAATAGCAAAGACTCACAGGGGCAGCTCGTGACGGACGCTAACGAGAGGATAGAAACCTGGGCAACGCACTTCGAACAACTGCTCAACAGACCCGAACCAGTGGAAACTCACATTGAGCACGACTAAAACTTTCTCTAGCGTAGACACGGCACCGCTCTCCATGCAAGAAATCCGCGATGCAATAGACAAACTGAAAACAAACAAAGCCGTAGGAATTGACAATACCCCCCCAGACGTTTTCAAAGAAGGAGGACCCCCACTGCTCGAGAAGCTCACCGAACTGATAAAGGCCAGCTGGACTAAGCGCGAGATCCCAGCAGAAGAGAAAATAGCTGTGATCACGCCCATCCTCAAAAAGGCGACCGAGCTAACTGTTCTAACTACAGGAGAATTTTGCTACTCTTGATTTCATTCAAAGTTCTCGAAGCAGTGGTTAAGAACAGACTCGAACCGGCTTACGAGTCTCAGGCCAGAATAAACCAAGCCGGCTTCAAGAAGAAAAAAGGTTGCAGGGACCAAATCTTTGCCATCAGACAAATCATAGAGCGGCGAGAGGAATTCAAACGCTGCACCAACCTCATTTTCATTGATTTCATAGCGGCTTTCGTTAGCGTAGATCAGAACTGCATTTGGCGAATATGCTCAAACCTTGGCCTCCCTGAGAATCTAGTTGAACTGCTCAGAGCCATGTATTCAGAGACTTATAGCCAAGTCCGCGCTTACAACTCCCTTTCCAAAAATTTCGAAATACACAGTGGAGTCAGACAAGGCTTGTCTCTATCCCCTTTCCTTTTTAACCTCACTATAGACTGGATCTATATGACTGGAAACGCTGAAAAATAAAAGACTCGGAATAGCGCTTGACGACACGTCAGTCGCAGATCTCGATTTTGCAGACGATATCTGCCTCCTCGAGGATAACGGCCCAGACGCGCAAAGACTGCTAACAAAAATCACCGAGAAGGCAGCACTCATTGGGCTCCAGATTAACGCCAGCAAGACAAAGTTTTGTTCACAAGACCCATCTCAGACGTTTCAAGTCGACGGCGAGGACATCGAATTAGTGGAGAACTTCGAGTATCTTTGAAGGAAACATCTCCCCGCAGATTAAATCAAGGATTGGGAAAGCAGCTGGCAGCTTCAAAAACATGAAGAACGTTTGGAACGCCAAGAAGATCCCACAAACCACTAAAATAAACTTGTACATGGCCTGCGTACGGAGCGTCTTGCTCTACAGTTGCGAAAGCTGGCCAACCAAACAGTCGGATCTGAAATCCATCCAAGCATTCGAGAACAGGTGCCTACGACACATCTTGCACAGAAAAACGACTACTACCCCCACGGTTGAACTGTTGAACACAGCTAGGCTGACACCCCCGGCCAAAACTATACAAGCTCGAAGGTTGAAGTGGCTGGGGCATGTGCTCCGCATGGACCAAAGTGAAATCGCCAATGCAGCTTTAAAATTCGAGCAACCAGAAGGCCACCCGGCGGTGTGAAGCAGACTTGGCGAAACATCATCCGAGACGAACTCTCAAAGCACATCAAAACCCCCCGCTTGACACACAAGAAGTGGGAAAAGGAATGGTTCGAAATCAGCAAAGAAGCCGCGAGCGTCAAAAGCCAATGGAGAGGCCTTGTTCGAGACATCATGGCGGGCAATGGGCAATGATGCCTGCAAAAGCCCCACTTGGACTTGGAAAGACCTGAATGTTCCAAATATCTTTCAAGGCAACTGGAGGAGTCTTCGCTGTCAAAAAATGGATAGATATTTCAAAAAAAGAAAACATTTTAAGCAAATTTTTGAGATTCATTTGAAAATCAACACCCCTTCCCCCCACGTTATGTTGAGTACAAAGTGAAATACTTCGCATATAGCAAAGTACTAAATATACTTACTAGCATGCCTAAATTCAGAATTTTGTTTTTAAAACAATGATGACTATCAGAGAGAGTTCCAAAGAGAGTTGAAAGATTTTCCTCTACTTTAGCTATGATTATCAGAGCGAGTACAACTCGGGTCGATTTTCATTTTTTGGGACCTTATGCTACTTAAATCCAAAACCATGAACGGTTAAAAATTGAGTCACAATTTATGGCTCGGCGAGATGTTTTCAGCAGGTCGATAGAAAGCTGGAGGATTGGCAAGGCGCTTCCAGAAATTTTTTTATGAAAAAATAGCTCAAAAATTGTTTATTTTGCGCCAAAATCCAACTTTGTATAGAAGATTTTAGATTAAGTTATTTTTGCAAAAGTATGGTAAACATAAACCTTTTTGCAACTGAGACTTATTGCATTATGGTTTCTGGTTCTTCATCATGAAGGGTCGAAGCGTATATAGGGATAACAGGGTTGATTTAGAGGGGCAGTGGCGGCGGGGGTCGGGGGGGGGGGGGGGTGTTTGAATGTTCTTTCTCAGGGATCCAGCCCCCTGGCCAACTGAATGGGGTTTTATCTTATGACATCCAGTTTCGGTGACCAACCCTAAAATCTATTAATCGCGCATTTGATGCCATATATAGAAAATCCTCCTCCTCGACAGTGATAACAAAAAAAAACTGCTAATTCTTTTAGATATGCGAGTTTACTTACTATATTTTTAAATTTAATTAACAAGCAACCAGATTTTAAATCATAACAAGACTGCTCATGCTCGTAAGCAAGAATTCCGAGTGCCCCTTCATCCATATCGAAAAACTGTCATTGAACAATTTGAGTCGTACGAAGTTAATGATACCGATTAGCTAGCCTGAATTCATTTTGGAACGATTGTGTTGTGCAAGGTAATTCGCCATGCATAAATATTTCGTGTTACGCTTTCAGCATCCTGAATAAAATCTTCAAAGCGCATAAATTAGTCCAGAGCGTGGCCAAATTGGCAATTTTCCGACTCCCATAACTTCGCAAAAAATGCAATTAGAATTCTAAAAGAGTGTAATCTCCAAATCTTTGCGCAAATGGTTTCAGTTTTGCTTTCAACCTAAGAATTGGAATTTATATTTTAAAAAAGACATTTTTCGGCTACCAAACAAATGGTTTCCTTTAAAAAATAATATCGGAATATACCCTTCCAAGTCTTCGTTGGGCTGAATAAAAGGCTCATCAATTGCCTCAGTAGATTTAGCTTGATTTTTTGGTTCACTAAAACAAGTCAAAATGACCTATTTTTGTTGTTAAACTTTGGTCTCGAACTTCGCAGTCTCATTTGCACACCGTAAAAATTCGGGTTAAGTTTTAAGCAACTTTGGTTTTTTTAATTTTCAGTCCTATGTCAACCCAATTTGAGAAAAACGCACTCAGAATATCAAACCTGTTCGTTTTGTCCGGATAATTCAAATCAGCACTATATAAGTGTCTTAACGTCAAAACTATTCAAATCTATTTTGGAATCGAGAAAAGTTTTTTCAAGATACGAAAAAAACTGAAAATATCGGATTTCTGAGAATGTTTCAGAGTTTGTTGCTACTAGAGAGTGGTGGAAGAGTGAATGAAGAAGATTGATGTATAGGAAGCCCTTATTTTTTTTTCAATTTCCGTTTGTGAAAAAAATTTGAAACTCAAAAGCGGCAAAAATTTATTATCAATTTTAAGAAAACAACATGTTGGAAACAAACAACAGGAAACCAGTATATCTCACGGGACAGTAACTGTTTTTCATGATGTTCCATAAAATTTCGATAGCACTTTTTGTGGACAACGAATTAGGAGCAAAACGTTTGATGTATGCACTTACTAGTGTTAATGTATCAACCCAGCTAGACTAATGTAGTTATCATCATCGGAGTTCTCTCAGCGCTCAAATAGGAATCATCGAGATCAATCACTGACCCAGTTTTGAGTTGATGATTTTAAGTTGATGATTATATAAAGATTTCTATATTCTTGGTTTTAGTAATTCTTAAGCAAACAAACAGAGCCATCTATATGGAACCATCAATATTCAGAAAATGTTTGCTTCTCACAACTTTAGCCAATAACTGATTGCCAAGAAAAAATTGATGCCACGCAGGGATGAAACTTCTGAAACTAAAAAAAAAGTTTTGCGAAATTGCCATTTCTACTACAGTTTCAATGGCAATTTATGGAGAAAACAAGACTGATCCTATATCAGAGCAGAGCCCTGAAAGCTCAGCCTGTCTGAATTTTGAAAAAAAATGGAAACTATAGATTTTGGACAATATCAAAGATCAAGCATGAAAATTTGAGTCGTACGAAATTAGTACAATCGATTCGCTACCCTCGGAGTGCGGTCAAAAAGTAGACAACCTTCAATTCATACTGATCAGAAAGCAGACAAATACAAGTATTGGCTAAGAAGAGTGGTGATAAAAAAACAAACTCACGCAAGAATCAAAACTATTAATTCATTTTGCATTTGTTCGAATCGTTATCATAGTATTTGTCTATTTTTATGTGTCTACTTTATGGTAGGTAGCTGGCCTCAATTTATTTTGAAACAATTTGGTTGTGCGGGATATTTTGCCACGCATAAATAATTCGCGTTACGCTTTCAGGATTATGCGTAAAATCTTCAAAGTGCGCTTAAATTAGTCCAGAGCATGACCAAATTGGCAATTTTCAAACTTCCAAAATGTTGCAAAAAATGATCGGAGGTAAAATTTGACTGCAGCGAGTCAATATCTCTGATGGGGCATAAAAATTTTTGTTGAAAACTATTATTTCAATCGCCGAAAATCGACTAAAGCCACACTGAAAGTTGGAACAAAAAATATCAAATGTAGACTATCTTTTAATTGACCTGTAAGTTTCTGTGAAATTTTAACAAAATCGGATTGACAAAATTTTCTTGCCGTTCAAATCTATGCTATGGATCAAAATGTATAGTGCAAGTCCATACTGGGAATCATTCATGCTTGTCTTACGATGCAACAAGGTTTCAATAAGGCTTAAAAGTTATACTTTGTCCTAAAAAACAACACCGAATGATTTTCTCGCATAAATCATAAGAAAACGAAAACTCTCACTGACAAACTACGTTCGGAGAATCACCATCCAAGTAACCTTTGGAAAACTATAAAAATGTAACTTATAAAACTTAATTTTACACAAAATACTCATAATATTTATTCTTTTGTTCCCTTTGTGAAAATGCTGTGTCTGGATTGCCCAATAGAAAGCAAAATTGCATCTTTGCGTGGAAACAAATTGTTTTGCAAAAAAATTCATGAAAAAAGTTTTGCAATAAAAAGAGCCGATCTGGGTTTAAGTAACTCCTAATATAAAAGGGGAGCACAATGTAAAAAATGCACATATCCTTATTCAGAATTCGTTGAGTTTTTTCTTATAGCGGTAGATTTTTTCCTCAATTTTAGAGTTTTTAATTTGAAATCAAATTTTTCATGTTTGGAATGAACGAAGTGAAAACTTTTGTTCAGGTCATTTTTTTGTTTTTTGTTTCAGGGAACACTAACAATTGTAAAATTGTTCGCTGTTAAACTCAACTTTTTTTGCAGTTTGACCCTTGTTTTTCAAAATTCATTAGTTAATGAGAAGACGATTTCTCTAGAGCGCAAAAATACGTGATCGACTTCTAATTGCAAGAAATTTCTCAGTTTGGGTTATTGTTCCGAATTTCAAAGAAAACAGAATATTTATGCTCGGTGTGGTTTTTTATTCAGTCAATTTTCGCCGATAGAAATAATAGTTTTCAACAAAAACTTTTTATACTCCATTGAAAATATTGACTTCCTGAGTTCAAATGTAAAAAAAAACATTTCACCTCCGATTGATTTTGGTAAAGTTCTGGGGGTTTGAAAATTGCCAAATTTGCTATGTTGTGGACTAAATTGTGCGCGCTTTGAAGAATTTGCTTATATTGCTGAGAGCGTAACGCGAATTGTTTATGCGAGGCGAATTATCCCGCACAACAAAATAGTTTCAAATTGAATTAAGGCTATAGCCTATTGGTCGTATTAATTTCGTAAACCCAAAATTTCACACTTTGATATTGTGCAAAATTTATAGGTTTTCAAGATTTTCCCCAGAAACTATTGTATATGAATTAAGGGACAGTCGGAACGTTCAGGGCTTTGCCCTGATATATGATCTGTCTTGTTTATAGCAAAAATTGTCCTACTTAAAGCAAAACTTTGAAAAAAAATAAGAATTCAACAATGTTTCGGTGATATTATTATTTTTTTTCATTCAATTTTTATTGTTTTTTATGCGCGTCACGATTTATATGTCAGAAGAAATTTTTTCGCAGGCGCATTGAGTCACTTCAAAGAAGATGTAAAATTTTTAACTAACCAGAAAAGCCAGAAATGAAGTCATCTGTGATGTCAGCATGCCTCCTCTGTCAGATGCAGAATGATGCTGATCTCCAATTAAACTTGGCCCGAACCAATTTTGAACTACCAAAATTTGCTTCAATTTCAATTGATTTTTCCAACTGTTGAATTATCACTGATTTCGTTTTTTATCTCCTCAGTAGGTCTGCAGTTCTGATTGCTTTTTGTTTCGCTTTGCTCTGTGTTCTAAACAAGGACAGATGTTATAGTTACCCAATTCGGTATCCAGAAGGGAGACAATTGTGTTATGGACTTTGGCTGCCCGGGAAATTAAATAAATTGAGGTTATTTTTAAGAACTAAATTGAAAATATAGCCAAATTGGGCCTCGGAGGGGAATTAACTATGCAGAACGGTGTCACGCCTTTATTTATGCTTCCCAGATGTAGAATGACTAAAAAGTAGCTTTTATAGAAGTCCAGGAAAACTGAAATTTTTGCAACTAGTTCCGGTCCGGCGAATTTCAAAAGCGCTGAAAGATATCAGTTTCTCTCTGAACCGAGTTTTCCCCAACGGATGAGTGATAATTTTATTGGTCTGTATCTTTTGTGCTTATTAATTCAAATTCGCCGGCGTTGATTTTGCCTGCTATCAAAGTTACCGCAATTTTCCTATTGAAGTTTTCTGTGGATCTTTATCAAAAGTGACTAAGAAGGCAGAATTTGCTCTTTTTTCGCAACATCTGAACGGAAATCATTTTTTGTTGACTATGCTAATGACATGACGGCTTTATGAAAATTGGATATTTTATTTATCTTGTTTCAAATAATAATCAATTGGTCTGAAAATCTAATTTTTCGACGCCTGAAATCTGTTTTTCTTTCTCTAAACAAAATAAGTTTTCGAGTATTTTCTAAGCAAACCATCCAATATGAAAAAAACTATTATTATTCACGATTTTCTGTACTTTCATTCACTAAATAGTTTAGTTAAAACATGACAATTTGCGAGGCAAGCAAATTTAGGAAGAAACGTGTTGAAAGTAAAGTATCGCTCACCTAACTTGTCCAATCTGGTATCACAACTAGTCGGTATCTGGTATCACAACAGAAACAATTCTGAATAGTTAATGGAATGATATGAAAATATTTGTTTTGGTCTCCTCTTGTGGAATCTGGAGACAAAAGGTTTGATGCGGGTGTGATTATTCTCTCCGACCACCCGGTAATTTATGAAAGGGGGAAGTGATCACGAAGCGAGGGCTTTCTGCATGATTAAATTTATTAATACAAATGATCAAAGGTCCACCTGCCGATATCTGCCGAGAACGATTCTCCAAAGACCCGCAAAATGGTTAATTTGACAACTTTTCCCCACAACGATGAAAAAACACTTCCTCTTCCTGGTAAATGGATTAATCATTTAATTATGCTTGTTGAATATTAGATTAAAACACTTTCCGGACCCCCTCGAAAGGTTTGAACTTTCAAACTTAGCTGAAATATTCAAGGTAATATTCAAGCCAGGTATTTTTGTTTTGCAATCTCAAGGGATGTGAATCTTGATTTGAGAACAGTGGCTCGGTCTCTAAATTCACTGCATGATCCTTAGAAGCAGTAGTGGATTTAGGGGAAGGGGCGGGTGTGTAGGTGACATGCACGCTTTGCCGACCCAAAAAGTTCCCCCCACTAATTTGAGATATCCATTTTTGGCTGACGAATCCGCCAATATTTAATAAACTTAAGCGCCAATATTTAATAAACTTGAGGGGGAAGCGCGCACAAAAAAGCGCGATTTTTGGTCAAAGATTTCCAAAACTGCCTAAAAACGCCTTTTTGGCATGTTTTTTTTTTAAAAAAATTGGCTGCGGCGCAGAATATTTGGCCAGTATAGGTTCTTTTTAGTGATTTGGGAGAGCTCAAAAAATCAATTTGGTCGACATAAAAAAAGATCGACAAAGTTTTTGAATTTAAAAAAATTCACGCCTCGAGAAAATCCTAGATCTGCCACTGCTTAGATGTATGGATGAGTCTGGAAAGACGACTTCAATTCACATTTATCAGTTTGCAAGACAGATTGCAATTTTGTGCTGCGTTAAATAGGTTCGCATTTACTTTGAAAAATATGTACATGATCGGTTGACAGAGCTGCAAAGTTTAGTCAGAACCTGAGTATTATCTCGCTTTACTTGGGTCGAGGTTCATGATTTAACAAAAGACTTCGAAAGTAGCGCCACATACCGTTTTAGACCGACTATCGTACTCGAGTCTTTTCTTAAATCGCGCCACCAAGCCTTTTCTTAAGTCTTTTCTTAAGTTGAGCTTCAGGGAGAGTTGATTATCACAAACCGCAAATTTCAATAGGATGACTGTATTTTGAAAATTAAGGACTCCCGCGGTAAAAAAAAATCCACTTCAAAAAAGTTTCTATATATACTGCCTATTACAGTGAAGGCTCAAAATATTGCAACCTTGATTTTTCAACGCCGAGTAAATAAGCAACACTTTTTAAAGGTTTTTGTCGATATCTAACTATCAGATTGCAAAAATTACGCATGGCCAATGAAACTAATTGAAAGGATAAAGCCAAATAAAACATTGAAGAGTTTTGTTTTGGAGGTGACAATACTTACCAAGTTACGAACTTTTGGATTGTTAAATACGTTGGTTTTATTAGGAGAGAAGTGCGGCCAGAATAGATGCACCCGAGGAGGAAGAGGAGGACGACGGGAAGGCGCAGGAGGACTCGGAACTGTTGGAGAAGATAAACGAGAACAAACAAGAGAACGATGGTAAGTAAACAGCAGCAACACAACAACAATTACATCTATTATCGCTCATTACTATTCAGCTGGCTATTCACTATTTACATGCACTCAGTAACATTCAGTGGGTAGAAGTTTCATCAGGGTAACATTGTTCTTTTTTTAATCTCTGTCTACGCATATTTCAGCTTGATTGATATGCCGACACTAATACACTTTATACTGATATATCACACGGGTGTCTAGTTTAAATTGTAATGAATGATTTTAAAGTAGTGTCTGTATTTTTTAAGAACTCAATTCCAAGTAGTCTCTTATTTCATAGCCATTGTACTTAATTGGTACTCAGAAAGTTCATTAAAAAATATAAGAGCTTGATTATAAATAAAGTGAGAATGAATGTAATGAGACACTTATATAAGTCGTGTTGATTTTTTTCCTTTTTTTCCGGAAAAAAGTCTGAACATTTGATCTTTGTTTACGCTTAAAATTGAGTTTTTGCGGTTTGACTTTTATACTGTTTTTAAAATCAGTTGAAATTCTACAGCTAAGAGGAAGGCAACATGCGCTCTTCCATTCGAATGAAATAGGCAAAAAACGCAAAATTCCGTAAGTTTCAAACTGAGTTTTATTATGTAAATTTCTCAGCGGAAAAAAATGTTCATCTATTGATGCCTTTTTCCCAAACTGGTTTACTTTTATTAAAAAATTTAACCAATCTCAAAATTTTTTTGAATTTATAAGAGTTTTAAGGTGAAAATTATTTCCCGAACATCGATAATGAAAAAGCTAACAAAAAGTCAAACCTTTTTTTGTCAGTTACCTTAACTTCATTGACAACTTTCTAACTTTCTGTTGGCTATGTCACTTTTTGCTTTTTTTAGTAAACTTGGTATAATGGGGGTTGTTTCACGCAAAATCACTTACCACAAAAAATTCCAAAGCAATCAGCGCAAAATTAATTCATAAACAACAAATTTTTGTTTTCTGCTCTTATTTTTTGTTTAAAAATATTTAAAAATGAGTTTTGTTTCTAATGCAACAAGTTTTGTTGTGATGATAGTAGTCCTAAAAAAAAGTATGTCGCAATCCGAGAAAACAAAACTGCTTGTACTGGCGCAAAACCCTAAGCGTTCCAACTGCTTTTTAAGGTCTGGAGTACTATTGATTAGAAAAAGTGATGAATTTTCAAAATAAAGATGAAAAAATTTTACAAAATTTTTTTTCAAAATTATCACCCCCTGGCGCGGATAGTTTCCCAAATTCTCTTTAAACCCACATAAATTAACAAAAAAAAAATAAAAGGGAAATAATTTTTTTTGTGAAATAAAAAATGGCTAGCTAAAAAGTCAGAATTTGTTTAGAGAAAAAATCACCGCGAGCACAAATATTTTGTAACTTTCTTCGAAAATAGTCTGAACAAAACTACAAGAAATTGAGAAAATTCATGTTTGGATGTTTTTAATGTTTATAGCAAGAGATTTTCTGCGACACTATGCTAGTGCCTCCAAAGTGCAAAAACTCCAAATAAAAAAACGTTTTAGTTTTTCCAAATTAATGTTTTGTTAATGATACAGCAGTAATTGACCAAAACAGTAGTCGACTGTGACCCAAATTGATGTTAAATTGATTTTTTCAAGCTGTCCATTGCACTAGAAATGCCTTCTAATATGAATATTCTGTTCAATGCCCGGTAACTCTTACTAAATTATTATGCTAATTTAAAGCTGAGGTGACATATGTTTAACACTTTTTGGCAACTTTTGGGACTTCTCAGCAATGGTTTTTTGTGCGTTCGTTTGACGTCAATATTTATGCACAAAAAGATGTTTGATTCTTTAAAAAAATCGTTGCGTTAACTAAAAGTTGTACTTAAAAACTTAAAAACTGCATAATATCACCAATGAAATAATTGCTCAACTTGAAGCAATTTTAGGAATTAAAAAGTTTTTTTTTCAAATAAAAAGTAACTGAAGACTTTTTAACTTGTTGGATTAGATTCAATTGATTATGATTTTTTGAGAAATAAATCTTTATATCCGTATTTTTTGGGAAAAATAACAATTTTTTAACTTGAAATTGACATTTTTTTTCTCAAAAAAACTAGCCTTTGCCTTTACCCAAAAGCAAGAAATAGTAAAACTTGGATAAGAAAGTAGAAAAACTAGAATTTTCCCTTGTATGACATTGTTTATGCAATAATTACCGTAGTTGGAACATGCTGTGCCACTTGCACAACAACTGGCTATCCTGTGTTCAGTTTTGATTTTATCAATATAAAAAAAATTCAAAGTTATCTGAGCAAAAGTTGCTGACATTTTTTTGTTTTTCGTGCATAATTTCAAAATTTTTTCTAAGCTTTTTTAATTACCTCCCTATTGTTTTCCATTTAAAAATAAATTAAATAAAATGAATGTAGTGGATCTTTCTATCCTTAGTGCACATCGACCGGGTATTCTTAACACATTAAGTTTTCCTCTAAAACAACGCACAGCCGACGGTACAGTTGAAAACCTAATGTTGGAACTGACAAAAAAAGCATCCAGAGTTGAAAACACAATTGTAACAAGACTGCTCGTATCAGGGTAAAGCACTGAATGTTCTGATTGTCTTATAAGTTGCAGTGTTCGCTTCATAACAATTGATGAACTTTTCAAAAAAATGAATTTAAATTAAGTAAAGTATAAATAGAAGTATAAAGTACAAAGTACTATAAGATAAAGTGCAAAGTTATAGATTTAGCTCCTATAAACATAGAAATTATGGCAAATATCGTTCTTCAACCAATGTGGAAAGAGTTCTAAGACGAATTAAGTCTCCGCTCACGCGTTAACAGCGATATCGCGCGTTAATTGACCCAAGTTGGCCAAAATGGCAACCTTTAAACCCCCATAATTTCAGGAAAAACTATCACAGATAAAAGAAAATTTTTAAGTTGGAACTCAGGACAACAATACTTTTCAGATGATATAAAAAGTTTCCGTCAAAAATGGCTAGTTAAAACGACGAAATTTATGTGAGAAAAATCGACCCAGAGCACAAATGTTCCGTCACTTTCCTCGAAAGTCGGAGCTATAAAATGGGTTGGGATAAGCGCAACGCAAAACGTTTGATTTTGCCAACGTTTGAAATATGAAAATGGACGCCCGGCTTAAATCTCACTTTGGTGGAATTTCTCTTTGTTGCTGCTTCAGGTCGAATTGACGATGAGTTTGTGGTGCAGTTCTTCAAGGAGAAGTTGCACTCGAAGCCCTGTCAGAACCAGGGATTTGTTCTGGACGGCTACCCTAAGACATACGACCAAGCAAAAGCACTCTTTGTTCCAGGTAACATTTTAACATACATTTTTCTTCAAGTCAGCAAAAATTCTGACATATCGTCGAGATCTGTAGTCAATTTAGAGCAGTACTGTATTGTTGTATGCAAAAACGCACTATCAATTTTTGAACATTCTTCAGCTCTTCTGTAAATACGCTCTATGTCATGGCATTAAAAAAAAACAAATGAAAAAATATGTATTTATCATAGTATTTGATACATTGAGAGTTATCGTTAAGAAACAATTTACATCATAGCTGGACAGAATTTCACTCTTTTTCTTTTGTTTTTTCAAAAAGCGGCGTACTCTGCCGCGTTCACACTCATGGAGGGTTTTTTATGGTCTTCTAGAGGGTAGCCCTCGCCCGTCTTGTCTTTTTTCTTGCAACAGTTACTCCCCTTGCCGCAAGTGATTTTGTCCACGATTTTGTTGAAGATGTCGATTGGCATGTACACTACAATTGCTATCAAAATAATACCGACGATCAAGGAGCAATAGACAGCTGCTGTGATGCCCTTGTCCAAATCTGGCCAAACTGTTTCAAAGGCAAACCCACCGTGGTCGTCTCCAGGCATATTTTTTCTTTGTTTTTCTGGATTTTTTTTCGTAAATTTTCTCAAAGAGGAAATCTGTAGCTTACGCGATATATTGATTAATTGTATGCTCCAAAACTTGGACTACACGATATAAAGTACAAGTTTAAATAAATTTTATATAATATCAAATTTGATCAAATAACTGGAATATGCGACTAAATTCACTATGACGGTTGATCGCGACAAAGCACAACTGTTTATAAACGCGAACAATAAACAATAGAGTTAAATGTAAACCATCAAAACAACGCATAGTTTTTGGCGGAAACTTTCGTCATCGGTTGTTAAGCCTCGTTTTTGGTTTAAGGTTTCTTTAATGAAGGTTAAAGTGTGAAATAATGATCACTTGTACAATCAATGTTAAACGTTGTTGAAACGTGAAATCTTTACTATCTTTTTGTCTACATTTTCATATCACTCACGTGGTGTTTCAGAGGATGACATAGAAGAACTAGAACAGGAATCAAAAATACCCCAGTTCGACAAACAGATCATGCCAGGTACTTACAGCGAGCCATCAAATGACTATAAAACAGTCTATAAGCCAAATTTTTGGTCAAAAATTGGCAAATCCAACCCAATCAAAGATTGTAAAAATGAGAAATGAAGTTGTGCTCACAAAGTTATCAAAATTTGAGTCTCCAGAAGTCAAGTTCTGGTTCATTAAATGACATCGTTGGTTATTAGTGCATCGAAAATAACCTGATAATGCATAAACATGGTTCAATAGGGTCGTTCTGGATCTACATAAGTGAAGTTGGGGTAGAAAATGATCTCATTATCATGCAAAAGCTAAGTGTCTAGAGTTCATAGTTGTATGATGAAAAATATTGCCCATATTGATTTTGAATTGAACATGGAATTTTACCGAAGTTCTATTACTATCAGTTTTTGGTGCTTAAGAAGTGTTAGTCTCCCTGGAAGCGCCCGATGAGTTTCTGCGTGACCGAGTGATGAACCTGCCTGAGAAGTTGATAGAGGGCACCCACAACACAGAAGACAAGTTGAACAAGCGACTCACAGTGTACAGGGAGAACAACACGGAAGACGTCACTGCCCTCAACTACTTTGACGAGCTAGAGGTCCATCCTCACATCATTGGTGAGAGCAGCAGCTGTTTCTTTTGTAGACAAAACTCTAAAACGAAACTGATTTTCAAAGAACTTGACAGCTTTTTTGACACTTCCCGATACTTTTTTACCACTTATATGCTCAATATGTACCAACTAATCGATTGAAATTTTTAAAGTGCAGCAGATTGTGAAGTGTTTTGTTTCAGATATCACCAAAGATAAATCAAAGGAGGCCGAAAACACTGTGGAACAGCTGAAGAAGATGATCGGAAGCACCCGAAACTACGGTTGGTTGCTATTCAACAAATTAGAAGTCTAATTTTTCATTGAAACAAATATTTCACAGACAGGGGCGGATCTAACATTCCCGCTAGACATTGTTCAATGGCGCCGTTGGCAATTTAACTTAAATTTTAGGATACATCCTCGCCCAAAGGGATCTAGTAACGCAATATCCTGAAAGTAGTCCAACTTCCACCACATACCGCAATCAGTTGCTGCTCATTTCCCTCAAAAACAAATGACCTCAAATACATTTACATGGACTGAATTGTTGAAAATTGACTTCAATGTTTTGTTTTTAAAATTGATTTCAAAATTCTGAATTTTGAAAAATAGTTCATGAAGTGGCCTCGCTTTAACAAAAAACAAATGGCTCAAAATCCTTTTATTTCATATTCGAGCCTCTTTTTTTAGGAGCTGTTCTATGTTTTTCTTGAGGGGTTGATTTTCAAAAAGTTTTTGACATTTTGTCCTATTTTGACATTTTTTTTGTAAAATTAGGCCAAAAAGCCACTTCCTGAATAGTTTTGACGAAAAATTGCGTTTTTTTGGCGCGCGCGCTTTTCAAAATTAGTACATATATTGGCGCCAAAAGCTTCTTGAGAAAAATTTTAGGTTGAAAATGGATGTCCTAAAATAGTTTAAAAAGGAACTTTGAGGAGGGGGCATCAACCGAACCCCCGTCTCCCTAAAACCGACCCTTTTCCTGCTGATAATGTAAGCTAAAATGTGAAATGAATCATAATTTCTCAGATAGAAGTTTGCTGTGTTTGAGTGTGTGAGTGTTTTCTTTGTGTCAGGTGCTACGGCGGAGGAGTTGGCGGAGCAGGAGAGACAGCAGGCGGAGAGGAGACTGAGGGAGGAGACGATGGAGAGGGAGCAGAGACAGAGGCAGGAGCAGGAGGAGCTGCACGAGATGAAGAGACGGCAGGAGGAGTGGGTAGGAGACCACTTTAACTACATGCATCTTAAAGTTTGCACAGTAGCTTTCATGGATTTGCAGAAATAAACTTGCTCTTCTCACAATAGTTGTAATTAGTATAGGGAAATTCAAGTTAAGTGAATTGTAATTTTGCGTTTTCTATCTTATGTCAGTTAAATTTTTTATTGTTGCGCAGAAATCACGCCTGGACGAAGTGCGCCGCGAGGAGCAAGAGACCCTTGAGACCCAGAGTGCTCCTCTGAGGAACTACCTGATGCAGCATGTGATGCCCACTCTCACCATGGCTCTGGTGGACTGCTGCAAAGCCAGACCAGACGACGCCGTAGACTTCATTGCGGAGTACCTTTTCAGGAACAACCCACAGGTTGATTAGGAAAACCGGGATCTACAAAATAGAAATGGGATGAAAAATAAACCGAATCACAAGAGTCACACCTCATTGAGCTGGTTAAATACAAACTAATGTTTAGTTCTTAATGTGATTTAAGCAATTGTTGTCCAAGAATGTATTATGACCCGACATCTATAAACGTTTATTTGATTGCACTTTCTCACTGATGAGACAAAATGGTTGAAGAAAGTTTCATTTTTAAAGAGTTTTTTTTTAAAATAAAGTCAGCAAAGATGAAAAAATAATATTGCATCTCAGACGCAGAATTTTAAAGGAAAAACTGAAGGCTCCGTTCCTTTCCCATCATAATGAAAGTGCGGTGAAAACTCAGTGAACACGCAAGCAGACGAGTTAGATTGGAAAATAAGTGAACTGATCAAATGAGAGAAAAGCGCATGTAACACAACAGTTGTATGTGTAATGAGAAAAGCCAAAATAAAATAGAGAGAATAGCCGAAAAAGTGAAAAATGAAGCTAAAAATGAAGCTACTCACAGTGTAAATGCTTCTATGATTGATCACCATTCGAAAAATTACTTCTAAAGTTATCAGCCGGAAAATTAAAAAATACTTAGCTAACTCTGATGTTTCAGCACCACTGAAATTTTTAAGTACAACTAATTGATTTCGACACAAAGAAAAATTAATTATAAAAAACTATCCGTGACATAAATAACTGTGGCATAAATAACAAAACTATAAAATTGTCGCTGCCTGTAACTTCTGTAAGATTTTGCAGCCTTTTCAACCAATGCGTTAAGAGTGGTTATTTTCCTCAAGGCTTAAAAGTTGCAAAAGTATTCCCCTTTTGAAGGGAAGTTTAAAAGAATCTTTGGAAAATTATAGACCTATTAGTTTACTCAGTTTAGTCGGCAAAATTTTCGAAAGGATAATTTTCAAAAGAATGTATACCTTTGCTAACAAGCAGAAGATTCTTTATGAAAAACATTTTGGATTTCAAAAGAAAAAGTCATGCGTGGACGCATTAATCGAATTCACCGAACTTATTAGAGAGGGATGGGACAAAAAATTGGTTGGTCAATCATGCCTTGTTGATCTCAAAATAGCATTTGATACCATAAATCATGATCTTCTTTTGGCAAAACTGGAAAAATACGGCCGGATTTTTTGTCTTCTGAAAAATTACTTTTCAAACCGGTTTCAATTTGTTCAAACTGAAAATAAAATATTTTTTTTGTCGCTCTATGTCATGTGGAGTACCGCAAGGGTCAGTTTTAGGTCCGTTTTTGTTTTAAGTATATATAAATGATCTTCCGAAAATTGCTGAAGGATCTGAGGTTGTTCTATTTGCTGATGATACTACAATATGCAATGCAGAAAAAAATTGTTGCGATAGCTTTGATAGTTCGTAAAATAAAGTGGATAGATGGTTCAAAACGAGTGGACTTTGTGTCAATCCTGGTAAAACTCAAATAATGAAATTTGGTAATAACTTTTCAAAACTTTATTGTGCTTTTGGTACTATAGTTCAAATTACAAATGTATGTAAATAATCAGGCATTTTTGTCGATAAGAAACTTATTTTCAAATTCCACATTGAACATGTGTGCAAAAAAATTAACTGAATTTTGTGGCATTGTCTGGAAAGCTAGGTATGTTTTTCTAAACAGCAGATGCTTCGCTTCTACAAAGCATATGTAAATCCTACAATCACTTATGGAATTTTAATATACGGCAATACATCCCAATCTCACCTTGCCGAGATAATGAAACTACAAAAAAGAATCTTGAGAGCAAGTTTTTCAAACGTAGATAGGAAATTATGGACGAAAACAAATTGCTTACTGTTTTCGATTTAAACTTTTTTGAGATGTTTAAGTACTTGTTTATGGAACTGCGATCGGACAAAAAAAATGGGTTTCTGTCTCAGATTTACTCCCAAAAAAGTGGACCATGTACCAGGAGCAAAGCGAAAGGTGTAATTAAAGTGGCAAAATTTTCTACTACCGCTAAACAGAGATCGCTTACAGTTAGAATTGAGCAGGGTTTTAACTATTTAAAACAAAATGACTTGATACCTGCTAATATACATGAAATGTCAGAAGATAGTTGTTTGAGACTCTATAAACAGTTTTTTCAAATTTACCTAAAAGGCAATCAGGACCTCTACAACCTCTACTGTTTTAATTTCAGCCCTTAATTTAATTTGTTTGTTGATTTGATGCTGTCTGCCTTCTTTTTACTCTCCAGGATATCCTACTCGATGAGCAGTAATGCTCTTTAGGATCTCCCTCCAGGCATAATATATTGCTTTTGGCGTTGTATATGTAGCTGGTAGAGTAATTTAAATTTCAAGTTTTTCAGCTTTTATGCAAATTTAATTTCAAAACACACTAGTAGTAAAAATTGGGGAGGTCTATCGCTCACTTTTGGCTCATCTGTATTAATATTGAATATAATACATGAATGCAATTAAACGATTTCAGCAAATATGGACCGATTTGGTCAATAGCAAATGGTATCTTAGCTATTATAATGTATCTATTTCAGCAAACAGTAGCAAATGGACTAAATTGTAACTAAAGCTTTATCGATCGTTTTATATTGACACCAAATCACCTCCCAATCCAAACATTTTTGCAAAAATTATGCAATTTGGATATTCTTTGTGCGTACTGAATGTTTAACGATTTTGTGAATAATTGGTGTTTCTACTGACTGACTGTCACTGAGACAGGCTGGTCATTAATTGAGCTACTTGAACGGTTGACCTCCTGGAACAGTAAGCTCTAAATGGAACAACAAACTGGCCTCATTGGCGAAATATCTGGAAGTCCTTGTTTGCTTCTAAAAGTCACATGGTTATATTTTAAACTCTCCGCCGAATTTAATAGCAATCAAGCTTGTATCAAAAATCGAGCCATTAGAAGAAAACAAAATCTATTAGGCTGAAATTTCGATTTTAGATTGGCACAGCTATATTTATCTCTTAAAATTTTCCTGCAACTAAAGAAAGCGAGTAATGTACTTGGAACCCTAAGAAGTTCCAATCCAGAACCTCCATTAGCAAATCTTCACTTCCAATAAAACTTTCACCTCCAATTCGGAGCAGTAAGATTAAACATCAAAATTTTGGAGGTCACTCGATTGAGTTTTCAATTGTACGTTCTCGTAAAGAGCAGACGTATGCTCACTCAATGTATTTTTTTTTCAGGTCAGCTGTACTTTGAATGTTAAAATTCAAAGGATGGTAGGTTTTTGAACACATCCGAGGTATGTTCGATTTACTTGTAATCACTAAAAAAGCCGACGAAAAAAATAAAGTCAGTTAATGAACACATCGAACTAAATTGAAATAAATTGAAATTTAAAGCCAAGGAGAGTCGGTTATTGAGCAAGTAGCACAATATGTTCCGACCTTAGTCTTAGCAAATACAAAAACAGTTTTTCTAAAAATTAAGCACATTCCTTATCCATAATAAAATTTGCAAACTGAAAAACAGCTGTTTTTTGTTTCAATTTTAGATTGCCATAGCTCTATTTACATTTTAAAATATTCTTTGTACCGAAGAAAGTTACTAATATAATTGCAACCAAAGGAAGCAATCTTCATTGCCAATAATTTTTCCCCTCCAACTCGGAACAGTGTGATTACACATCAAAAATTTGGCCGTCATTCGATTAAGAGTTTAATTGGACAGCTATGATCACTCAGTGTTTTGTTCCAGATTAAGTGCACTCCCTTTACGCAAGCACACAGAAGTGTGGTCTTTCTATAGATATAAAATTTTTAAAAATCGAAAACAGTATTTGAGAAAAAAATATATTTTATTTGAGAAAAGTGGGGAAAAATCCAGTCACAAAAAATGAAAAATAAAAAGTCAAATCTCAAAAACTATCTTTCAGACAGGAGGAGTATTCTACAGCTGATAGCGGGCAAGCAGTACTAACAAATAGTTTTATTCGAGTTTCCAAAAAAGAGCATTTATGAGCAGCAGCAATTGAGCAGCAGAGATTGTTAGAGAAGTTTTTAACTGGAAAGAGTCTAGTTCCAGATTACTAGTCACGTGCTCTCGCAAGTGAAATTACCGTAATTCATATTTCTTTTTAACTGATTTAAAAATAAAATTATTCAAATTTAGCTATCGAGTCAACCAGTGTCTGAAGAGAATCATATCGTAGGATTAAGCAATTGTAGTTTAATAGAAAAAAAACCCTTAAATAAATTTATTCAATCGTTAATTTTTTCGAACTCAGGATTATTTCTTTAACTATCCGTGTACAATCTCCCTTCAACGCATTAGGGTGTTTCTTTTTCATTGTAACCTCTCTTCCTCCCATTTGAGTGGTACGGTTGCTTAAGTCGATGAAATAAAGTCAGCAAAGATTAGGAACATGCCATTTGACAGTTGGAAAAGAGTAGTCAAAGCAAAGAAAGACAAGAAACTGACTCGTTTTTAAAAAAAAAATCTTAGTTTTTGGTCTTTGACAAAAATATATACCCTTGATGCTCTTCGAAGTTCAAAAATACTTTATGGTTGCTGCTTTTTAGAAATCAACCCAATATGATTTAAAAAATTGATTCAACAGGTAAATTTGAATTCAGCTGGAAAATCTGATCTTTCGAATCAAGAAGTCTATCACAATCTTGTGACTTTTACACTTTTCTGTTTGATAGAGAAGGTTTCCTTTTTTTAACAAAAGCGAATTAACTGAACTTTAAAAATATCAAAAATCAAACAGCTAAATAAATTTTGGCCTGAACTAAAGACTTTTCTTGAACAAAACAAAAAAATCATTGCGGCCTGTATAAGACTCTGATTTACGTTCATCGACTCTCAAAAACGCAAAAAATAATAATTATGAATCTTAGCTGCTAATTTTTGTTATTAACTCTTCTTTAGTTGAATTACATGAAGAATTTATGATTGATTTTTATTGGATAAAATTAAAACTGGATTAATGAGTAACTTTTTATTCGGTGGCGAAAACCTAAAATTCAAAACTAGCTGTTCGCGCTTTATTTGTCATTTCCGTTTTCGCGCTTGGCGAAAAAATTTGCCTTCCTTTGCAACCGAATTGAAATGAGCTTCAAAAAATATCACAAGTCAAACCGCGAGCACTCAAATTTGATCGTGAAAAAAATTTAAAAAATTCATCCTGTGAAAAAATACAAAAAAGTCATCAAACCTTCACTACTTTCTTCACTTTTAAGAACTATAACAAATTGAAAAAACAATTGAGGCCAAAATAGGAAAAAAGTTTGAAGCAAAACCAATGGTAAGAGGAGGGTTTGAAACCAATCTTTTCCCTCTGCCCATCCACATGAAGTGATTTTGATGGTGTTAAAGACACAAAAAGAAAAAATTGAAGGCCCGTACCCACAAAGCCGCATTACCGACAAATCAAAGCAAAACAACTTTTAATGAGGGCCTCGGATTTACCAAAAATGCGTGCAATACAACTTTCGACAATTCAAAGTTTTTTGTAACCTGCATGAAGGAGCGAGTTCAGATCAGGTATCATCATGTGTTCTTCAAGTATGAGCAAGTTTAGTTCAGGTATGATCATGTATTTGTAGGTATGATCGAAGCATTCTGCAGGTGGGAGCATGATTTTAGTTGCTCCACCCGATTCAGGTCTGATGCATGTAGGTGAATGTAGAAAAGAGACAAGGTTCACGTCTGAATTAGATTAGACCTGCTGTTTTTACCGATTTATGATGATCATATGTGAATATGGAGATAAGATTCGGTAGGGGTCGTTATTTTCGATGGCGTAAGGACACTCCAAAAACGAAATACATATACTTTTAGTTATTTCATACTACCAATATTTCAACAAACATCATAAAAAGTGAGACCCTAAAGTTCAAACGAAACAAAGTCAAAACAATTCGCTCACTCAATCAATGAAATAACGACCTAATGTTTTTCGAGTGTTTTTTTTCTATTGTTTTGTTTCCCATGCTAAATCAGGCAGCACTCATTTCAATCCATGGCAGCAGTCCAAGAAAGCTAGTTTTGGTAGCTTCATTTAGGGCGTTCTTCCAACTAAAAAAGTACTCTGCTAAAACACAATCTATAGAGAAACTTTTCTATTTTTTTCTTTGTCACTCATTTTTCGAAGGCACACAATTTCGATTATGCTCAAAATATTGAAATCTTACGCGTTCGTAGTGTTTTTTATCACACATGCACAAAAATTGATTTTATGACGAAATCTTTACTTTTTACAAAGGAAAAGGCGATCCGCCTCGTCTGTTTTGCTATAAAAATAGAACTGCCGGTCCCAAGTCCGGAAGAAGGAGGGTGGACACCAGGAAGGGCATCCGGTCCAAAAGGTCTTCGGTTTGAAAATGCTGTAAAGGGCACCGCTCCAAGCAACTCATTGAAAGTTAAACGAGCAATGACCCTCAACCTCGTGCATCCCTTAAAGGGCGAGGTTGTGCTAAAAATCTCACGAAATCGACTCAATTTACAAAAATGACTAATACTATCATGAATAACACGAAAAAACGCACAGTAGAAAAGACTATGCTTGTGGATCATTGGCACACAAAAAGGAAAAATTCTTGAGATATGCTAAACTTAAGAAAGAAGAAAGATATCGGTGTATTGTCTAAAACAAACTCGTTTCATGCAAAGCGTCACAAGAGGTTTTGGAAATAGCGACCACAAGTTTTTCTGGCGAGGAAACTCAGAATGCATAAATGTTGTTGCAATAGCCATCAATGGTCGACTTATTGAAAATGTACAGTAAGTCACTAGAGTAAACGATCGTGTTATGCGCCTGAAACTTGTATAAGAGCATACGGTGTGCAATATTGTATATGCGTACGCAAAAGCTGGTAGAGATGAGTCGGAAAAAAGGATTATATAACACGCTAGAAGATACTATGTTAACTCTACCTGACCAAGAAAATACTTTCCTGTGTTGTTATTTTGGGAGGTTGGCGCAAGGAATTTGACTGTGAAATTGCCCCATTTATCTTTGGTACACAAAACTCAGTTGTTCAAATAATTCTCAATTTTGGCAGTCATAAAATCTAGCGGTCCTAAACACGTTCTTTGAGTGAAGAAAACTTCATCCATATTGATTTTTTTCTCACACGATCGTCTCACAGAAGCTGTGTCAAAAACAAAGAAGGTTATTAAGGGCGAAGAACATGTTCTGTGTGCTTTCTATCTTAAAGTTCCCATTTACCGCCATAAGTCAAAATCCGTTAGAAGAATATAATGGAACTCAAATGAAACAGAAAACTCAATCAAGTACAAAGGGGCAATGAGCAGGAAGCTAGAAAAAAATCAAATACAGGCCAGCTGGAAAAAATTTCAACCAACACTTCTGGAAGAAGCAAAACAAAAAATGGCAAAACACAGAAAAACCAGAGAGAAAATTGAAAACATGGTGGTGGAACTGAAAATAGGCGAAAGAATTTAAAAGAAAAAAATTTTGTTCAGAATGTGGCAGAGGTCTGATTATGAGGAAGACTGGGTGATACATCGGATGCAGAACATTTGTGAAACAGCTAGTAGCTGAGCTAAAAAAAGAATCCGGCGAGAAATGGTGTCAAGATCTGTCAAAAGCGGGGAAACGGCATAAAATGTTCCGCTTTGCCAATCGACTGAAAAGAGATCAAAAGGATGTGGTTGGAGCGAAATTCATCAAATTTGATAGAAAACTACAGATTTGGGACCAATATGTTCTCTAGCACTGGCAAAGCTACTTCTCAAATCTTTTAAATGAAACAAATCTGTTTGAAATTGAAGATTCTGGTCCAATGCCCTCGGACTGTAGCGAAAGTTAAATGGCTACTTTTACAAAGGAAAAGGCAATCCGTTAGAATGTGCATCATACAAAGGCATCCAATTGCTGATACACGCATTCAAAATTTTCACAAAAAGTACAAGAAAACTGCCCGAGACAATTGATAAAAATAGATGAAATGCAATTTGGCTTTATGATAGGTAGATCAATTTTCGATGGCAATTTTCTTTAGACAATTGATAGATTTGTTTACCGAAAAGAGAAAACCCCTGCCTCATATATCTGTTGAACTCGAAAACGCCTTCGACCGTGTTACCAGCGAACTGATCCCATGGCCTCTCAGGCAATAGAGATTTTCCAAAAATCTGGTACGATTAAAATTGTTTCTGTAGATCGATTTGAGAACCAGCGTTTGCCGGCCCTAAGGATGCAGTGATTAATTCGTAACTAAAGTAGGCGTGCATCAAAGATCGTCTCTTGGCCCATTTATATTTATAACAGTATAGAAAGAGGCTTAGAGAATTTGTATATCCATGGTACCATAAGATATGCTACATGCAGATGACTTTTGCAAAAACTCGGTTTAAAAATCAAAGTTTAAAAATCAATTACAACGCAATTTATTTAAGGCCAATAGTGTCTTCCTCGAAAAAGATCCAATCGCTTGTTGTTTAAAGGGAGTCGTCGCCAATTCAAAACGCTGCCATCCGTGTATCACTAGTGCATAAAAAATGCTGAGTTCTGAGGAGGATACCTAAGCATTAGACTAATTGTTTGTCCAAGATGCAATAACCCTTTCAATTATCACTCAAATCAGAAGGCTACTCTACCGATCAATTAATTTGAAAACCTGGGAATTCTGCTATCTGGGTGATATGATTTCTGTTTAAAACGACGTAATACATGCATCATCGGCCAGAAAAGCAGCATTCTGGACAAAATGGCGGCAAATTGCACCTCGGCTGCTGAATTAAGGTATTGATTTGATTTTAAGGTCTCATATCTACAGAGGTTATCTCCGGCCAGTTCTGATATACTGCTCTGAAACCTGGGCGCAGACAACGGCAATATCCAGCTCTTAAGAGTGCTATGAAAGCTCTGCGTAGGATTTTACTAGTAACTTAAAAATACTGAGTTACCAACGATGCAGCAATTAAAATGACAGGTCTAGTTGATCTGTACAAGCTACCAGTGCGGTCGCGGCTACGATGGGTTGGCCATGTTCACCCATGTGAAAATGACCATACGCTAAAATCATCAGACCATGTTTCAGTCCTACGGAATTACAATCGAGATGCCACAAAAAACGCTGGATCGATCGTGTGAAGCGAGACCTGAATTCTGAAGGCCTCAAAACCACAGACTGCCTTGATCGAAAGGCACGGAAAAACATGTTCTGCTCCATTAAATAGCTTGAATGCTATTTCGAATGCCTTCATCTGAACCATTGCTTACGCGCTGTCCGGATGTCCCACCACGCTACAACGGGGAAACGAACAATAAATGCTTTAGTAGTAGTAGTAGTTTAAATGATTGCAACATTTTGTGTTTATGTCACAGCATCCGGCTAACTTTGTTTGACTTCGCTTACGTTTCAAAATTTTACATGAAAAAAATTCAAAATGATCTGGTTTTATGAAATCGGTCTCTGAAAAAGATCGTAATTGAACTGAAAAGTTTTTTAACCAGAACAAACTAATCGAAAACATTATCGAAAAAAACATCTAATGAATTTTTCGCCACTCATCTCCACTGAACTTAATTTTGAGGATAAGATAACCAGAACTATAATCCTTGTTGAATTTAGATACAAAAATTGGTGAATAGTAAGTCGAGAATAATTGCTGCCTTTTTTGCAAGCAATCTCAGAAGCCCAGTTTTTGAGTCTCAGAAGCAGTTTTTGAGTCTCAGAAGCTCACGCAACAATATCGAAGCGACTAATCCGATATCCGAGTTTTGAGCGAAAATAAAATTAACATAAATATGACCAAACTTGCAAGTCTAACCGAGAGTCCATTTACGCACCTAAGGCTGAAAAAGGCTACACAGATATTAGCTGCGTATAAATTGCTCCCTGAGACAATTACTTGAATCCAATATCCAAAACGGAACACTTATCACGCGCAAACTTTTTGATCTCACGCATGAAAAAGAAACGAAAACAATACGAATAAAAAATTATATTTGTGACGCACACTGCAAACAAAATGATGACATTAATTGTAGATTTATTAAAGCAATTGATTAATTGTAAAAAAAGTAGGCCAACAAGATGTTGGGAAAGTGTTACTGAACACTGAAATTGAAGCAAAAGTTGTTTGAAAGTGAATTTAATACCACAATCGGATTTTCCATCAGAGCTATTTTCATAAATTGGTCAGCGAAAAAAGCTTATTATTTATTAAATTTATTTTTTTTGTAACACTTTGCTTCAGTAACACTAGAATCTTACATCTAAACTAAAATGATCAACAGTAGAAAGCATTTCATGTAAAGTTTTTGCAAACTGGAAACATGCGAAATACAAAGTAGAAATTTTGTATCTGTACACAATTTAAAGCTACTATTGTGATGGCACTGCGAGGTTTGAGAGTTAGTTTATAAAAAATAGAAAAGGAAGACTTCGGTTTTCATAGAACAGAGCTCAAGGTCATAATTTCTGACTTCGATAACAGAAAGCACGGTTAAAATTTTAGCTTTATCTGCAAGTCAACTACAATGAAAGCAACTTTTATCAGAATTTAAACAAAATCATTAAACTAATTGTGATACTAGTATCAAATTGATGTTAGCTACAACGGACCAAATTTTTGCTTGGGCGATTTTTACGCACTCATAAATTTTATTTTGGCATATACAGTTCTGATCAGTTCCATGAGTACAGCTCATGTTTTCAGTTATTAATAATTTCAAGCTCCAACTAATAAAATTAACTTCTACTAACAACTTGTACCCCAAATTGGCTCTATTTTTTTTATTGTAGAAAGGTAACGACGAAAAAAGCTTAAAACTACAGATATTTTCTCAGGGAGCTCAAAAGTATCAATTGTATCTACATCTTAGCCAGTGTGTTACATCGCCAACTATCTATCTCAGATTCTGTTTGCCCAGCATTGTGTAGACAATAGAGGGTTGCTGGGGCGTGGCAACTGACGCAACCAAATTCCTCTCTAACCCTCTCTCTCCCTCTCCTAATGTGACGTCGTCATCCTCATCTATGTTTGAGGACGACATGCGAGATGAGGTTTGAGGTTGGCCTTGTCTCGAGCTCCTAGTCTGTCGTTTCTTAGAATGAGACCCACCGTGAAACTAAGAAAAAACATCTTTTCATACTTCAAAGCAAGAAAGTGTTATACCGTACGATAATAGGGGAAAGTTCAATTATGTTCTGGTTGAGACCGCCAATGATCAACAGTTTTGTTTCCGATAGAAGCCATATCGTTTTCAGAAAAACATGTAGTGGAGAAAGCGCGATGCAAACCAAAGGAACTACTAAAACTAGAAGAAGCAGGATAAGATATAGGCTGAGAAATAGTGGATTCCGTTGCTAAGGAAAGAGAGCTTTGAAAATGTACCTTGTCGTAATCCTCGGGGTCCTCCAGATCACTCTCATTCTCTTCGTCATCCTGTGCCAGTTGGAACACGTTAGCTGCAGTTGCGAAGAGACCGTCCTCTTTGTTTCTACAAATAAAATTTGATTTTTTTCTAGGCTCTTTCGTAACATCTTTTAAGCGCTATGTAAACCACTTAAAATTTGAGAATTGAGCCAGACAATTTTTCATGTCCTTTGTATTACGGTGCTAAGTTAACAATTATCAAATGAAATCGCAGGGAAACACGTATCGTTCCACAGACATCCTTTCATTTGAAGTCGTAAAACGAGTTTGGGGCTCTTTTCTTTCCATGAAGATAGCAAAAACTGTACCATTCAGTTGTTACATCCTGCGTCTTTGGAAAGATTTCAGTGGCCAATGACCAAGGTGCAATAGTCGATAAAAACGACTTAATAGGTAAAATGCATGACATATGTGCGACTGTGGTGTTTAACCTGTGTGATGGTGCATAGAGGAAGAGGAGGGCGACAATGTAGACATTCCACATGCCAAACAGCCCAGTGGAAAAGACTGCATCCACACTGTAGTCCTGAGTGGACAAGTAGTACAGCCACACACTCTCCTGTGCCTACACATACAACAACAAGAACACAGTCAATCGAGGTAAGGATACATAAATGCTATGCAACAAACACAGATTGTTCTAAATGTTCATCTCTTTGTTATTTACACTTTCCTCTAAATTAGTCTCAAAACAGGGGCGGATTTAGGGGGGCGGGGCGGACGCCCCCTCCCCACAGGGATTCGACCCCCTGCCGACCGAACGGGTCCCACTTTGCAATATTTTTAGATATCCATGTTTGGCGACGGACCCTAAAAATTTTCTAAAGACGTCTTCGGCGCCAATATATACTAAATTTAAGAGGGAAGCGTGCGCCAAAACGCAATTTTTTAATCAAAATTTTCCAAAACTCTTTTTGGCCTGTTTTTTTTCAAAATTTTTCCCGCGGCGCAAAAACTTTGAACAAAAACAGGGTCTTTTTAGTGCTTTGGGAGAGCTCGGAAAAACAATTTGGTCGATCTAAAAAAAATCCTAGACCCGCCAATGTCCCTGTCTGAAAAGAAAGAAAATTGGATATACTTAATAACAATAATTCAGAATGCAGCAAAACTCGAATTATACATTAACTAATTTATTTCTTTTATTTATAGGCGTGCCAATTCTTTAGAAGATATCACAGGGGAGGGGGGTGTGTGTTGGGTATGAATTGTCAAGTATATCCAAAACAATATTCGGACAGACTTTTTTCAACACCGATAAAAAAATTTACACAATTTTTTTTTCATTGCAGCTCGAATCACGACTGGAAATATTTCAGTATGGAACATCTCTCGAACCCCTCCGACGTATATTGTTTTCACAAATCACTGAGAATAATTGATGCTAAGGTGGATCTATTTCAAGTCATAGTGACCTGAACTAGGAGGAAGAAAAGGATTGAGAGAGCGGCCAGAGCGAGAGTGAGTGCCATGAAGAACTTGAATCGGAACACGACTCCCTCCAGAATGTGCTGCTTCCTAGTGCTGCTCACACTCACTCCGCCGTCAGGCCCCGTCATGTAGTTGCTGTACTCACTACACACCACAAACATACAAGTTAATTACACAGTTCAAGACCACAAAATGAAGTCAATCTGTGTACAAGTGCAGTTGAAACATGGAACAATGAGTTATTTACACTTTTTTGGACGATACACAAATGAAAGACTAATAATAATTTAAGCATCCTGGTGATAATTTGTGAACTAAACTTGATTATGCAAAGCAATACGTTGTTGATAAAATATTGGATTAAGCTAAGCGACTGGTATGCTTAATGACATGGCCGCCAAAAAAATGAGACATGCCTCTGTTTGTGTTTGATGGACTGGAACACTTTGAAGACGAGATAGAATAGGAAGCAGAGATACACTGTACCACTCACAGCCCCCATCAGCACCAGGCCCATCGCAACTCTAAACAAAGGACGGTACGGTACAGTCATTTTTCCTAACAAACATTGTTACAACTCCCAGGCCCAAAACATTTTCTAATTTTCCCAACAAACGGCGGCAACAGTGCTACTTCTCATTATATTATAGTAGTGCAGCATAGAATCAGTTTCCTTATTAGTTTGAGGCTTCACAAGAATGAAGGGCACGGGTTGCTTCTAAGATTAGTTTTTTTGCGAAATTGAATTTTTTTGTTTATGAGGCTGGACTTTACTGGTAAGCGACGTCACTTCCACTCCACACTGTATAGAATGGGTCCACAATCTGCACTCCCCTCTCCAGACTGTCAAACAGCAGGAGAGAAACACAGCACACCAGAATGGCACTCAACTCACGCCAGTACTTCTTCAAATTGTTCCTAAAACAACCAAAACGAAATTATGCCTTGCAGTTAAAATCAAACCATGCTATAAACGGTTCCACTGGAATAAGCTGTAAAGGTCCAACTACATATCAAAAGTGCAACAAAAAATCAAATTATCTTATTCCCAATTCGATGCAGCAAATTCGACGCAGCAAATATTGCTGCTTAGTCGCAACAGTATTTGCGACTTAGGTTGGATAAAAAGAAAGTTCGTACTATAAAACATTGCTTCGCAAGTGTAATCAGAATCTGAACTAGGTTCATTGACATCAGCTAGCCCGAAAACATGACGAAAATCTGAGATTAAAAAAATATTTAAAAAAAAACTGTTATTTCATACACTAGTATGGAATCAAATTGAATTTGAAAAAAGATACTGATGCACATTTTCAGTGTTAAGCAAGCACTGACACAGAAGCGAAGCTGCGCTTCCCAAACACGGCCGGAAAGCAGCTCAGAAAGCGAGAACACGAGCGGAAAGCGAGAACACGACCGGAAAGCAGCTCTAGAAAGTACAAGAAGAAAAATATAAATAAGCCTCAAATTAGCAAAAACTCGTCTAGATCTAGGATTCGATCTGCGACCTATTGCAATCAAGAGATGTTGAGTTTCACGCACTATCCACTTAGCCACGCAAGCTCAACAACCGACAAATACTAGTGAGGAATAAAGCAGCTACATATGCTAATAAATTGCCCATGCAATTCAGCAAAAGTGGCACCAAATACAAATAGACTCAATTTTGCAGGTAATAATTTGGATTATAACAAAGTGAAGGCATCCACGCTAACTTTGCATGTAACAAATTGCAAAGCATAAAGCCATATTATTTATAAATTATGCATTTCAAAAAATTGCAAGATATATTGAGTTAGAAAGTTTCCAAAAATTGAGTTTGTATTTTTGTTATGTTGTTTGAAACAAATCACTTCTTCCGGTTCAATTGATGAATTAAAAAGCATCAACTGTGTTATGTTATTACTATTCGAATGTCAAAGCCCATGCTATGAAAGAGCTGTAAAAAATAAAAATGCCCCCAAAATTGGCACCAAGATTTGCGATTTAGGTTGGGAAAAAAAGAAGGTTCGTACTAATACACTCGATTCGCAAGTGTAAAAAACAAAAATTATCGAACGTTTAGTGAGCAGACAATTCTTAGGCAGACGACTCTTGAGCCGAAAAAATTTGGGCTACAAAACAATTGGGCAATAAAAACTTTTACACCCCCTCCAGCAGCAGAAATGAACCAAAAAAAACTTTGGTCATTCTCAAGACTAACTGTGAGGCAACTAAACGGATATAACATCCACCGAAGAAAAAAGAAAAATAATAAGCAAAATAAGACACAAAAGAAAGTTGTTTCAAAACCCACAAATCGAAGAAAAAAAATTAAATTACAGACAAGCAATATGATAATGTTTGCTAATCTCATGCGTAAAAACATAGCCAATAGACAGTTAGAAAAGTATCAAGGAAAGTAATGAAACAAAAAACACTGTCTTGTTTTTTGGAAAAAAAAACTTCCAACTTTCGAATTATGTCTTCGAAAAAAGAAAAAATATGCCCTTAAAGCTCTTTGATTTCACAAACACGTTTTTCGTGACCTTTGAATTTTTGCTGTTCGATTTTGGAGTTCTCCTTTTATCAAAATGAACTGAGCTTAAAAAGCAATCAAAAGTAAAGCCGCGAAAAATCAAATTCATGAATTTACTACGGTATGATGAAACGAAAAAAAAATCGTCATTTCATTTAGTTGCACTCATTGATTCTTTACCTCACTCACAATTTATCTGGTCGTGTCTCGAACTGCTAAAAATCAAGCGACAAGAGGCATACACGGGAATGAAAGTCTGGAAAGACAATGATATACATTTCGAAGAACTTGAATTACTAATTCGAAACTTAAAATTTTTGGCAAAAACGTTGATAAGTATATACCCAAAGTTGATATCTGAGCTATCATAACCGTTAAATGATCAAAACTCTGTAATTGTGAATTTATTTCAGATGTAAGATACATAAAAAACGGCCTCCTAAAACTTTGAAAAGACAAGAATTTTACCCTAACAAATACCAAGGGTCCCCCCTTTGGACAATTTACCTAATTTTTTTTCAAAGGGCGCCGGTGTCTTTGGCTTCTATATCAAAGAAAATTTTGAGGTGTGAAAATTCAAGGTGTGAAAATGCGTCTTTTTTGAGGCCTCAAATTGGACTCATTTTTTGACTCGAGGCAGGTACCTGCTAACAGGTACCTGTCAACTTGCCTCATTCGCAGGATATATACACCATTCAAAACTACCTAGCTTATTCTAAAATCTTCTTCACTGGACTTCACACTGCACTCTGGACTGGACCCTGGACTTCAACTTCAACCTTCCAGCTGTCAAAGCGGACTGCTCCCAAGGACTCCAAGGCTTCTGGCTTCAAGACGCTCAAGGTTTTCTTCACCAGTGGACCCAAGAAGTCACCACCTTCATCCACTGCAACCACTCCTGAGCCTGACAACCCTGGACCATCCAACCCTGAGACGCCCATACCTGGACCTTCAAGACTCTTAGAGCCATTGGCTCCTTTAGCCACCATAAAAGATGAATCTCTTTCATCAATTAGTTCTATATCTCCGCTCTCTGAGCAAGCTCTACACTCCATCCTACATTGACGTCGGCATCTACAACTTCAGCTCACTGGACATGGACATCAAGTTTGCACTGCTGGACAACCCCAACAAACCCCCACTGCAAGTCAGGCCATCGAACTAGTGACGAAACAAGGAAAACAAGAAAAGCGGACTCTTGGCCCTCAGCACCTGGAAAGATACCAGTTCCTAACCTACTCCATGATCCAAGAGGGACTCTACTGCCGCTTCTGCTTTGCCGACCTGGAAGAGACAAAGAAAGCGAGGGGCTCAGCAGAGATTCAGCTGGTCAACAAGCCGATCAAGAAATTTGCACGCCTCTCAAACTACTTGGATCCACATCAGAAAACAGCCCATCACAAGAAATCACTTTAGAAAGCGCAAGCCTTCCTTCATTCTGTCAGAAACCCAAACAGGAACATCGACGTGAAACCGGATCGCGCAGCTGCAAAAGAAATGGAGAAAAACGGAAGTTTCTGGCTCCAATCGTCAGCACAATCATCTTCACTGCCCGCCTGGGATTGCCTTTCCGTAGCCACCGAGATGACGGGGTACCTGTGGTTCCAACTAACTCTGAGCAAATCGACGTGAGATCTGGAAACTTCAAGGCCCTTCTCCAGTTCAGAGCAGCAAGTGGCGATCAAGTATTGGCTCAGCATTGAAGCCACTCTAGAAGACATCAGCAATTGGCCTGGGGAAAGCTGTGCTTCTGACTGCTGTGCTTATCTGGCTAGCATGACGCGATCAGAGTTCCTGATTGCCCTGATGTCTATGAAGCACCTGCTGGGAGCGACTTAAGCTACCAGCATTGCTCTTCAGGGACCTTCGCTAGAATTGCCTCAGTCGATGGATCACATTAGGAACTTGCGTCACCTCTTTCAACAATGGCGCGATGGTGAAGGCAATTGCAGCTACAAAAAAGTCCATTCTGACGCAGCACAGCTTGGCGATATTCAAATAGAGGGCAAAAGAGGCAGACCTCCTGTAGCATCATCGGCTTAAGATCACTTCAGACAGACCGTTTACCTGCCCTTTCTTGACTTTGTCCGGATGGATCTCAAGGAACGCTTCGTTGGAGCAGCTTTTTATTGTGTTCAAGTATGCAAGCTGCTACCCCGTTGGATAAATGAGAAGGATGCAAAGGAGGAAGATTTTGATGATATGGTCCAGTTATACGAAGGAGTACTTCCAGATGGTGACTTTCCCAGCGAGTTCGAAGTTTGGAAAAACATGTGGCGTTTCCCCCTGTACACCGATACCCCAGAAACCTTCACAGCTGCACTCAGAGTGTGTCACAAAGCCACAATGCCAGTAATTTTTGCTTTGCTCCAGATTGGTGCCACCCCCAGTGACTGCATGCACTGCTGAGGGCTCTTTTTCGAGCATGAAACTACTAAAAAGTAACCTCCGCTCCACCATGAAGGAGGACCGACTTTCAAACTAGGAACTGATTTACATCCACAAAGATGTAGAAATCAAAGTGGAAGAGGTCATCGACAGATTTGCCGCAAAAAATCGAAGACTCAATTTTGTTTATTTTCTTATTGTAAAGAAATCTTTGTTTCAGTCAAAATTTTTCTCAATCCGCCCCTTCCCTCAAGAAAATCCTAGATCCGCCCCTGCTATTAACACCAGAATTTATTTGGAAATGCACGTCTTCAAGTTTTTTCAAATTGTAACAAATGTTTGAATGCATACCTTTCAGTTTTTTGGACTAAATGCTCTCCGGTGAAGACCAGCCAGAAGCTCAAAAGCGCGGCGTAGAAGATTCCCTGCCTGATGTCACTCAAGAAGAGCACGACAGGCGCATTAGTCAGAACGGTAAACCAATCTATGGGGAAGTCCAATTGCAGTAACATCACAGCTACGAACAAGATAGCCTTTTCCATCAACTCCAGACGTCTTTGGGTCTGGTTGACTCGTTTCCAGAACCACAAAAGGGCACAAATCACAAATGGAGTGAATACTGTCTTCATTGTGAATAGTATTTTGGTGTACTTTCTGTTCTGGTAGATGACTGGCATCGAGATTCCTCGCAACTGGCCTATCTTATTTTTGGTTCCTTGCTTTGCAATGCGTATGTTGATCAAGTAGTGTTGGTAAGAAGCTGATCCCAATTGGAATAGACTTTGTGGGATGCAGTCGTAGTTGTACCTTCAATGTTCAAGATAATCAAGGCCAATAATCTATTTTTTAGTTCTCAGCCAAAACAAAGCAAAACTTCGAAATTTGTTTCAATCTGCGAAATATGTTTCAACGGAAACGCGGAATACGTACTACTCATTTAATTTATTGCGCGAAATATAGCATTCAGAAGGGGCCTATTTTTTGGAATTAAAAAGCTAGACTAAGAACTGAAATAGGCCACACAACACTAGAAACTGATGGCTCCTGCATCTAAATTAGTCTTTTTTAAATTTTTTTATAAATCAAATTATCTTGGTGATGAAATGAAAACATTTCTCACCCATCCGGAAGGTCCTCGTTCTCCTTGGCTGCCATGGGATATTCACAAAGAAGACTCCTCTTGATCGTGCTTCTGTGCAACACTTTCCACTCGTTGTCACCCTCGTTCCTCGCAGCCAGAGCCACGTCCATCCAGATTTTGTCCGTCTTCAAAGAAAAAAACAGTCGAGAGACAAAAACAGATGAACATACATAAACGCTGGCTGACCCCAACACTTCGAAGAGCGAATAACTCGTTAATACTTTGATATACTGAAAAAGGCTGGAGCATAAAAGTATTTATGGTACTGAGATTCAAATTCGAAAAACCGTATTTACAAAGCCTTATTTCGAATTAATCGTGTTCAACCTCAAAAAAGAGGTATGCAAAATTTTGAACGCAAACAAACTGTGCAAAAATTTTCAAAAATCATCCCACAGTCTCAAATTATAACCCAATCTCAGCTTGCAAAAAAAACTGTAGCTATACGTTTTTTTTATTTGCAAATGAAAATCTGTAGCGAAAATACAGCCCACAGAAAGCTTGAAGAGGGTAATGAACAAGGAAACCAAAAATGGACTTTTTAGGAATAATTTACAAGTTAATGATTGCTCAATTTTGACATAGATGCAAACCGGAGCTGCACGCCCCACTTTCGACACCAAACATAGCATGACAATTTTTCTCGAATGATAATCAATTAAAGGAAAACATGTCCAGCAGAGCCGCTGGCGTTAAATCAGTTTTCTGAAACATTTATCGAGCGGTGGATAAGCCGTCAACACTAGCGTGAAAAACCGTTCAGGCCTAAAAAATGTGAAAAAAAATTACAAACTAAAATTACAGAAGCGAACCGAAAACGCTTTCAAGTACAAAGGAAATTGCATGCAGCACAAAAACCGTTGTAAATAGTGACTTTTGGTGACCATGAAAAATTAGTGACCAATAGTGACTGGTCACCAAAACAGTGACCAAGTGGTCACCCTGGGCTGAATAAAACGTAAGTAATTAAACGAAAGGCCGATAATTTTTCGAAACTGAAGATTGCCAGTTCAAAAAGAACTGGTTCTGGCCGGATTCAAACCTAGGACCTTAGCGGTGCCAGGCTAAGTCATTAGCCGTTATAGGCAAAGTAAGCCCAAAAGACTAAAAAAAACTCATTAAAGAATTAAATTTCCTTATTAAATTTATTATCAAAGGATTCCAAATGCTTTGTGAAATTAGTTGATGACCTCAATATCCGATTCGATAGAGCTTGCTATTCGCCAGCATAATAATTCCAACCTTAAACGAGAAAATGGTGTCATAGGATAAAATTGATTCGCAAGCGACTCGAAAAGTGAAGTCAACTTTTGAAACACAAAACCGTTCAAATTTTTTCCGCCATCTCCATTTTTCTAAGTGTAGAGCTTTTTTATCTTCCCTTTAGCAAAAATATGAGTAAAAATTGAGTAAAACTTTCTTGATGTGTAAGAATTTCTTAAGTGACACACGCCAATTAAGATTCTACATAATTTCTAAGTGACGCAAGCCAATTATGACGCATTAGCGGTACCAGTCAATATATATAAAAAAAGAAATTTACCAACTTACATGCCTCAATTTATAGACCGAACGCATTTTAACTAGTATACGAAGAAGTTCCTTTAAAAAATCCGACCCTACCCAGGTTTGAACCCTGATTTTGTTGCGGGTCTCCTTCCCAACCTCTACGCTACAGATCCATGATATCTTGAAGCTTAAGTGCTATTTGTAATATAATAGTCTGTGTTTGTTATTATACGTAGCATTGGCTGTACTTTATAGCTGGTTATTGATCAAAATGAACACTTTCAAAATGAACACTAATATTTGCGAATTAGGTTGGGAAAAAAGCGAGTTCACATTATCTTACAAATTTTGCTTGTGTAATAAACTAACAAAAAACCTAAATAGAAACCGCGAAAAGTCAATTGATTGGGGTCATTGAAAAAAACTTTCCTAAAACACAAAAAAACTGATACGAACAAAATACTCATTTATACTAAAAATTAAAAAATAACATTACAAAAATGTAACTTAATAATTTCAGATACACTTGAACAATAATTACAAACATTACCCTCGGTTGCCTTCCTTCAATGCAAAGTTTACATTATGCAGCAAACTCATCTCAATAACATTATGCAGCCAATTTTAAGCACAGAGGATTTGCTGAAGTTCGTAAAACAGGCAATAAACCGATGAAAATTGGCTCTAAAAATAATAAAAAATGAAATACGGAAAAAAGGCAAGAACTACTCAGAGAAAGCAAAGGTTGCGACTGATAATGATGAAAGTGCATTGTCATAGGATGCAAGTAGAAGGCTAACTTTTTTTAGAGGCCTTTCCGTTTAGTTACGGTAAGTGCATAAGCTGGATCTTGATCCCATTTCATTCAAGTAATTGCCTTAACTTAATCAAAAATACAAGTAACTAATCTATCTATGGAACTATTATAGTTTATACCCATTTACTTTATTGATCCAACTTTTTTTTCTAAGTCAATTAAGACGCGAGTAAAAAAATACACAAAAATAGATATTTACAGATTTTTTTTGGAATGTGGGAGTTTTGTTTGAAAATCAAGTTAATCCAAAGCTATTCCAAAATGAGCAGTTCTCTGCATTGTTCTGGCAATGTACCCATAACAGAGGCTGTTTTGCCCATTTGAATAGAAATTGACAGTCTTTGGATAAGTTGGCTATATGCCTTCTTGTTGTGAGTTTCCTTGATGAGCCGTTTGCCCAAATCGAATAAAAACTTCTCGGTAGACGGGCCTGCTCTCCCTTGGACTTCAAAGGCTATCGGTTGGAATATGTAGCCCTGTCAGTCAGTTCTTGATATTTAGTGGTCTTTCGCTCTTCAGCCGCTATTACTATAGACCCTGGGTGGTTGGAGCTTCGTAGTATAATGCTAGGGGCCAGTGCATCAACTACTGTGGCATCCCATGGTAAACTTGCACCTCTGAACCATGGTACCAGGGTAACGCCATCAGCTCTTTTTCCGTCCGAGCGGGTGAGACCAACAGATTCAAGCTGAGAAGGGAGGCCTGCAGAGGTAAGTGCTCGTTTTATGGTGTCGTTGATCATTGAATGCCTGGGAAATCGCCCTGAACTCCTTTTACAGGACAGACCATGGCGTCCGTCAGCTCTCACCTCGCTGCCACAGCTGCATAAATGAGGTTCGCAAAGAGGAACTCCCAGTCGTAGTCCGAGGGAGATTCGTATCTGTTCGTCAGTGAGCTTGAGTCCGATCGCTTTAGAGAGGTATGCGTTTAGCCATGCGCCAGCTATCTTTCCTTGGTATGCCAGAACTCTGGCTCTTGGTGTCTCATTGTTTGCGTTAACCAATTGGATGCGCGCGAACTTTTGCTTGTTACCAGCTGCGGACCAGTCTTTTTGTGCTGCGGGCTCCTTGATCACAACCGTCAAGTCAGCATCCGAGAGAGCGTGCCAAAACAAAAGCTCGCCGTCAAGGTGTGTCCTCGGGAAGAATCTCGGAGACGAGTTTTTCGCTGCCGGCCGCTGAAGCAAGAAATGCAGATGGGGCGAGCTGGACAGCTGAACTCAAACCGATTCCGCCGTATTTTACTGGGAGCGTTGAGGTGTCAACTATCTTGACGTTTGAGATTGATTCGAGACTTAACCGTAAGATCTCATCGTATTTTTCGAGAAGAACCGATTATTTGAAGCGTGGTGATGTACGCAAAATGAGAGGAGCTTTGGAATAGAGAAGGCGCTTTTAAGAATTGATAGTGCATGATGGTTTTCAAGTTCAGTGATAGGCGTTCGAGATCTTCTTTCTTTTCTGTCAGAATTTTTTCCAGGCTCCACTTTCCGAGGGGTGAGCCTAGGATAACGAGGTCTTCTATTTCGGTTGTTTCAATAAGTGTGCAAATTTGCCTGAACTTCTTCAAAATTTGCTCCCGGTTATGCTCTTCTTGGTTGTCTAAGAACACGAGCTCGCACTTGGAGGAAATTATTTGAAGGCCCATATTCGCAAGACCAACAATGAGCCGTCGAAAATCATTTAATACTACATCAGCCTCATCTGCGATGTTGCCATCGTCTAGGTACCACTCGTTCATTTCGCAAGTGACTCGTTCAACAATATCCATTAGGGCGTCACTGAAAAGAGGCGGGCCTTCAGGATCGCCTTGTTGAACTCCTTCACTGGAAGGGATCACTTCGTTGCCATAAAACAACCACGATGGCTTACCATACGCTGAAAGAGTAAACGCTTACGCTTCGGGGTGCTACCTCTGAGATGTTTCAAGCAGGACATCCCTGCTTAAACTATTGAGAGCATTCGAAATGTCTACTTTTAGGAGAACTCGATTTCGGTGGCGGCTTGTGTCCTGAATATAGTGTCGCATTGCGTGCGATGCGGTTTCACACCCTCTCGGTATCCCACATCCAAGTTGCCTTACGCCATATTTCGCTATCCGTTTTTCCAGCAATTTCCGTTGAGCACATTTAGCGACGAGACGCCTCCGGGTGTTCCCTACTGCGATGGGTCTGATACCACCTTTTGGTTTCGAAAAGGCAAACAAATTCGCCCCGAAGAAGAACAAGCGAAAGTCTTCTGGAACCCCGCCCGACAGAATCAAGTTAGAGAAGTCGCTAAGGGATTGTAGAAGAGCTGCACCCGCATCGCCCAAATCTGTAGAAGTAAGCTCTTTCAAGATCTGCGGTCGGAGTCCAGCGGGACCTGCTGCAGACCCGGCAGGAAAAAATTCAATCGCTTTTGTGATTTCACCGGGGGTGGTTGAAAAATGAGTGATAGCATCAGATGCTTGAAGTGGTGACGGTCGGGGCTCTTTTTCCTTCCCCCCCCCCCACCTCACTCAAACACGATTTTTTGGTCTAACGAGTGGTTTTATAAGGTTAATCATGAAGACTAAAAATGTTTGTCAAGGCCTGATTAGTCTGTATGTCATTTTTCATGACAATCGGACAAAACGAACAGGAACTTCAAATATAAAAAATTGCAGGTGGGGGGAAGGAAAAAGGGCCCGGTCGGGTATTCGCCGGAGAAACCGGATGCTTACTTCGCAAGAGCAGTAACGTAGCTTTATCGTTTGGCGCCATGGTTTCGGCGGAGCTTGCTAGCCTTATTGCGCCCTTCATGTCTACTTCTTTGATCTTTGCTGAGACTAGCTCCGATAGATCCTGAGGCTTTTGCTTTCGCTTGCTTTCTATTTTCGGGGTGCTGGGGGCTGCTTCGGGTCTCATTAGCATGTTTGTGTGGAACTCGCGGACTTTGGCGTTGATTCGAGCGCTCAGAGACTTGGCATGCTTCTTGCCACCTCGTTTCAGTGCGTCGAGGCAGCAGAAAGCGAAAAGCATGAGGCCTGTCCAGTTATCTATTTCCTCAGGTTTCGCTGTAATATCGTTCAAAAGAAGGCTGAGCAGCTGGCCCGCATTATGGCGGGATGCTTTTGGCACGTGCCTCAATGTGTTTCTGCGGATGAGCAAAAAGTGTCAATGATGGAAGGTTTTTCGGCGCTAGTGTTGACCGGGATCGCACGCGGTAAGCAGGCTGAACCAATGCACTTCGTTCCGTTCGTTTTATGCATAAAGAACTTCCCATCTTTTCTGAGCCACGGTTTTTGCCTGCACGCGCCGCAACTCGCTGTCTCCGGCTGTGATAGAATTGGAATACGGCGTTGGGGTTCAAGAGACAGAGCGTTGATCCAACTGCTATTTTTACAGTTATTGAAGTATTCTTTTTTTCTTAGAAAATCAATGACTTCAATTGTTGAATTCAATTCTTGAGCCTTGCATTCATCGATTTCCGTCAAAGAGATCTATTTCTCTCGAAATCTAATATGTTACTATGATCCTTCGAGAGGTTAGAGCATCCAATATCAATGCTTATTTACCAATTATTGCAATTAATTGTTAAAAATTGTTAAATCCCTAATTCTGTTCGTTGCAGTATTTTTCAACTTCACCTTCAAAAAAAATGTAAGGACGAATTGCCACATAATTTTTTATCTTCGAGATCTTATCTTCAGACGTCTACCCACAATAACACGAAGATTAAATAAGTTTATTACCTATACGTGAAGTTTATTACGTATACAGCGTGTATGTATAAGCATTTGATCCGTTTACCTTGATGAGATCATCCACCTTGTATTGAATCTGAAAGTCGACAAGAGTAATGATGAACTGATGGAAAGGGCTCATCACTTCCACATTACTCCTCGGAATCTCAGCCACGAATACCACGTCAAGGGACTCCCCGTAATCTACCTAAAAAACTTTCTTGTTCCAACCTATCAAAGTTTTTTGCATCCTCTGCCTCAGGGGGTGCAAAGAACTTAAAAATACATACAACATAGACAATTCCATCAGTGCTATAATCGAGGAGGGTAGATTTTAATTGACAATTCACTGCATGCTTTAAAATCGACCTAATTTATTCATAAAATTTTGCCGATGTATTTATATAGCGTTGGTATGGCCCTATCCATCCTGTACACGGAAAATTAAATGGCCAGAAAATTAAATCTTCGTCAGCAATGCAATTAAATGGGGAATGAAATGGGTTTGGACGACTGCCAAATTTATTACAATTCGGCACCTGATTTCCTTAAGCAACTGATTAATTTAATCGAAACTTTTTCATTCTTTGTCAATAACACATGACGATTAAATGAGCCATCATCTTTTGTGCTACCTGAAATCAAATAAATATCTTGTCATTTATCAAAAATCCAAAATTAGATTTGTCTTGTTTTTCAAATTATTTGCAATATACCCATTTCTCTAAACTTTTTACGCAGTGCTTACCTTACGAGGTGTAAGATCCTGCATTTCATCGCAGTTTCCTTTTTTTGATTTCGATATCATTTGCCGGTAATAAAGCGATTGTTCAGTTCCAACATCTGTTACGTTGCACGCTTTGAAAAAGGTAAGAAGCACATTTGCTGGCCTAGGGGAGGCAAAACCTATTGCAAATGAAAGAACAACCACTGCACATAAGCCCAATACAAGGACACATAACTTCTTGGTGGAAAGATTTTCGAGAACAGTTCCGCAAGCTGTCGCCATTTAAGAATCTGAAAAAACTTAAATGAACAAACGAACATAGGGCGCGGTCCAGTAGAACCCCGGCCGGTACACAACCTGGATGAGCCATAACACAGGCACACAGGTTATAACAGCGTTAACAAAAGCAAAAAAGATCGACTGAAGAACATATTCTGACTTCTAATTGCTTTCGCTGTTTCGCCAGAGATAAATGAGGTAGTAGTAGTAGTAGTAATGAGGATTTGCGCCCCATTGGGCGCAGGGATTAGCTCCCTTATCGTTTGTCTGTGGTTGTTCTCATATTCTCAAAGTGCTGCTGACTATCTCATTGTGGTTCGTCGTCACGTATGACCAGAAGTGGGCGAATATAGAGAGTTGCAAAAAGTTCGGACAGACAGAATTAATAAAAACTTAGAAATATGTGAAAATATTATCAAAGAACAATTATTACCTAACCTAGTCGACACTTTAAACCCCCAGTTCCGTGAGATATCTTCCGTACCCCTTAAAATGGGCGGACTTAACATCAAGCTGCCATCCGATCATGAAAGCTACCTAGAATGGTCTAAGGAAACATCACTAGTACTGGAATCTCAAGATCATATTACAGCAGTAACACAGCAAGAAAAAATATGTACGAAACTCAAAAAATTGAAAACTGATGAATTAAATCGAAACAAAAACAAACCTGATTAACTCCTTAAATGAAACAGATAAATACGCAATCGACCTGGCCTCTGAAAATGAAGCCTCTAACTGGCTCAAGGCTTTACCACTGAGCAGATACAACTTCAACCTGAATAAATCAGAATTCTACATGCTTTTCACCGTCTCTACCAAAGCCAGTTGTTTTGTTGGTCTTCTCAACATCGGGTCGACAAAAACGTTACTGTTCTCCGGCTTCGACCAGAACGCTCAAATTAACTTAATTACATGCAAAATAGTGAGCTTATGGCTGGGTCTCAGTATCCCCAGACCACGAGGTCACTCCTAAAAGCAGGGCTACTACTATTTATTATATTACCATTGTTTTTGTTCAGTAGATAAAAATCATCTCCATCGAAGACGGATCAACCCTTTCCCTGAACTCCTAGCTTCTCATTATGAGAAAATGAATCTAGATGTTAATTAAATTCATTTCAGGGCATGACCAGGAAGCTAAAAGTTCGTATAAAACAGTTTAAGTTCAGGTCTCGAGACCCCTCCGGATTCCTGAATCCGGAGAAATAACAATCTTATTTCCTTTCCGGAAGGCTGAATTCACGGTTCCACCATCCTTCGCCGTTGGAGTGAATGGCTTTGTAACGATCGTAGCGACACAATCGTTACAACTCTGTAACATTCGTCTACTGCAGTCACACATGAGGCTTAAGAAAAATAGGCCCTATAACCATTGGCTCAAGAGTCAGGGACACTATCTCTTGTGTTTTTGTACCTCAAATCAGTCGGAGCCAATTCGGTTCGCTTGTGACATGAGACTACGACCCGTTACAGCTTAAAGGCTACTACTAAAATATCCCCCCACTCTAGAATTAGAAACGTCCCCATACTTAGGTCTCTAGATACCCAAAATACATGAACGCCGTTAAAAACCGGGTTGGAACAATCCGTTAAGTTACTTTTTATTAGACAGTGGAACTTTGATCCATTTCAGATGGATCAACTTAAAACTCGCCTTACCTCAACATAACAATTATAAAACACACTCTAGAAATTTAAATTAGTACTCACATTGTAGCACGCTCAAGAACCAGGAAGTAAATAAGTCGGTGAGCAACTCAAGAATCAATAAAGTAACTAAAATGAGTTTAATGTTAGTCAGTTTTAATAACAAGAACAAGTTTGTACTCTAGACTGTGAGTTCTCGTGAACCATTGGGACACTCCAGCTGTCCACCTTTCCACCGAAGGTTCACTCTGGTCCAGTTAATAATAGTACTCCAGTCACAACAATCCAGTTCGTGGGAATGCGCTCGTCTCTGTTTCAGATGGGACAGCTCTACTCTCGATTATTATTGCTACTGAAATTGCGAATAGCAATTTCCCACTGATTTTCCTAGCAACTTTCCCGCGATTGTCACTCGATCGTTCTGACTTCTCTTTTCTGATTTTCAGTTATCGCGAGAAAATCGTGCATGACAGGTTCCATTCGAAATTTTGAAAAATAAAATTTCACTCCAAAATCAAGTGTTTTTTGCTTCTCTCAAGGTCAAACTTCCGAATATGACCGACTGGCACATAGATGCCGGAGATGCCATACTCCCCGGACTCGAAATCGATGTCCTCATCGCGTGCTGTCCTCTGCCAGTGAGTCCCAGAAAACCGAGTGTTACTCAAGATACAGTGCCAGTGGTCATTTACAGAAGTTTGCAGCAGACTTAAGCTTATCTACACCCCAAAATTCACAGCCATGTAAAATTTTCACACTATCGCTAAACAGCAATCAAAATCTGCACACACCTGCACCCTTGAATTCTCGCTTTTCAAGCCAATTTAAAATTTCTTTTGTCCCATTCAATTAGGAAATTGTCATGCAGCATTTTCTTTTATATAATAGATATAGCATATTAATAACAATATCTTGTTTTGTTAAAATTTCTTTTTCGTGAACCCAGGTTTCACCCGGATCCACGCTCATGCCCCCCTTTCCCTCTCAAGACTCAAGATCCATTCGAGCCACCTGCTCATCTCGCACTCTTCGCCTTGGAGGTACTGCACCCTGAAGTACTAGATACGGCAAACTGTCTCAACAGTTCCTCTTCATCATCGGAGCTAATCACAATCTCCTCCCAAGCCTTCAGCTGCTCGTAGGATCGCATCCATTCTCTTTGCTCTTGCAACCTCTTTGCTTGGTTGGGTAGTGCCTTCACCCTAGATTCCCGGTTCAAACAAAAGGAGTTGTGCAGGCTCAAGCTCACGTTCTTCGCCAGGTCCTCCTCTAGTATCGATTCCCTCGCCTTGGTATTGTCTCTAGACATTTTACCCACTCTCTTCCATCCTGTCGTGATTGCATTACGATGGGTTAACAGGGGTCTCTTGAAAGCTTCCGGCCCAATCTCGGCCTGGAACTGTCGATACTCCTTTCGATGTTTTCTCATGTGATCTTTCGTTGTCATGTACAACCAGGACGTCAGCGTCGCCCGAAACCATGGGAAGTACTCCAAACGGCTCCAGACATGTTTGACTTCCGTTGGTATGGCGAATACCTTGCACGCAGTCTCAAACAACTCGAGTCTCCTACTGTAGTCTATCGCGTATATTGACTCAGCCGTTGGCGTCCTCGCTTCCCGATACTTCGTTATATTCTCTTCTATCCATCTCAGAGCCAACATCGTACTCACTACCAAGATCGTCACCTTCTGTCGGTGATCCGGTAGTCCGATCGACCGGATTTCTTCCATATCCCACACCAGGCAAAGGTTCTTGTGATCTGGATACCACACCGTTTGCGCTAAACAGTGGCATGGGCATTCTCCATGGGTGATTTCAATGCTCCTGAGGTTACGCTCCCCCGAGGCTTCCAAGAGAGGCTCAAGCTCCATCATTTTCTCATGTATCGTGTCGTTATCATCCAGGTTTGGAGCACTTCCCACAGGTTTTCCGATCACGTTTTGTCTCTCGTGATTGCTTGTGTTCTCTCTCTCCAACTTCAAAAGTTCTTCTCCCCAGATTTCACTCAAGTCATCTCTCAATTCTTTTGGTACTGTCCCTCTGATTTTTCTCAACAACTTGTGCGAGTGATGCGATATCCGAGCCAACCTCACGCACTTGGGCACTGAGAAGGCCTTGTCCACCAGTACTCTCTGGCTGGATGCTTCCACCATCACCATGTGCAGTGGGTAGTGACTTCCGCACAAGTTGGCCATCATTGACCCTATCAGCGATTTCGCGTTCAATGGCAAGCCATAAGCTTCGCTCATGGGAAATCCCATTTCCGCCTCGAGACCAACCTTCCAGCTCCGGATGTGTTTTTGAGTCACCTGCAACACCCCGGGCCATGATTCTAAGCTCAACGCCGTCACTAAATGATGTTCAGATTCTAGTCTTTCCAGTGACTGCAGACTACACATTCTCGAGAAGAATCCGAGAGCTGTCGCTATATTCACCGTGGTTCTCGCGTAACACTCCGCTACTATTTGCACTTCACTTTTCTCCTTTTCTGTTATGTCTTCGAACCAAGTGACCAGGTCTTCTTTTTGAAATGACAGTATTCTAACGCATGACCGTCCATCGCAGGTGTGCTCTCCGTTTCCACACGTCGAATCCAGACAGCTACCCGGCTCCAATTTCTTTGCTGACCCGGGATTACTCGTCTTTTCGCCTGGCTCTTGCATCTGAGGTGAAATTAGCTTATGCAGCACACTTAACTTTGCCAGATCTTCATCTTCCGTTGGTGCTAACCTCACTCGCTCGGTGGTTTCCTCGATCAGACTCGCGTGGGGATGTGGACACCAGGAGGGTCTTAATAGCTTCCATACCACTCCCAGGTTCGTGGTTAACAAGCCATTTCCATCGCCCATGTTCACTTCAACTCTCTTGTTTGAACGCGGTATGCTCACCACCTCTGGTGTTTTCTCAAGAATCAGGCCCAGGCTCGGCCCCTCTTTTTCCACCGCGTCTATTTCCATTATTCTTTCTGTCCAAAACTTCAGCAGCTCCGCTACCTCATGGTTCCTGTGGGCGCCTCCAGCTTCCGAGTCTAAGAAGGGGTTGTAGGCCATTCCCATCACTCCAGACACATATTGGTATTCCCCCTTCTCGCTGAGCCTCGAGTACTGCTTTGACGAGGCCAGGTTACGGTGAACATCATGTTCTTCTTCGAACTTCTTATTATAAAACCTCCGTACCTCGTCTAGCTTCCTATGGTTCTCTAGGGATAGTCTGGAACCCTCTTCCTTTTCTATTCCTGTGCTCTGATACACGTTCAAGATGACCGTTGAGACTCTTTTTTCCATGGTTTTGCTTACGCTTGCTCTCTGTTGGCATGCCAGGATGGTGCTATCAGACATCATCGACATTATCCATCTCAAGA